AAATCGGATATAAGTGAATCTTCTCTACTGGATAGACAAAAAAACACAGAAGTATCATGCTCCAGTGATGAATTTCAAGAGTTAAATTCTCAAACGAATGAGGAAAATATTGATATGGAGATAAGTCGAACTGCTAATTATCGTTGTAGCACTAACACGGATGTCAATTCAGCGACTAAAAATTTGACAAATAGTACAGTAAATAATGCCAAATATTCTGAAAATACTGAAGGATATCTGAATATTGACAATAATAAAAGACCTGCTTCTATGGATTTTGGTAATTTGATTTGTGGACCAGAGACAAATAAAGATACTCCTACAGAATTAATACATTGGATGTTGAATGGGCATGCACTGTACTCAGAACCATTCCACAAATATTTAGATTATTCGCCAGATTCTCCATTAAAGAACTTGTTAAATATTTCCTCGCCCTTCCCAATCTCAAATTATCAAGTTGATATATCGGATACTACAAAATCAAAGTTGGTTGAATTCATTCCTTCGCTTCTGTGTAATCCAGATTTCAATATAAGACATATTAAAGAATGCTTAGGATCGTATTGGAATATATTTCATGTCCAATACCCAATTTTGCATAAGCCATCTTTTTCCACCTTAGAAGCTCATCCACTATTGTTGTTAAGCATGATTTCAATGGGAGCCTCTCTTCGTTCCCGTAATAACAGATTTGATTGTAATTCTTTTAAAAATATACATAAGTTAGCAGATGAAATTGCTGAACCTTTGAGATGGCTTATTTTCTCAACTAGTGAATTGACAGCACACATTACACCATGGGTTATTCAAAGTTTGTTGATCGTAGAGTGCTATGAAAATTCATGTTCTAACAGAAGGTTACATCAGCGTGCTTACTTACATCATGGTCTAAAGATTCAATTGTTAAGACGGAGTCCTTTACTTGGTGGAAATTCTCTGAGAAATACTAATAGCGATGACGGCTTAACTGATGAGGTCGATGCCTGGAAAAAGTGGATTGACATAGAATCGTTGAAGCGATGTGCATTTATGGCCTTCTTAATCGATGCCATTCATGCAACTATTTATGGACATGAGACAATTCTCTTCACACATCAAATAAAATTATCACTTCCTTGTGACGAAATACTATGGGAAATGACAGATTTTAAAAGCAATTATTTGCCGCCAAGGACAGAGACGCCTAAGTTTTTGAATGCGTTATCAAAGCTGCTTCATAAGGAAAAATTTGAAACTGGAGCGTTTAATAAAAGGATTCTCTTTGCCGGACTTTTAACCACTATGTTTGGAATGGAGCAAAGGGATATTCAAGTCAAAGAGTTTGAATGGGAATCCGTTAAGTCTTCATGGAAGGAAACAATATTTGGTGCAATAGAGTTTTGGTTTGAAGATATGTGCCACGGAAGTTGTTGCAATATAACGACTGGATACTATGTACCTTCGGATTTTGAAACGCTACCTGCTTCTTTGAAAGTAGACGATACAACTTGCAAGCTAGCGATGTATCACCTTTCTCAAGCTTTTCTACGAGTTCAGCAATATGATTGTATCATATATGCTGGAGCCCCTAGTAGAATGAATGTTAGAACTAATTACAGTGATTATGAAATTGTGAAGAAAAGGATTCATGAGTGGGCAAATTCTTATAATGGAAGAATATCAGTTGTTCATGCCTATTTATTTATTTCTGAGATGTTATTGAGTCTGAATGAATCTAGAGAAAATATTCTATTGTCATATGATCCCAATGAAGACCCAATTCTATATAGGCCAAATGTTGTTGCTTCATTATTGTTTGTAATATGGTGCTACAATTATTGTTTAGAAGGACCCGAATCCAATACCTATCCAAATCCTAACCAAACCACTTCCACTTTGACTTTGAATAGTCAAAAAACAGGTCTGAATTTTGATATGGCTACAAAACTATCTACCAAGTACCTACCGGAGAAAGTAAACGGTTATCGCTATATAAGCCGTATTAATGCATCATTTAAACTGTGTTCTATTGGTCCAGTTAAGCTGACATTTGTTGATATTTATGCGAAAGCTTTAGATCAAGTCATGGAAAAAAATTGCACTGTTGGTTTATTAAGACTTTTTAAAGACAAATACGAAAATTGCAATTCTCAAATTTGTCAAGAGTATGGTAAGCTTTTAGAAAATTGTATCCAAAGGAGTTTAGGTAAAACAGATGTTATCTGTGATAATATGTATGAAAATTCTTCCTAGACTAAGCATTGAAAAAGTTCGTAATATCATCTTTTATAGATAACATGGAACTTAATACTTCATTTACTTTAAAATTACAGAATTAATAATGTACAATGAACTTGGATAAAGCTATGAATCATATCAGATCACTGGCCCTACTTGTTTTGAATGTATAACGAATAACTTGTTTGTATTCCAAAATAGTAAAAGCTTTCAAATATTTCAGAATTTATTTCTTAATTTAATATATAATGTATTCACGGAACAATGTTTGCTTAGTCCATATATAGAATCAAGTTATCTATCGAATCGTTCTACAATATTAAATCTAATTAGAACAATTTAAAATATGGTGCGAAAAAGTGAAACCTACAGGGGAAGGGTACAACAACTAACACAATGAACAGAAATATGGCATTAAAAATCCTAAACTACAAACAAAATTAGCTAATATTATTGTTTTGGGGTAATTAAACAAATCCTTAGTTTTTATCTACTTTCTCTTCAATGTGTTCAACAGACACATCATCTTTGTTTACCTCCTCAATTCCGTATTCAAGTGCATGATCACCAGCCTTGTAGCCGGCGGTTACATCCTCTCCGAATACTTGGGCAACTTCTTCTAAACCCAAACCTTTAGTTTCTGGGAATATCCAGTATACGATGTTCATTTGCACCACTAGCCAGATACACCATACAATATAGTATCTCCAAGTTATAGCCTGCATCGCAATGTTGTTCACATAATTATTAAAGAAACCAATTACATTTCCAGAAAGTTGATAGAGAGTAGCTCCTTGTGCTCTCAAATGGAAAGGGCAAACTTCCATAACGAAAGTCATAGATACAGGAGATACAATATGATAAAACCCCAGGAAAAGATAAATCATAGCAACGACACCTCTTCCTAGACCCTTATTTTCGAAATCACCCTGTTGATTAATTGCAGATAATATAGTCCAAACAACATATGTAATACACATTAGGATATAGCCTCCAATAAAAGTATGCTTACGTTTGAACTTGTCGACAAATGTTGCGCAACCAACAGACCATACTAAACCGTAGACTGTCATTCCAATATTAATTTTAAGTTGGTCATTTGTTTCAGTGATACCAATATTGGTCAAAACTATTTGCAAGTAATATGAAATAAGTGCATTTCCACATAGTTGTGCCATTGCTGGGACTGCCAAAACAATAAACAACCTACGGAGACGTTGTTTTGTCCTGAACCATTCACTCCATTTGCTCTTCTTTTGGACCTTTTCTTGTTCGATAATAGCTTTTATTTCAGCCATTTCATAACTCACTAACGGACTACTCGAATCGCCTCCAGCATGATATTTTATAAAAAAAGCTTCAGCTTCATCACTTCTGCCTTTGTCGATCAACCATCTCGGTGATTCTGGACCAAAAAAAGCAAGTAATAATTCAATTGCAGGGAAAGCACATTGCAAAATAGAGGGTATTCTCCAAGACCAATTATTATACTTCATGCTTGAATGATAAGGGCCCCAAGTAACTACAGAAGCAACAAAAGATCCAAATGGCCATGATGCTAACAACAATGCAGTCACGACAGGCCTCTGAGATGGATACGATGTCTCAGCCAACAAGGGTGAAGCAGCTGCTGATGCAAAACATGAACCAATACCAAGTAGCACTCTCGCGGCCGTGAACATTCCAAAATTCACCGCACCACCTTGAATTGCTGCACCTATAATGACAACAATACAGCCGAACATAATCGTTATCCGTCTACCAAAATAATCACATACAAACCAAGTAAATGGAATCGAAATTAAGGTACCAATTGTAACACCATTAGCCATAGTACTTAAAATGCTTCCCGTTGGTTGATCAAAGTAATTTCTCCAACTTGGAAGCGTCTGCAAATTGTTCATCATACTACCATCATATCCAGAAGTAACCTGAGCCAAAATACCTCCTAAAAGAAAAATATTCAATTGTAACAACCAAGGATATTTAAACCATATTTTTTCAAACTTGGGTGTAACATCTGCTAGAGTATAAACATTTTCAGGTGTCTTCACCGAATCATTCCTCGAGTTTTCTAGAGAAATATCCTTATCACTCATATTCAATCTAGTATCCATAATGTCCCTTATTATCACTATCTTCATTATAACAACTATGGAATGCTATTCTTTATACTTTTATATACTATTTTCACAACTATATGAAATGATACTTGATATGATTCCTTACCCCAGATCCAAATCAAGAAAGTAACCGTATTAATATTTAACCGAAAAGATAAAAGAAAGATATTATATATTTTGCTCTAACTGTTCACTGTGATAGGTGAAGAATTGATGTTCAGAATACCCCATTTCTGATGAACATGATACTTTCATATTTATGTCAGAGCATACTGTCATTTTTCAGTCGCATTATGGCCTGAATTAGACACGATAAAAATGATCTTAAATGGATGCAAAACAGTGGGGTACATCCAACGACGTACGTAACGTTACAGTTTGATCGTTACCTTTTTGGAGAGGACATGGCTCATTGCAACACTCCACTCGATTTCGAATAGATATGGTATAAGTTTTAATGAGCTATCTTCTATTAACTAAAAATGTGAACGTTTTGGCAACTTTGTTACCTTAAGCAGTGAAAGAAACTTGTTCGTAACGCCTTGTAATTAAAATATTGTGTACTAAAGAACTGAATATGTTAATGGATTATTATCATAAACCCACTGTTATTTAAAAATGACATTTTATTTCTATATAATTAATTTCAATAGAAAACTATATGTTGCATAAAACTCTTTTCGAAATATTTTTTAAGTTCTCTAAATCAGTTTTATCTGGAAGCTTTAAACTTTCAATCCATTGCAGTTTAGGAAACATGGTTGTTTTTGGTTGACAATAGACAGCACATGCATACTTGACACTAGTATTCGAAGCAATAGAACCTATCAATTGTGGGAGCATCACCTTAGACGCCATGATATTGGTATTAGGTTCAGGTTTGGATACCTTAGGTTCTCTTGAACGTAAAAGATCAAACATAATGCTGGTGTCTTCTGAGGTTGATATTTCAGCGTGTTTGCTACTGGTTGTATCCTCAAACGACTTATTATCTACTTCATTACTGAATGAAATAGGAAATCCACCTTCCCTAGTATGAACTTTTTCAGAGGCATTATTTGTGATTTCATGTATTCTCAAATGATAGCTACCTTTTTGTAGTATCCAGGATTTTACTTCAATTTCAGGGTTAGGTGACCACTCTGAGTACAAGCCTCCTTCGAAGATCCAACATTTATGGTCTACTCTAACAAAAAAATCTCTCTTATTGAAACTGAAGCCAATCATATTGTTATGCATGCAGAGGTGAAATCTCCGGAAGTGGTTCTTACGCCGAACCCATATCTAGTACTATAGGCAAATTTACTATATTTCTCACATTGATACTCATCATTCCAGGGCCCACTAACTAATGCAATTGTGTTATCGTTATTATGAGAAATATGCATACCGACAACGTTTAAAGTTGCATCTTTTAAAGACAATGTTTCAATCTCTGCTGACCAAAATGGATGTGATTCAGGTAGCATTAATGGAGCAAATGCTTTGAAAGCCCAATATGGAGATTGGGGAGAATTGTATTTTTCAGACATAAACATATTAGGATATGAAAACCCTACGGACAAAATTTCACTTCCAAATGTAGATATTGGCTGCTTTGACCACCATTGTAAATTTCTTAAATACAATCCTTTCAAAGTTCCCCAAGAAATAAACGGGTCTTCTTTGGTATTTAATACGCATGGTAATATTCCCCAAAATGCAACAGCTGCAAATCTGTATGTCAAAGAACGACCGTATGGAAGTGACGCACCGTTATCACTGAACCAATTTATGAACTGCTTCGCAAAAGATTTAGCTCTTTCTATATATCTAATAGATCTTACTGGATCTTCTTCACGCATTACAATCGCGTATATTATACCATAGAAATGAAATGCGTACGCATTGTAATAGTCAATTCTAAAGGATTTACCGTCGCCATACCAGCCATCTTCTAGATACATGGTTTCAATGTCTTGTAAATACTCTTCTGTCATATTATTATCATATTGAATTCCCACTTTTTTCAAGCCCAAATCGATTATAACTCTGAAAAATTTCCAATTATTATGACAAAAGTCGCTACCTCTCACTTTAATCAAATAAATGGACAAATTTCTCTTGCCTTCATTTGTCAAAGGGTACCATGCGTATTCAGGTACAAAACATAAAGCGAATCCAATTGCTGCAATATCTACTAAGGTCTGATCACAATTTTTAGGTTCACCCCAATATTCAGAATGATGCAAGTTCGTTCCATTTGTAAATCCTCTTCGATACAATTCCCAATGCTTGAATTCACCACCACCATAGACATATGGGACTACTCCCCATAAAGGTCTAGCAAAGCCTTCCAATTCTGCAGAATGGGAAGAAAATGATGCGCCAGATGCGGCCAATTTTACCCTTGCACCACCATCAGTAAAAGCTGTAACTATCGGTTCAAATAATTGATTCATACCTTTAGCCACGTCATTTTTTGTTTGGAACGGATTTGAAGACCACACATTAAACTTTGATGTCTTTGCTTCCATTTTTTTTTTCTAATATAGAAAAAATTACTAGTTTCAGACTTCTGGGCATGCTTAAAATATTTATGCCTTGAATTGAAAAGTTGGTTCATACTCACTCACTTGCCGCCACCAAGGGTGACCTAGATACGACATCACCTCTAGAATAAATTTTTGTAACTGAACCCCTCATTCAGCTACTAGACAAGAACTACTGTTATTGCTTGAGTAAAGATTAAATAATTTCAAAATCCTGTGCAGTTCAAGTACTTTTCAATCTTTGTGTGAAGTGTTCAGACATACTATTTTTGCAAGGCTTCACGAAACATACATTAGCAGTTGCCATGAAATAACATACATAGCGTTTCTTATAGATTTTTATTCAGAATATTCAAGGCAATATATAAGTCGAAAAATTAAACATAGAACCACCAATATAGTATTTGCTCTATTGGATTAAACCAAGCTGTAATAATTTATTTCCAATAGCTAGGAAATAATAGTCTGCATAAACTAGTCCATGATTTACCAATCTTTCGTAAGTATCTGGATTGTTATTTATTGTCGCATTAGCCAATATTGTATCCCTGTCACCAAGATCTACAGTCCCATCTTTTCTAAAGGAAGATTCGTTAGTATAAGCGAAACTAATGGTATTGGAGACAAGTTTCAATCCACTAATTAAATATTCAGAGTCATTTGTTGCTTCGTAAATCTTAATCAAGCCAAGAGCACAAATCATGGCAGCGGAAGTATCTTTAATGTCCTTGTCTGGTGCACCAAAATCCCAGGCTGGAACTCCATCGTCGGGCAATTTAGAAACAAAGTATTTAGCCAATCCAACCGATGCTTCTAAAAACTTTCTTTGTTTGGTCCACGAGTATGTTTCAATAAACCCTAGAATGGCCCATGATTGCCCTCTAGACCAGGTTGTTTCATCAGCATAACCTTGATTGGTAATTTTGGCTTTAACAGAGCCATCTTTCAAGTCATAATTTACAACATGGAAACTGGACCATTCAGGATCCCTAAAGTGATTCTTTAATGTTACTTCAGCATGCGTTGTGGCTATAGTAGATAACCTTAAATCGCCTGTTTTACTTGCCACATAATACAACATATCCAAATTACACATATTATCAATGATGACAATAAAATCAGTATTTTTATTCGTAATGTTGTATCTCTTATTTACCGCAGAGTCCCAACTTCTAATACAACCAACGGTTTCATCAAACCTACTTGCAAGAGCTTCTGCGGCCGTCACTAAACAGTCGAAAGATCTAGAGCTTTTACTATATTCATATTCTCTTTGGAAAGCAGGTTGGATTATGAAACCTAAGTCATGTGTGTCTCGTCTGGGTGCTTGTTCAAACAACCCCTCTGCCCACCATCTTGCTGCATACTCTAACTTTGTCCGATCCACTTTATCTGTTGGAAACCTAGAAGGGTAATTGTTGCATCTTTCTAACAAACAGTATAGTGACCCAGGAAAGAACCCAGCTGTCCAATGGTCAATATCTCTAAACTGGTATCTACCGAAGGAATATTCTGGTGTCTTCTTCGGTGGTTTAGATTGATCTAAATATTCCACTGCCACACCCCAAATTTTAGCAATTGTGGAGTCACCATACAATTTATTTTCGATTTGTTGTAACTTTTTTCTTGCATCTGTTGCTGTCATGTTATCTTGCATTGTCCGATGGTTTTTAACACCTATTTAAATATATGAAAAAATCTTTAGCCAATAGAAGCCTTCAACGATTTTCTCTTATTTAATTTTCAATTTTCATCTAAACTATTTATACTCTCAGTTGACTCGTAGTTCAATAAACCATATTAATACGACAATTCTAAAAATTCTGAACTACATATATGAAAAATGGGTATCCTAATTAGGTTTCTATTTGATGGGGGAGGGGTCTCTGACATGTTTATTGAAAATAGTCCTCCACAAAATTTCGGAGTTGAGCGTTTCCTAATTAAATCGGGTAAACCGAAACTAAAATGGTCAACAGCCGTTTCTAACTCAACATTGAAATTTTAATGGGGGAGGGGTCGAACAACATTAACAAGCCAGATTTAGTACAAATTGATATAATTTCTCAACTTATGCATAAATGTAAAAACTAATATCGAAATGAATTATTGATGAGATATAATATTTACAATGAGTATTGTAAATAATATAGAATTAGGGATAGATCCCAATGGCTGGCGAATCAATTGTTGTTCATTCCAACAAGATGCAATTCTTACCTTTGGAAGATATCAGTATGTATCTTTGTATGTTCCAAGCTACAAAGATGATCCTAGTAGTAGTAGAATGACAACAATCGGAAGAAGAAAGTTACCGGATGGACAATGGAAGTTTTTAACTTTCAGGGATTACTACCAAATAAAAAATGACGGCCATAACATTATATCTATGGGCATTAGTGGTGACGGAATAATACATATGGCTTGGGATATGCATGGAGACGGTATTCACTATAGACAATCGAGAGAAAGATTAGCATTGTCTGAGACTGAAGAAGATTGGTGCATTTCATCTTTCGGCAAAGTGTTGGACTCATTACAGGGTCATGGTAAAGAATACGTCTTTCATGAAATCACATACCCAAGATTTTTGACTTTACCGTGTGGAGATATTCTTCTAGAATTTAGGGTTGGTAGGTCAGGACTTGGAGACGAATACCTTTATCGATTCTCAAGTACAACTCATACCTGGTATGAAGTAGTTACTCCATTAATTCAAGGTGTTGGAAATAACGCTTATATTCATGGACTTGACTACGGTACTGACAAAAAGCTACATATGAGCTGGACTTACCGTGATTTTATTGAAGACAGAGTTGGAGTTAATGATCGTGAAACCTCACAAGCTGGTCCAAATGGTCCTGAAAACAACCACGATTTACATTACGTATACTCGCCAGATGAAGGTTGTACTTGGTACAACGGCAAACATGAGAAGTTAAATCTTCCTATTAATGTGTCTTCTCCGACTTTAGCTATTAAAATTCCAAAACATTCTGGAATAATGAACCAAGAGGGACAATGTGTTGATGGCAACGGAGGATTTCATGTTCTCGGAAGAGAAAATGGTTATTATTTTCATTATTATCTTAACCCAATTAATGGACAATGGTTAAGAAGAAAGATTAACAATTACATAGGAAAATTATTTGGTGCCAGAGGGAAAATAGTTTGTCATAATTCGAATCCTAATGCTATACATGCCCTAATTCCATTGGATGGAGAGAAATTTGTTATTTTAAGGTCACAGGTCCAAGATGAAAAGAATCTAATTTATAGTGGAAGTAACATTGATTGGAAAATACTACAAACTTTCGAAGGTTTAGATGGAGAACCATTATATGACCGATACCGAAAAGATAATATTATTTCTATTCTACAAAGGGTGGGAATACTAGGATTAAATCATTCGGCTAATCCTTTTTATGAAAAAAACGGAATAAGGAAAATTGTCTTGATAGATTTAAACCTCAGTACTATTTAGTATATACAGTAATTATATGAAGAACTCTCAACCAATCTATGGCTATTTGTAATATTGTTATTCATTTTTCAGAAGTTATTGTTCACCTCCCAATATAAATTGAATTATAACACAAATCGTTTAATCAGACCTGATTAAAGTTATGTAACCTAAAATTATCACGGTTCAAGTGTCTTAAATAATTTAATTTGTGAATATTCATCCCAAAAATGCCGCAACCGGAAATTTGCGACTATTATTTCGCAATTACAAATAGTGACAGGCTTATAAATAGATTTTCGGGATTAATTTCAATCGTATTCAAGAATATTTATAATTTTATGATCCTTAAACTTTTTCAATGTGTATTATTGATTCCTTCTCAATAATACTATCCTCATAAGAATGTTTTTCGTTTGGGTCAATAGGCTTACCTCTACTTGAGAATACTCCCCTAGTAATACCAGGTTTCTCGAAGATATGATCAATATCTTCTAATTCTAGTCCCTTAGTTTCTGGATAAAAGCAATAGATTATAGGTATCCAAACAGCGTTCAAAATGGCGAAAATTATAAAAGTCTTCCAACCAATATTATTAATGGATATAGGAGTAATTTGTACAACCGCAAAAACTGACAACCAGTTAAATGCTGACCCTATAGCTTGATTTCTAGATCTTAGCCTTGTAACGTTGATTTCTGAAGGGTAAAACCAAGGTACTGGTAACCAACCAACTCCCATAAAAATTTGGTATATAAAGATAAAACATGCAGCACCCACACCACACCCATATGTCCCAATAGACAACAAAATGGAAACAACTATAAAACAAAAAGATAGTCCCGCTGAAGAGTACAAGAGTAATGGCCTTCTTCCAAATCTTTCAACGGCCCAAAGTGGGAAGAAAGACGCTGCAAGATATACAATTTCCGTGCAGCCAGCAAGTATTAGTGAAGTGTTTCTACTTAATTTCATTGTAGATTGATAAACAACTGGGGCATAGTAATTTATCATATTTGAACCAGTAAATTGTTGCATTATCATTATACCTATGGTCAATAGTAACCTTCTAAAATTTTGAATGTCACCACCTCCAAAAAGTTCTTTGAATTGAAAAGGGCCTCCGGCGCCTTCTAATTCAACCGCTTTCTCTATTTCATCTTTTTCATAAATGACTACCCGATCATTCACATCCTTATCCAAAATAGCAGCCAAAACCTGCGTAGCTTCCGCTTTACGGTTTTTGGTTACCAACCAACGGGGTGTTTCTGGTAACAAGAATGTTTCTAAAGTAAGACTAATTGCAAAAATACCTTGAAATGCTACTGGGAACCTCCATTGAAAAGGACTTTCTGTATAAGATGTACCATACCCTACCCAGTAGGCTATTACTACACCGAAAATTGTCACAACTGCTTGCCAAGTTAGCATGGAGCCTCTGTTAGAAGCTAGAGCACACTCAGACTGATATACAGGTATAGTTGACGAATTGAAACCATTTCCAATACCAGTAATAATTCTACCTGCATAAAATTGGCCTCTTGACTGAGATGCTGCTAATATGATAGTTCCTATTATCATAATCAACCCCCCACAAAACATCATTGATCTTCTACCATACTTTTCGCCAATAAAAAAACATATAATTGACCCCCCAACACAACCCAAATCGTATACGGATGTCAATAAACCTTGTACCGTAGAGTCAGGATGGTTGAAATCACGACCGAACCTATTATCTGCTCCTATAATGGTACCCATTAAGCCCTGGTCGTAACCAAGCAATAAAAAGCCAGTGCAGGAACAAAATGTAATCAAAAGCCGTAAATTTTTTCCGTAGCATATTATTTTAGAAGTCCCAAACATCTTGAAGCTTATCATTAAAAATATTAAGATATATCTGTAAGCTGTTCGATTCTACAGAAAATCAAGTTATATATAGTCCGTGTATCGGACTTTTGATATACCGAATGCCGTTGACAAAGGGTTCATGCACTATTTTCCGTCTTGCACAATACGGCGAGGGTTGTGACTGTCGTAAAAATCCCCCCTCTTATTCATCTTATTTTATTCCTGGCAGCTTAGGTGTTTGGTAGTTTTAGACTTTATGACAAGGACCAATGAAGATTTAAGTGCCAATTATTGGATAGTCTACAATAACAATAAAAGAGGAAGGGAACAATTAGCCCACTGGGCCAAAATAAAGTACTAAGAAGTATATTTAATTGGTTCGTAAGCTCTATTTGATAGTAAGTGGAATAAATATCGGGTTATGTTTATTTATTCTAAGCTATTCTTCTCCTCCGTCAAAACCTTATTTTTTGTTTTTCCAGAATTCGCGTGGGGAGGATCTGTGATTTCGTGGGGTCAACTATTCGAAATCTATAGCAAGTAGCTATTCGTATGATATGAAGAAACATCATTATTACTGAATTACAAATTGATTATCAAATTTCATTATGAGATTTGACATTGACATAATTGAACGATGTGAAAGAGTAATGTGAATTGATTCAAGAACTCTAATTGTTTCTAAATCCAACTGTTCGCAAGTGAAATATAATTCAAAGTCATGATATAAAATATTTCATCATAATTCAATGCCATATTAGTTCATGGATATTATTGCAGAGTAGTTTAATTATTGTGTGATGAACAAAGTTGAAATCTGGAGTAGGTTACAAGATTATATAAGCAACGGAATTGTAATTCTATGCATGAGGAGTTCTATATAGGACTTTGGTTTTGGAATTGAAAAATTTAGGGAGTCAGCAAAGACAAAATAATAAACAAGTGCAATAACTATGACATTGATACTCAAAGGTAAGGTTGCATTAATCACTGGGGGTAGTGCAGGGCTAGGAGCAGCAGTTGCTCGTCAGTTGGCTGCTGAAGGAGTTAATTTAGCGATCAATTACAACAATTCCGATGAAAGAGCTGCGCAAGTTGCCGAATCACTCGCATCTGAGTTTGGAATTAAAACTGTAATTATAAAGGGTGACATATTTGATACTTCAGTAGGCTCGAAATTAGTAAGTGAGACTGTCGATAAATTAGGAGGCCTTGATATAGTCATTTCAAATGCAGGTTGGACTAAAATTGTTCCATACGACGATTTGGAAGCATTGGATGACGAGTTATGGGATGGGTGTTTTAATGTTAATGTCAAAGCTCATTTCTACTTGTTTAAAGCAGCCAAGAACATATTCGATCAAAATGAAGATGGAGGTACCTTTATTGTATCTGCGTCAGTAGCTGGGAGAATTGTTTATGGTTCTAGTATACCATACGCAGTAAGCAAAGCAGCCTTAATCCATCTTGTCAAAATGCTTTCAAAAACCCAAGGACCAAAGGTGCGTATGCACGCGGTTTGTCCGGGTCTTTTAATGACAGAATGGGGTCAAAGATTCTCCCCAGAGAGAATAGAGAATACCAAAAATATGTCCCCAATTAATACATTAGCTGATGTGGATGAGACGGCTGCGCAATTTGTCTTACTATCAAAACTTACTACCACTACGGGATCAATTGTCTCGATGGATGGTGGTATCTCTATTTAGTCTAGAATATATAGTTCGAACTATATAGTTCGCGAATATTTTGTGTTACGTATGTCCATGTTCTAACCTCTGAAATTTAATTTTGTAAAAACAATTTCATTAATCATCTTCATTTTTAAACTTTGGAAGGTACAATGGTTCATAATTTGAACCCACGACAGACTGGTATATTGGTCTAGAATATAAGCTTCTCAAATCCAATAATTCGGGCTTTAAATCTTCAAGTTTAGAAACCCCAAGCAATTTCATGTCTCTAGCTATTTCGTCCTTCAACAATTCACAGGCTTTGACTACTCCCTTCTTTCCATAAGCACTATTTGCGTACAAAAACGATCTTCCGAGTCCAACACCTTTTGCACCTAAACATAAAGCCTTGATTACATCACTTCCTCTTCTAATTCCCCCGTCGACATAAATTTCAATTTCGTTTTCTAACTTCTTATCTCTTAAAACTGGCATAACGTCAGCCAAAACCTCAATTGGGGCTCTTGCAAAATCAAGCTGTCTACCACCATGGTTGGACAATACCACTCCGTCTACTTTGTGTTCTATCGCAAGTAACACATCCTCCACTCTTTGGACACCCTTAATAACGATAGGCAAGTTAGTTGCTTTCTTAAATTTGTCAATATCATCCCAACATAACCCAGCATCTCTATACGAAAGAATAAAATCGTCACCGCCAGCAGAAGTTTCGTCACTCTCGTCATCATCTGTCTGACCTACTTTAAATCTTAAGTCCTTTTCTCTGCGTCCAAATAAAGGAGTATCAACGGTCACAAATAGACCCTTAATTCCTTTTTTCTCACAAGCTTCAATCATTTCATAACTCAGCGTTCTGTCCTTATGCACATATAATTGAAACCACTGGGAGGTCCCCTTTTTTGAAAAGTCACTAATCTCATCGAAAGAGTACGATGCAGCACTTGAAATCATCTGGATGATATTCTCCGATCCGCATCCATCAGCGATCGATAATTCACCATCAGGATGTCCAAGTTTCGCAGCAGCAGCAGCAGAACAATAAAAAGGAGCGTCTGTCTTCGTGCCTAACATTTCAGTCGACATATCAACATCAGCAGTATCAATTAAGACTTTTGGATTAAAAAAAATCCTGAGGAATGCATTATTATTTTCCCTCATAGTTACCTCATCATCAGAACCTCCCGAGTAATACGACCAAGCATTTTTTGGAAGTATTGCCTTAGCTACATATTCAAAATCGGATAAATTGAACATAGCAGCCAAAGGAGGTTTGTTTTCTATTCTTTCAAGCCTATCTTCGTCGTTATCTTCGGTAATATCGGCTGCCATCTCCATTTCTCCTATCAATGGACCAAGATAATTTTCTGGCGATAGGTATTTACTAAACACGTCCTTAGCGTGGAACTTATTGAAAATAAGACTGGCATCACAACCCGCATAGTGTATGATAATATCAGCACCTCCTGGGTGTTGTACCAAGAAATCAGTCAAATCGTAAACCTGGCCATTAAGTGCGACCCAAATACCCTCAGAAGTCGAATTATGCTTCCTCAATTCTTCAACTGTGACACCCTGTGTCTGTTTCGAATCCAATGCAATGTTATTACCCTGGGAAATGAAGGCTGTAATCGTACCTAATAAAATGATGCTAGGCACCCATACACCGGACTTTATTTTCCGTTCCCCATTAAATGGTGATTTCAACGCTCTAGTGCTGAAACGAAGTCTCAGTCCATAACTGAATCTACCAAAGGGTTTGTGCTTAAGGAGAGTAGAACGGAATCCAATCATCAGTAACTGCTTTGCTTTGACGTGATTGAAATTTGCAGTTCTACCTAGCGAAATGGTCGATTTAAGTAATGAGAGTTGCCCCACTTGACTTTGACATTTTTGCACTGCGAACGAACATAGAATGGGGAAGTGAAATTCATCGCACAAATTATTAATTCGACGACGTCTATTGATTGTGACCTATACACACTTCAGCGAGCATTGAACTACATATACCGTAGTTAAATTCTGTAATTTTTATGATTCCTTTGAACCATTTCGCATTCTACTATACCAGTACGAGAGATAGAATATTCTCATTTCCATTTTTTTAATTGATGCCGCATCATTGATCCCCCGAGTGATGTTTCCGGGTTCATTTGGCTGTACCATATTCCATTCTTAAATTGTACTCTAAAATTAGTATTACTTTTCCAACCTCTATTACGACACAAATAGGTCAAATATATAAATACGTATTAACCAACATAATCTGAGATCATGAGGTAATTGTTGGTCTTCTACAGTAAACTATTGTTCTTCAAAAAAAAAAAATAATGCGGTGCTACGTAATAGGACTCGCAATAAAGATCAAAAAACACCTTTCCACCGAATTGCGGGGCAGAATAATAGATTTTTTCAATCCATTTTGAAAATTGAATAATTTATCGGAGAATTTGAAACTTATTAGATAATATGACGAAAACAACTAATTCTTCTGTTAACAAGGTACAGAAAGATAAACACAAGTTTGTTCTTGCTGAAGATGCTAAAATCTCACGTTCGTGTGATTTCTGTAAATCTAAAAAGGTTAAATGTGATGGGAACAAACCTAGCTGTAATTATTGTTTAAACCACGGTAAGTATTAATTCGAGTTTATTTCAATTATGTTGGGAACTAACATAAAATCTAGGCGAAAATTGCGTTTACAGCCAGATGAAGAAACCAGGCTTAAAAGCCGGTTATGGCCAACAAGTCTTCGATAGAATGTCTAATCTCGAAGGATCATTCAAAAAGGCCACGGCAAACTCGAAAGAAGAAATAGAGCTTTTGAAGAAGAGACTCAGTTTATTCGAGGAGAAGCTCAATAGCATTGATTCTAACAATGTGATCAGAAATGGACCATATCAGGGGGGGTTAGGGTCAGGACTGAATTCGTTGCTGAACCCAGTGCTGAATGCAGCACATTCATCAGAATCCAGCACTGAATTCAATACATTTCAAGATAATATAAATGGCACCATGTTGCCATCCATTGGTCAAATTAAGATGTTGATAGATATATACTTTGAAAAAGTGAACCCCATGTTTCCAATTCTATGCCCCACCAATACAATTCCTAAATTATTAGAATCTAGTAAAACCACAACCACACCGCTTTTGTTGGGAGTCATATTATGTGCCTTGCGATTTGCAGGCTCTTTTATGTTAAAAGAAGAAGTTAAAAAGTATCATAGCTATTGTAAGGGTCAAATTATTTCTACATGTATTGGTATGAGTAACATTGAACAATTACAATCCATGACGCTATTAGCATTCGACCTATTTGGAAAATCAAATAACCCTGAGACATGGAGTTTTATATCATTAATATCCTCAGGGGTGGTCCACTTGAATTTGACGAAGGAAAAAAGACAAACCCAACAGATAATAATACCAAGTCCTGACCAAGAAGATAATAATAAACAATTAGGATCTAGAAAGCGTGCTATCAAAAATGTCAAATTGTTGAAGTCACCCATTGATTGGTTCGAAGAAGAATCTCGAAGACGTCTATTTTGGGAAATTTATATTTTAGATAAATTATCGAGTGTTTCGAATTCATTCCCTTTTAAAATCCCGGAGTCTGAAATTGACTGTTTACTACCTGTTGGATATAACTCATGGATAGCCGACCATAACCATAGGAACGATACAACAATACGCAACTCCCAACACAGAATTTTGAATGATAGTATCATCAATGCAAATATGCAGAATGACTTGTTTTTTGACAATAATATTTATGATTCGGCTTGCTTTTTAATTGAGTTAATCCATATTTTGGGTAAAATACATACATTCATGAGGCACCCAATAGATATTCAAAGCTTAAAAGATGTTTTAAATTGGCAAATGAAGTTTTCCGAAATTGATAACGAAATTCAGAATTGGAGGAAGACTGTGCCCAAGAATTACCTTAACTTATTAGATAATGATACGTTTGATAGACCATTAACAATTAAGGATGTCTTATTCCATGCCTTATATCATGCGACGATTATTAGATTAAATTCCGCTGCTGGATTTCCATACTTTCATTCTAACTATTTTTTATCTTCTGAAGAAGCAAGGTTGAAAAGTTTACAGTCAGCTAATCATATTTTGAATTTATCGAGGAAATTACCACAAAGTTTTAACAATGACGAAGCCATCTACGAACTATGTGGTCCGCAATACGCGTTTGCTGTTTGGGTGACTGCAAGACTAATTTTGGTCAATGCCATTCATTATGGGAATAGTTTGCCGCAGGAACTAGATTACTTGATTAATTTATTATCGAATATTGGTGGAATATGGGAAAGTTCGATGAAATATTCTGAAATCTTAAGCTTTTTAAAAATGGATGAATTTGAGTCTACCGTAAATGATTTAAATTTCATGACACTGATTGAAACATATCATTCGGTTGGTAACTATGATGGAGCTAATGATGACGGTGATGACGATGATGACGAAGAAAGTGATCCTAATGAGCCGAAAACGCAAGGTCAACGTCTTTCCAAGAGTGCAAGAATAATATCAGATATGAGACTTAATGCTTATATTGTGGACGTTATACTATCGAAGAAAATAGAAAAGTTTAAACAAAATGAAAATAAAGTGTCAACTAATTCACCTAATAATCAAAACGATTTCTCTAATATTTTTGAATGGTTCAAATTACCTATCGCTCACGAGTTTAACGTCCCTTTTATGACCAATAATGAAAAAGATACGTATATAGAAGCATCTCAGCAATAGGTAAAATTAGGCTCATTAGTTATTGAAAACTATATATAGTTGATCATGATTAAGAAAATGACATAGATTGTGACAATACAAAATTTAGAGAAGAAGGATGTGATTCGTTAGCATGAAGATGCTGGAGAAAATCCTGTTCGATGCAAATTATAAAAAGTTGTCTTTCAGTTTCAAGCCATATCGCATTGACTTTATGTTTCTGCCCTGTTTTGCTTTCAAATCTAATTTAATGTATAGTAAAATTTAGATCGTATTTTGTTCAATATATTGTTACATTATACTAGATTCTAAGTACAATATCAAGCTTCAATGTGTTCAACTTCGAGTCCGTTTTTCTCATCATTTTGTCACTAGCTTTAATTTGCGTATCTGAAATAAAATTCCTAAACTTCCTGGCTGGGACCTTCTTTATATACATTTCATCAATTTCATCAAAAGACCTGTTCGCAGTTTCTGGTAAATAAAAATAAAAGCAGAATATACTAATAAAGCAACAAGCAGCGAATATGAAATTAATCTTAGATCCCATATTTGCTTGATCTGGATTGAACATGAAAAGCAAAACGAATTGCCACATACATTGTAATCCATTATTCACAGCCAACCCAACTGAGATAGTTTTAACCCTCAATTGAGAACTAGGATTTCCTGCATTTATAACATAAGAAAGGGAACCGATGCTTGAGTTGTAAAATTATACATAGTCATGAATGCGGACGCACCAGTTAAGTAGCTTTTTTTGTTGCTGCAACCCAAGCCTGCAATAATAACATTAAGTATAAATAAAGAAATCATACCGTATAACATACCATACGTTCTTCCGAATCTATCAAGGATAAACCATGAAGCAATGCAACCTAAAGTAGACAAAGCTTGTTGACCAACACTTATTTGAAGCGACTGGTGAGTATATACCCAGCACTAATTGGAAAAAATAAGTAGAGTATGAACCAACGTAGGCGACACACCACTCATAGGCAGCATAATAAAAGGTGATATTGCAATAAATGTTCCTTTTAAGTTAATTCCCCTAAAGCAATCCACAAAAGATGACGATATAGTAGTATGTCTAGCTTCTTCTACTGTTTTTTTAATGACAGTTAACTGATGTTCTGCGAGTGCTTCACCTTTATACAATTTTCTCAATTGTTTTAGAGCCTTTTCGTCTGCATTTTTTAACACATAATAGTACGGGGATTCTGGAATAAAGAATAGCATGATAAAAGATGTTCCACTAAATGCCCATTGACTCAAAAACAAGCTCCTGTATGCCATTCTATCATCTCTAGTCGAAGTTGTATTTGCAATCAAATAACAGACAAATGGGCCCAAAGATAACGACAAACTAATTGCAGCAACGGATACTCCTCTTAAAGCTCAAGGGATAATATCAGCAACCAAAGACGTAGATACTGCAGCAATAATTCCTAGAGAGAGTGCATTTAAGAACATTCCAGCAAAGAATACCTCAATCGTAGTGGAAACGTACTCAAGAACGATAAATCCAATTGTCGCTCCAACTGCGATTAAAAGCGTGAGCTTTCTACCGATTGAATCTGCCATAAAGGAGCCTACAAACCTATCTATTACAACAGATCCACTGGGGCCACCAGAAATTGCTGACTGCCATTTATTATCTAAAACATAATCACCTTCGAAATAATATCCAAAATCACGTCTAAATGTAAGAATAGAGACTACCATACCACCAGTCTGAGTTTCATAAACAACTAACATCATAACCCATAATAATATCAGAATATAAACGCATATCCTAGGGTACTCTCTAATCACCTCATACCTGGTATACTTGTGCTCGATTGTTTGTTGAAAAATTGGGGTTTCTTCCACAAGTTGAGATAGTTCTTGATCGATTTCTCTTCTGAGATTTTGGGCGAAGGAATTAGCTTTGACATGACTTAGATTTTATCTAATAATATCAAACGAACATTAGAATTAAATGACACCGAAATCGATATATCTAAATATGACAAAAATGAAGAGCATGTTTTAGTTTATAATATTCATGAGGGTAACAACACCTTAATTGCCACGTACCAAGACGAATAGTTACTTTATCAACTCGCAGGTTTTTCTAAGATTGATAAATATCGGGTGCAACATTGAAAGCAAAAACATCAACATCAATCACTCTTTTTTTTTTATCTTGCCCAAGCATCACTCTCCATACAATTATCTTTTCATGCCTAAATTTCTGAAAAAACCCACTGTTTTCAAAAGAAGTATCAAAGCTCAGATATATATAGATACATGATATAATGCTAAAAAAAATATCGTTTCAAGATTGAATTTGAATCCTTCCAAATACCACTACATGTTTCATACCCAACTCTATATTATCATTGACTGGTCCTTACATATGTAGTTTAAATTCAGAAGTGTAATCCTTCATGAACTTCATTTTCAACTTTATATCCCGAGTTTCGATAATATTTTATTAGTGAACTTTGATTATTTCCAATTCTAAGTTACCAATCGGTACTCGAACGCAAGTATATCGATTGTTCGCTTGTAGCATCGACATTCTGAAACCAGAAACTTGTTCAATTTAATTTGGCATTCTATAGTTAGCTAAAACTTACAAAGCCAACTATTAAAGGATGAGAGATTGTGCGTTCAGCTACTCTGGTTTATTATTGACCGAAAAGGCTCCCCAATATTTACTAAGGTGACTTCAAAAATCACATTAGCTAAGAAGATTCTGCAAGATAAAAAATTCTATTTCACCATTTATACCGATGTAGTATCTTTTTGGTAAATAGCAGACTCTTGTATGAAGTCTGTTAATTTGAGTAACCTTAAAATTGAAAAGAAAGACGATATTTGTATTTTCTTAAATAATTAGGTCCTATACGTTTTGAAAACAATCCTAATGGAGGATTTTGTAAACGACTCAATTTTTTTCGTTTCGCAGCATAGTAGTTCACCCCGTATGCATATTGGCGTAGATAGTGGGATTTGTCAATAGCAATTTATTATATAATTATAAGTTAACTTGGGGAAAAACTTTCTATTTACGGATACGTTTTAGTGGGGTTCGGAAACAAATAATAGAGATACTCCACCTAAAACAATTGATTTTTAGTTTCATATTTAATTCCATATGACTCCCAATATATCGAAGTATAAGAATTAAGTTTCTACGTACCAATCTTTTTTATTGTGTCAATTTTTGCAGCAAATACGCTCGCTTCCCAAGTCAAAAACGAAAAGCACCATGACGTCAACCAGATTTTGGATTTAGGGAACATTACATATGGCGGTTTATTTTACGACACTAAAGGTGATGTAATCCAAGCTCATTCAGGAGGGATTTATCATGACGACCATTCAAATGCCTTCCACTTATATGGTAATGATTTTACAAATGCAAATAAGAGTGATCCATTTGAGACTGTAAATTTGTATAAGTCAAGAGATTTAGTCAATTGGGAATTTGTTAGTGTTTTGGTTACGTCTGATAGTTATGGTTGGAATGAATCCAATGGGGGTAGTGAAACAGAATGCTCCGAGTTTGTAGTCTTAGAACGTCCAAAAATTTATTTCAACAAACATACCCACAAATACATAATGTATTCACACGTTACTGATAGTGAGTATAATAATAGCATGCTTGGTGTTGCTATTTCTGATGACCTTGAAAAATGTTGGAAGTTTGCTAAGTGTTACAAAGCAGGGGGATTAAAATCATGGGATGTGGGGCTCTATGTTGATGACGATGAAGAAACTTCGGTCTATTTGATCTACTCTTCTAATGCTAATGGAAAAGGTACAAATGGTGCCTTAAGAATTTCGAAGTTAACGATTGATGGTTTGAACATTGAAATTGAAGACGTTACCACTGGAAGAGGTCAGTTAGAATCACCTGTTGTATTTAAGCAAGATGGAAGATACACTATGATTGTATCACACACCAGTGGTTATTCAATCAACGATAATGTCTATGTACAAGCCTACGATATAGCGGAATTAATGAATGGAACATTCTTAGATTTTCTTGCATCTGAAGGTACAAATACTTTTGAGTCCCAATGTCATTATGCTTTTCCATTATCGGGTACACTTGGCGATTATTCAAATTTTGTTTACAAGGGTGATAGGTACATTAATCCAGGTTTAAACAATTCTGAATATTGTTGGGCACCAATCAAAGTGACTAACTCTGGGGTTTCATTAATGGATGCCCATACATGGAGGTATAAAAATAAAGAATTTACCACTGACAGAAGCTGGAACCATACAACCTAGGCTTTTTGGGCTATGTGCACTAAACACTACGCAGAATCTAAATCGTTATGTAAAATTTGAATTTATATATACCCAAAGCTATTCGATTAAGAAATTGCATACTCGCACGTTAAATAAGCTTAAACGCGGCCGAATTACTTGATACTCGTTCAATCAATCGCAGAAAAATCTCCACTAGAGTGGCTCCATAATTGTTTAAAATTAAAGAGGTTAAAAAAATAAAGAAGCATAACATAAATTAAACAAGGTCCTTTTATTCTTATCTTCAATATGATCCACAAATCCTTCAGACTTAAATAAATCGGCATCTGTACCATATTCAAGAGCTTCATCACTAGCCCTATATTCACGAATAACGTCCTCGCCAAAAACTTGCGCCACTTCTTCTAAATCTAGGCCCTTTGTTTCTGGGAATATCCAATATACAATGTTCATTTGAACCACTAACCAAATATACCATACGATGTAATATTTTCATTTTATAGTATACATTGCAATAGGATTCAAATAGTTATTAAAGAAGCCAACTACGTTTCCTGAAAGTTAGTAAAGTGTTGCACTTTGACCCCTCAAGAGGAATGGACATATATACATTAATAAGTCATAGAAACAGGTGCAACTATATTGTTAAAGTCCATGAAGAGGTATACCAATTATTATATGTCATACTAGAGTGGTAAGGACCCCATATCACTAATGCAGCGATAAAGGATCCAAATGGCCAGTAGGCTAATACCATAGCTGTCATCATAGCCATTTGGGTGGGAAAAGCCGTTTCAGCCAATAATGGAAATGCTGCTTCAGATGCTAGACATGAGCCAATTCCAAGCAAGATTCCTGCACCAATACATTCCAAAGTTGATGGCACCAGCTTGCAAAGCCGCACCAATAATTATAATAACACAACCTAACATAATGGTATATCTTCTACCAAGAAAATCGCAAAATACCTATGTAAATGATATGGAAATTAATGTGCCTATAGATAGAACATTTGTCATGGTACCTAAGCGACTTCCTGCAGGATTTTCGAAGTATTCTCTACAACTCGGAAGCGTCTGCAAATTATTCATCATACTACCATCGTATCCTGATGTAGCTTGAGCCAAAATGTACCAAGAAGCAAAATATTTAATTGAAGCAAGAATGGATACTTAAACCGTATTTTTTCAAGTTTGGGTGTAACATCTGCTAAAATGTACTGTGGCACATCATCCACCTCTCTTGTTCATATGTTGTGAAATGTTTTAGTATCCATATCAATTCAAAATTTTCCATACGTTTGCATAACATTTAGATTTATATGAGAAGTTAAATATGCCACTTTTTAAACGATTCATCGAATTCCTATTTGGGAGGAGTTAAGATGTAAGTATATGGTATTGCAGATCATTTTAAAAAATATGGAGAACTTGGCGTCCGCACAAAAAATTCCATATTAGGTATTTTTTTAGTGGAGAATAATGGGTAATGGTTGCAAAAAGGGTCACTAATATCGATTAGATTACACCGAGAATATTACAACATAAGGTTAGGCAAATAACTAAGTTGACCCCTTTTATTTCTTTCCCAGGCTTATTTAAGTTTGAATTCAAGAGCCCAATTCATGAGTCAAGAATACATGTTAGGAAAATCACCTATTTGATGTGGGCTTGAGGAAAAATGCTATTAAATTCATTCTTGCGGCGAAAAAAATGATTATATTTACCATTCCATACATATAGGTACCAACTTCTAGAACTGAAATTCAGTAAAACGGTACCAGCAGTACTTTATGAGCAGAAAATTTAAACTAATATATTGATATTAGAATTTTTTGTGGGATGTATAGTCAAGAATCATGGGATGCAAGATACATCTTCAAAATCCCATTTTCGTATTTCTGATAGCTATAGTTTTTAGGAAGCTGTTGAGTATGGAATTAAGGACCAACATTTAGAAAGTTCTTTAATAGAATAAGGGTATCTTTACATATTTTCTTTCGATTAAAAGACATCAGAAGCCGTCACGTTATCAATTCTTGATAGTTATAGGGATGTGGGACAATTTAGTCCAGAATAATGTTTTAATAATAAATCATAAAATAATGCGGATTCATAGTCGATCGATCAATGATCGACCGAAAAATTCGGGTCAATAAATAATCGAATATATATAAAGTCTCAATCCTGTCCATGAATATCATCATATTAATGATTCATTAGAATAATTAAAATGAGTGCACCATTACCACCACCACCGGGTATATACACTCCTATTCCAACCTTTTTCAAAAATGATTTAGTGACTATTGACTTTATCAGTCAGGTTAAACATGCTAATTTTTTAAAGGAAAGTGGAATAACTGGTTTAGTTGTAATGGGATCAACTGGGGAAAATTCACATTTGACTCGTCAGGAAAGGTTTTCCATCATTTCAAAACTTCATGGCGAATTGCCTGATTTCACTTTGATAGGCGGTATCGCGCAAAATAGCGTTGAAGATGCCTTAGACGAAATTGAGTCTGTCAAACAAGCCGGGGCAAAATATGCTGTTGTGTTACCTAGTAATTACTTCGGGGCTTCTATTAAACAAGATGGTATCTTCGACTGGTACACGGAAGTTGCAAATAAATCCTCTTTGCCAATATTAATTTATGTTTATCCTGGTGTGTCTAATAACATTTTTATTGATCCTAAAACTATCAAAAAATTATCTTATAATCCAAATATTGTAGGTACTAAGATTTCACATGGAGATGTGTCACACCATACACTAATTGGTATGGATGAAGATATTGCTAACAATAACTTCAGTTGCTTTACTGGTTTGGGTCAGATCTTGCTCCCGGCCTTAGTAGTTGGCTTTAAAGGAACTATCGATGCATTGAGTGGGGCGACTCCAAAGATTTATATTGAAATTTTAAACTTATACAACAAAGGAGAATTAAAAGAGGCTGCTCAACTACAACTTATTGCCACCAGAGGTGAGGAGTTGGTTGTAAAGTTCGGAGTTATTGGTATTAAAAAGGCTATTTTAACAGCAACTGGAATAGGGGAGACTCATTTAGGTCGTGCTCCACTAAATCAAGATATTTCCCAAGCTGATTGGAATCAATACAGTGCCCACCTTTCTGAACTAATTAGTATAGAAATGACTTTGTAGCGCTTATATACTGTTTAAGAATGTTTCAATATATGCATAAATTTCTAGTACAAAATATAAACGATGAATTATAAGCGAATAATGATCGGGCAAAATTTTAGAATTATTCACCCAAGGGATTTAAAGGGATGGGTTTTTTATAAATAAGAATCATTTTTTAATCATTAGATCTAATATGCCTTCAAAAAAATATAAAATTATAGATGCACATGTTCATTTGTTTTCAAAACGAAACCTTAAACTATTGAAATTTGATGAAGGCCATCCATTACATTCAGATTTTCGTTTAGATGAATACATAAAATATTCGGAGAATGAAGCGTTCCAAATTGATGGATTGGTTTTTATTGAGACTGACCCAATTGCTGATTTATCAAAGGGGCTTGAAGGGTGTGAATACCCCATTCAAGAATATGTTTATGTAGCTAGAAATATCACTGGAAATTTACTAACAGACGAAGGAGAAACGTCAGAGTTGAAACAAAATTTTATTAAAGCAATTGTACCATGGGCTCCAATGCCTTTGGGAAAGATCCTGGTAAGTAGTTATATTGAAATGTTAAAGAGTAGGTCTCTGATTGATGAATTCAGTTTGGTAAAAGGCTTCCGCTATTTAGTTCAGGATAAACCTCCAAATACAATGCTACAAAGAGATTTTGTTCAATCTTTAAAGTGGTTGGATGATAATAATTTCATATTTGACTGGGGTATAGATTTGAGATGTGGTGGTCTATGGCAATTTAAAGAAACCATTGAAGTTCTCAAGCAAGTTCCTAATTTAAAATATATTATTAACCATTTGACAAAACCAAACTTGAATATTGACCCAACTAAGATCGAGGAAAATGATGAGTTCCTTCAATGGAAAGACTATATGAAACAAATATTTGCCAATTCTCCAAACTCATATATGAAATTATCTGGGGGTTTTTCAGAGTTACCTTCTCAAGTAATTGAAAATAAAGATAAATGTGTTGAATATATCTATCCTTGGTTCAAGGTTTGTTTTGATCTTTGGAATGTCGATAGAACAATATGGGCAAGTAATTGGCCAGTTTGTTCTCTCGCTGCCGGTGAAGAGTTGACTTCAAAATGGTTTGATGTTACTGAGATGTTATTTGATAAGATTGAAGTGAATGAAGTATCGAGGAAGAAAATTTATAGCACTAACTATTTAAAGGCTTATAATCTTATATAAATTTTTATAGGCTGTCATATCATTGTAGATTGACAAATAGACCACCATCAACCAATAACTGTGCACCATTTACGTACTTTGAAAGGTCGCTTGCTAGGAATATCGCCGGCCCAGCCAAGTCTTCAGGTTGGCCTAGTCTAGCCAAAGGAATACGTTTTTCCATATATTTCTTTTTTTCATCATTATTTAAATCTTCGTCATTTAAAGCTGTTCGAATAGTTCCCGGTAATAGAGCATTACATCTAATACCATATGGTCCTAAAGCGCAAGCAGTAGATTGGATGATAGATAATATTCCAGCTTTCGTTGGTGTGTAATGTGCTTGATAGGCGCCCCCAACTAAAGCTGAAATACTGCTGATTCCAATAATACTACCTCCCTTTCCTTGTTTTTTCATTTGCTTAGCAGCTGCTTGAATAGCAAAAAAGGCTCCATTTAGATTTATGTCAATTGTTTTATAATATGTTTCGGGTTCAATCTCTGTAAATTCCTTGAATTCACATATTCCAGCATTTGATACAAAGACATTGATTTCATGAAATTTCTCAATTGTTTTAAGAATTAATTCTTCACAGTTTTCCGGCTTTGATATATCGCCAGCCACGCCTAAAAATTTATCTTCACCAATTTCCTCTTGTAAAGATTTAACTAGCTCTAATTGATTCGGTAAGTGATTAACAACAACATTAGCTCCATTTTTTGCCATTTCAATTGCAATTGCACGGCCAATTCCAGTTACACCGCCCGTTATAGCTACGGTCTTTCCCTCTAATAAACCATACATGTTTAGTGCTTAGTTGTATTAACTGTAGATGGCGATTTGATTCTTAATTATAGTCGATATGCAAAATGCTAAAAGTTTATGCGATCGGGCTTCGGATCATTTCCTAAATCGAAATGAAATATTCACGATGTTCATACGAACAAATAGCCCCACTCTTCCAATATCCTCACTAGCTACTTGTAGTTTTAGCTACATTGTTACTTATTAATTCAATTAGTAGCCTGTAACTTATATTAGATAATCTAGACTAATTGCGTAAATTTATATATTGCTTGCTATCTACTTGGCTATTCCATTGGCCTTGCCATTGGAATATCCATTTGTATTACCATTTGCATTACCATCAGCCAACTTTAAAGGTTTCTCTGGCGAAGGAGATAATAAGAAATCAGCATCAATCAACTCAATTTTTGGATTTAAGGTTAATCCAAACCCTGGCTTATCGAATGTAGAAACGTCGAGATATCCCTTTACTGGAACTGGTTCATCAATAAATAAGCCACCAAAAACTGGCAAAACAGAAGTTGAATCAGGAGAGTTGGCCAAATATTCCTGGAATGGAGTATTTTGTTGAGAAATTACAAAATGATAAGAGTATGGACCTGATGCATGTGGTACAACTGGAATATCATAGGCAGCAGCTTGGGCAGCGACTTTAAGGATTTCAGTTAATCCACCGACCCACATAACATCAGGTTGCAAAATATCAATGTTACGGCCCTCAATCAACTTTCTAAATCCATACCTAGTATATTCATGTTCACCAGTAGTCCATTTAATTCTTGGAAAAGCTCTCTTCAATTGTGCAAAACCTTCGATATCGTCTGGATGTAATACTTCTTCAAACCAATTAATGTTCAAATCTTCAGTGGCCTTGGCTAAATCAATTGCATAAGGAACAGTTAAAGACATGTAACAGTCAACCATCAATGGAAAGTCTGGACCAACCCTTTCACGATGATCCCTTAAGAATTGAACATTTTTCTGTAACCCTTTGTGCCCTTCGTCGGGTCCATATGGCAAAGCAACTTTACCACCCCAGAATCCCATTTCTTTTGCAGCTTCTGGTTTTGAACCAGTACAGTAGAATTCTAATTTGTCTCTAGTGGCACCTCCAATCAACTTATAAACAGGTTCATTTCTGATCTTTCCCATTAAGTCCCAAAGAGCTAAGTCAATAACACTAATAACGGCAATTGTAATACCTTTACGTCCATAAAACATAGAAGCTCTAAACATCTTATCCCACAAAATATTAATATCCCTTGGATCAGCCCCTTCTAAGAATCTTAGGAAATGATTCTTAACCATCCAACATGCTGGTGGGCCACCAAACCCGGTAGCAAACCCACGGGTACCATCTGTAGCCTCGATTTCTACACAAAATGAACCTAAAACGTTAATACCCCAGCTAACTCTTGAAGAGCGGTATTCTGGAAATTTTGACATAGGATTCGATATGGAATTGTCAATTAACCAATGTCCTCTTTCAACATTGTGGTAGTCACCGCCAATTCCTTTTTCATTCAAAATGTAGGTCTTGACAGACTTGATTTTTGGAAATTCTTTAACAGGCATCTTTATTTCGTATTCTTTTCTTATCTTTCTTCAGTTATATCATCATGAAGAACAATTCCTAGAATGGTTATTGTAAGATATAAATAGTCAAAATTAATTTGAATAGCTCCCCCACAAAACAAAAGTTCGTACGATTATTCTCCCGGATATAACCCACCGTGTATTATTGTCACTTAGTGTTTACAGCCTATTCTCTTCAAATCTCACATTGTATGCTTTTAACTTGTGAAAAAAGTCTTTGTTAATGCATTATTCAATTTATTTGACTCGCTCTAATTTGATTCTCAAAATCAAGTATTTCATCTACATTCTGAAGTCGTATTAATATTAGTGCGATTATTCAACCATAGTTCAATAAATTCAGGCTCGTGTTAATATTAGTGGCGTCATTATTATCGTTGTACAATTAGTAAAATATGGTAATAGGAAATAAAAGAATGATTTTCGATACTTGATTAACTGGACACGTAGATAATGCAATGGATGAATTCTTTTTCTATAATTATTTATATTCCTGTTCGCTATTATCAGGTAAAAATTATAACCAAACATCTACAATTTCCTCTAAATTATATTTAAATTAGACATAAACTGATCTAAATAAGGTTTTGATATACCTCTATTTACTGATCTTCTTTAATTCAACTATAACGTTTTGTTTTAAAACTGTCTGATCCCACTCAGCTTCTTTCAATTTTTTTAGTGAAAAGAACTTGTTCAGCAAATCCTAAACGAGCAAAGGCGAAAGCAATATAGGCCTAAATTTTTGCAGAATCCTCGTTATAAAAAGTTGATAACTTAAGGTACCAAAAAGATCTGATGGCTTCAGAAAATTCCCCTTTGGAAAGGGCTTGCTTCAAATTCTGTTGATACTTCGTTTTGCCGTTAGCATTATAACATACAATTTCCTAATCTCTAATTAATATGCACAATTTATATTAGGTTAATTCTATAGTGACAAGAAATCCAATAAGTTAACAGTCCACGAGCGCATTGCAGAACGTCTGTTAGATACAATGTTATCGAATGACAAGTGCATGCAGCTTGAAATATTATAGGAATGAGTATTTTGCAAGCTGTGCGCATTTATCTGAATTAATTCTAACTTCTCATTAAATTTCAACATACGTCAGTAGTATGGGGATCCATATATTCAAATTATTAAGCTTACATATATTGCAAACCGTTAGATACAGCTAATTCTAATCCAACTGAGTTTTTCTTAACCCTTAAGATAGTTATGAATGCTTTTGTAAACTGGTCAAACAGTGTGTAAACAGAATTAAATTCGCAATCTTAGGGGGGATTTCATCAGACCATGAAAAAATAAGCTGAAAAGGGTTCATATTAAAGGCCTTCTTGGAAGTACATGTAAGTAGTTGGGGTAGTGCACATAGTATCATTTATACTTGACATGTTTACGCTTCCGAGAGAGACCCTCATACGACCTCTCAGAACCACATTTCCAACTAGATCTAGCCCCAGGTCTAGTATTACCTCAAATACCGTTGCTAACTTTTCTTTTATATCGATCCTTTCTATGACATCTTGTAGAAAATCCATGCTGTTGCTGATCTTAAAGTAATACTATATGCTACAGTTTCGGTAACAATCCATTTTACGATTCTGACAGGTTTCATTGCAGCAAATTTTCCAGCAACTCTTATGAAATAGTATTATCGGCCGAAAGTAGCGCACTTAAACACCTGGGGTAAACAATCTATTCGGATTAAACAGTACGATAAATGACAGGCTCATCTTTGACGAGACGTAATATTAGCGGCTTAGGCAGAATGAAACATAAAGACACCGCAGAAGTTGTGAGCTTTGAACCTTGATGGATTAAATAATTAGGATCAACAAAGGAAATGGTTTTATTAGTTCGTATAATAATTAGTGACATTTTATTAATCCTAATTTTGTTGTGTATCTTCATAATTAGCTTTCCTCCCCACAACAAGGCTTAAGTATTTCATATGGGGCGGATTATTATCTCTCCTCATTTCTTAAGTACTATTTCGAACGTTGATCCGATAGAGTAATGAATTGCTAATACTCTTCTTGAAAGTACTAGGTGAACAGTCTTATTTAAATGGCTACTTCGTTTATAAAAAAAAGTAAATGAAATTTGGTTTATATTACTAAATTCAAATTAGACGGTCTTATTATAGTTAGTTTGAAATGGGTTACCACGATAAGTTAGTTGGGCCAGCAATAAGGTTTAATAAATATTTGGATAAGTTTCCAAAAGTATACAATGCCATTTTCATTGGCATTGTATCCTGTATATCAGGTATGATGTTTGGTTTTGACATTGCTTCGATGTCTTGCTTCATAGGAACAGATCAGTATATGCATTTCTTCCACTCGCCAGATTCTGATTTACAAGGAATTATTACTTCTTCTATGGCGCTAGGATCGTTCTTTGGGTGTTTCGCATCTGGGGTAGTTTCTGAGCCATTTGGAAGACGTGCAGCTTTATTTGCATGCTCTTTTTTTTGGATGGTTGGGGCGGCTATTCAGTCATCATCTCAGAATGTGGCACAGTTGATTTGCGGTCGTTTAATTTCTGGTTTTGGTATTGGATTCGGCTCATCAGTTGCACCAGTTTACGGTTCTGAATTAGCACCTCGTAAAATTAGAGGTCTTATCGGTTGTTTATTCCAATTCTCAGTTACTGTAGGGATTATGGTAATGTTTTATATTTGCTATGGCTGTTCACAGATTGATGGAACCGCTTCTTTCCGTCTCGCATGGGCGATACAAATTATTCCTGGTTTATTATTATTTTTCGGTTTATTTTTCCTTCCAGAATCTCCAAGATGGTGGGCTAAACAAGGCAACTGGGAAGCTTGCGAATTTATTGTTGCAAATATTCACGCAAGAGGAAATAAAGAAGACCCAGATGTGCTAGTTGAAATCTCCGAAATAAAGGAGCAAATAATGTTGGACGAGAATGTTAATCGTTTCAGATATATCGACCTTTTTAGAAAAAAATACATCAATCGTACAATCACAGCTGTTTTCGCCCAGATTTGGCAACAACTAACAGGTATGAATACTTTGATGTATTACATCGTGTATGTATTTGATATGGCTGGCTACTCTGGCAACACTAATTTGATAGCCAGTTCAATTCAGTATGTCCTTAACGTGGTAATGACGCTTCCCGCCTTCTATTTAGTTGACAAATTTGGGAGAAGGCCTGTTTTATTGGTAGGGGCTGTATTTATGTTCATTTTTCAATGTTGTATTGGAGGACTTTTAGCCACATACTCTATACCACATGTTTTTGAGGGAAATCCTACTGTGAGGATACAAATTCCAAAAGAGAACGTAGCTGCAGCCAGAGGGGTTATAGCCTGCTGCTATTTATTTGTTTGTTCCTTCGCCCCTACTTGGGGGGTTGCTATTTGGGTATATTGTGCTGAAGTTTGGGGTGATAGTGCTTCTAGACAGAGAGGAGCTGCAGTCTCCACAGCAGCTGACTGGGCACTTAATTTTGCTATTGGTATGTTTACGCCATCAGCATTCAAAAATATTACTTGGAAGACTTATTTTGTGTTTGCAGCGTTCTGTGGTTGTATGTTCATTCATGTTCTCTTCTTTTTCCCAGAAACCAGAGGTAAGAGATTGGAAGAAATTGGACAGGTTTGGGATGAGCATGTACCTGCTTGGAAAACCGCATCGTGGCAACCACGTATCCCGTTGGTTTCTGAAATTGAAGTTGCTGAAAAGAATATTATCGAAGAACGTGAACCTTCTGGTTCGCATTCTGATCTATCGGAGGGAAAAGATAACACAATTATTGCCCAAAACCTGGTTTAATTTATTCTGCAAATAAGCGTTTCCACAGCAAAAAATATACATGTTCACTTTAGAAGAGACCCTTCCTCATCCTACCCAAACCAAAAGCAAATAATAAGATATTATGTCAGGTTGTTAATAATTTTATGATATGTAAAAGTGTGAAAATATGTATAGTGATTGTTGGACTTCCATTCTATGGCTGTCTCCATGTTATGATACTGTCCAATTGTATAGATATTTCATATGTAGTGTACTTTGCGTCTAGTGACCAAAATTGGAGGAATTTAATCTTTAGTCAGTGGTAGTCAATAAATAATGTGTTAATTATAATTAACCCGCCAATAATAACAAAACACTCCAAATCTGCATCTAAAAAATTCAAATAATAATGAAGTCAATTGTGATTCCTAGGCTACTTTTATGCCGGTGCCCACTTAAATATTGAAGAATGATATTCTGGAAATTGTGGCGCAACGTTTGAGATGAAATTGTTAATTAACTAGTGCCTCTCTCAACATTATGGTAATTAACACCAATTCCTTTTCCATTTAAAATGTAAGTCTTGACAGACTTGATTTTTGGAAATTCTCTAACACGTCTTTATTTTATATTGTTTCTTTCATTACAGTTATTATCATCGTAAAGACTAGCTCCTTGTATGGGCCTCTTGCAAGATACAAACAGTCGAGTGTGTTACTACTCCCCTACCAAATAAAGAAGAATTGTCCGTGCGATTATTATTCAGGGTATATCACGGTGCATGATATTATTGTAACATTCTTCTGTAGCTTTTTTCTGAACTCTAACTTTGTAAATTTTAAATTCCAAAGCTTTATTCAATTTATTTAGTCCTTTCTATTTGATTCTTATCTCAAAATCGTTTTAATTTCCGTATAATCATGTCAATAAAGCCTCTCGTGTTAATAGCGCGATCATTCAATATTGTAATTCCAGTAAATTCAATTTCGTATTAATGTTATGGAAGATTATTTCCTGAAAATTGACTAATTTTCGAAATTAGTGAACTTTTGTCGGTGCAAAACCATGATACAGAGTAATACCATATGCATCAACGATTTTAGACATCTTTAAGTGTGCAGGGCGATAAGTTTTCTTCATAGCTTTCAGTGAATCCATTATCTGTACATACAAACATCTACAATTTCCTCTCAACTATACCTAAATTAGACATGAATTGTTCTAAATAATGTTTTTATATATTTCTATTTACTGATCTTCTTTAATTCGACCATCACGTCTTGTTTTAAAACTGTCTGATCCAACCCAGCTTCTTTCAATTTCTTGAGTGAAAACCCAACATGTTCAGAAAATCCCAAATGAGCAAAAGCGAAAGCAATGTACGCCCAGACATTTGCAGAGTCTTCGTTATAAAAAGTTGACAATTTAAGGTACCAAAGAGCTCTGATGGCTTCGGAAAATTCCCCTTTCGAAAGAGCTTGCTCGATTTCTTCAAAAGCTGTTGCTACCTCATTTTGACGTCCGTTAATAGTAGCTTTCGTAGTTGCTTCTTCGAACGAAGTATCAAACGAACAAGGTGCTTTCTTGTTAGGAGCTATCTTCTTCCCTGCAGGCAATGGATCTGGTCTAGCCTTAACTGGACCTGGGACACCTTGATTTATTTGAGCTTTAAAACTATCTGGAACTGTAGACATAATGATATACTTAAAAGATAAGTTATAATTGATTTAGGAATTGGATGCTAATAATTTCGTTGATGAACTTCTGATGGCGTCGTATTTTTCAGTAAAAAACTTGTAATTCGAGAAAATTGGTTTTTGTGTTCAAAGAAGTATCGATAATAGATAGCAAAAATATTTTTGTGAGTTGAAACCTCGCTACCAATTATGTATGCTACAAGTCTTATCCGTAGTCAAGAGGTATAATCATATATTTAAGTTTATAAAATTATCGAAATCAAGTAAATAGTTTGTTACAAATATTTAACCCATCCTTCAATTTTCCGCATAAGTATTAGTATTAAATTTGATCCAAAATCAATTTAACTATAAATAGAATTATATTAAAGAACCAAATAATATTGCAAGCAATATGGTAAAAAATCCAATTTAATCAATAAACGGACTTCACGTAACTATTAAATTTACTTTCACACAATCGAACTGCGATCATAGATGAATGAAGTGAATGTTGCATGGAATATACTTTGGTAGCATTCGACTCACTTCAAGCAACGTGATCAATAGCCGCTTTTTCTTCGGTGGATTCTGAACGAGATGAATGTTCATCATGCGCAGAATCCATCTTTCCGTGAATTTCATTATCTGAAACGATTGGAATGTGTGGTTGCCACGAAGCAGACTTCCAAGCTGGAACATGCTCGTCCCACATTTGTCCAATTTCTTCCAATCTTTTACCTTTAGTTTCAGGGAAAACGAAAAAGACATGAAGGAACATACAGCCACAAAAGGTAGCAAAGATCATATATGTTTTCCAAGTAATCGTCTTGAAGGCATGCGGCGTGAACATGGCAATAGCGAAGTTAAAAATCCAATTCGCAGCAGTCGCAACACATGCACCTCTTTGTCTTGAGGCACTATCACCCCAGACTTCAGCACAATAAACCCAGATACCCACACCCCAAGTAGAAGCAAATGAAACAACGAATAAGTAACAACATGCAATAACACCTTTGGCTGCAGGAGACTGGTCTTCTGGGATTCTAATTCTGACTGTATTATTACCTTTAACTTCCTGAACAGGTTCACCATATACTGATAACAATCCACCAATAGCGAATTGCCATGCCATCATAAAGACTGCCCCTGTCATCAACACTGGTCTTCTACCAACCTTATCCATTAAATACAACGCAGGAATAGTCATTGCAAAATTGATACAGTATTGGATTGAAGAAGCTACCAAGTTTGCGTCTCCCAGATAACCAGCCATATCAAAAACATAAACAATATAATACATTAAAGTATTCATACCTGTTAATTGTTGCCAGATTTGGGCAAAAACCGCTGTCACGGTCCTAAGAAGATATTTCTTGCTGAATAAATCAATATAAGTAAAAGATTTGACTTTTTCTAGGGTCTGAATCTGGTCCCTAATCTCGGCCATTTCAATCAAAACCTCAGGATCTTCTCTATTACCTTTTGCTTGAATTCTAGCGACAATATCTTCAGCTTCCTCCCAATAGTTTTGCCTGGCCAACCATCTAGGTGATTCTGGGATAAAGAAACAACCAAGGATCAATATTAATCCTGGAATAATTTGTAAACCCCAAGCAGTTCTAAATGAACCGACTGCTTTGATTTGGCCTAACCCGAAACAGATATAGAACATGATCAAAATACCTAAAGTAACAGAAAGTTGGAAAAGACCCCCAATTAACCCTCTGATTTTTCTAGGGGCTAACTCTGAACCGTACACAGGTGCCACAGATGAACCAAAACCAATCCCAAAACCAGAGATAAAACGACCAATAATTAATTGGGCCACATTCTGTGACGACGATTGAATGGCAGCCCCGACCGACCAGAAGAATCCACAGAGTAACAATGAAGCCCTTCTACCAAATGGTTCGGAACAAAATGCAGATGCAAGAGAACCAAAAAAGGATCCAAGCGACATCGCAGCAGTGATAAACCCTTGCATATCCGTGCTAGGAGTATTAAAATAGCTAAGGTAAGCCTCATTACTAAGGAATGCCGACATCGACGAAATATCGACACCAAACATCAACCCTGAAATACATGAAATAGTAGCAATGACATAAATATTGTAAATGTTTGGAAGTTTATCTAAGAATAATCTTAGCTTTAAAGCTGGTGCGACCAACTTTTCTTCATATCCCATCTTTTAAATTCACTCTAATTAATCTTTTATCAATTTTCAATTATATGCTACATAAAAAGGTCAAGTTTTAAACAACGATTTTGCTCCCGTTTTATAAGATATTGGAATCTCATAAATTCGAGATTATCCGTCGCCTACAACACAATAAAAAAAATCGTATCATCAATTTACGAATAAATAACACTCGCATATCTTCAGGAGTTTGTGGGGCACATATTAAATCTCATGCTGAAATACGGACAATTATTCCAAAGAGGGAAACTACACGAATTCTCCACATAACCGTTTAGGGCATACAACAGCATTGCAATTAGAAAAAATATAGCGGGGAGATGCATAAATACTATTTCGGAACAATTATATACGGAATGATAGGAAATAACTACCTTTACGAGAAATAAGAGGTTTCAAACCACTTATGAATCGTCATAAAAGGACTATGGTCCTGCATTTGAGCTAATAAAATATACGCATTGTAACTTGAACTCGACGCCGTGCGAAATATACCATAACCGTACCACATTTATTTTAATTGTTACTGCAGGACGAAGCTCAGAGCATGATCATAAAAGCTAACTTTGATCCATTTATTCCGGAGCCAGAGAAACTGGTGGCTGGTTTTCCCAATCACGTAATTAATAGAAATTAGAGATATCTGGTATGAGTATAATGGTATCGATGAGGACAATAGGTCGATCAGAGATTGTACGAGTTATTTAAAACAGGGAATTGGTTAAGTTGGAGCGTATAAGTAAACAACACGGATAATGTGTAAAATTCTCGATTAGTAAGCGACACGGAATAAGTTTGTAGTGACTTCATAACAGGTCGATAATTTGGACGTCATGTTTTCGAATACATATTCTCCATCCGCGTCTAATTCCGCTAATTCCGTGGAAAGCTACAATTAGGTACCAGTAATGATTTGCTAGCGTGTAACATTGTAATTATTGAAATCGTCCAACTCAACTGAGTAATAGAAATAAAAACACAAGAGATTGAGAAGCACAATTGTTTGTATATGACCCGCGAAGTTTTCATTCTTTGATCGGGTTTGGGGACGACGTAAAGACCAAATCATAACTTATAGATTTTGCTATACAGTCGAGCATTGTTTATGAAGGATTTCAGAGCTTCTAGGCCCAACCAACAAATGAATTGGTATAATTACGCAACCTTATTGTTCTAATTTAGAAATTACGTACGTTAATAATGTAACATAGAATCTAAATCATCAAATTGTTTAGTGGTGGCTTATTACTTGGTCATTTAGGGTGCCCTTTTAGATGTTGCACTTGAACCCTTGAAGAGAAGCTTTGCTATTCCTTTTTTAATCAGTATCCCCAGCGGAATATTTGCGTGACTGCAATTTATTATTTTTCGAGGTCGGGTAATTCTGCATAGTCCAGCAAAAATACGGAAAGTTGCAACCTTTACTTATCCATCGTTTATAAATTAGAATATTATTGAATACATACGGATATCTTGCTCTTGCAACATAAGATTGGACTTTACAAAAAGAGCAAGCGAAAGATAATAGAAAATGTTGTAATTTGATTAAATGTTAATTTTAAAGAGAATTATATTTTTTTGCGAAAAATTGTAAACTATGATAATTACTTTTTTAGTTGTTACTTATTAGAAGCCAAGAATTATATTTTACGTTTTCTAAAAGATCTATGACCAAAGTAAGGTCAACCACTGTAAACCTTTTAATGGTTCTAATGGGGGTTCAGGGTTTTCTTCATAATTCGCGAATAAGCTGGCCAAATCCACATCTTCAGGCTTGATCAATTTTGTTCCTTTAAAACATTTCCAAAAGATATATAACACTGCGAACAACGGAATCACGAAATACGAACTGAAAAATGATGATATCAGAAAATTACCATGCAAGAAATTGGAAAATCCACTTGTTAGCAATATTAATGCTGAAAAAAATAGTGAAATCCATGCCGCTTGGGGTGCATACTTGAACGTATAGGGGAGCTGTTTTCTTGAATAACCTTGTACTTTCATCGCTTTTGTCAAGCATATATGATTTAAAGAGATGGAGCACCAGCCTAGAAGTAAGTTGGAGGAGGTAATGTTCTGGAACCACAGAAACACAGTTGATGAACTCGACGAACTTGACATGTATGCCAACGGAATAAACAAAGACACTGCTATAACTCCAAAATATGGAAGTCCTTGTTTGTTTGTTTTAAGAAATATGCTTGGAGCTTGGTTCTTAGAGGCCAACGCGAATAGCGATCTTGAACCTTGAATAATTGATAAATTTGCTGCAGAGAAAGCAGAGGTCAAAACAACAGCATTTATAACATGTGGTAATCCTTTTATTCCTGCTCTTTTAATGGCAATAACAAAAGGAGACCCAGCTGCATTACCCGTTGGTGATACTATATCTGAATCTTTCGAAGAAAGTACTAATGTTAATACAAATACTGTTAAAAAATATAAGGTAAAAACACGGACAACTAAAGTTAGGTTAGTATTAAATATATGAGACACCTCTGGCTCGGTATTAAACCCTTTGAATTATACACACGAATTCGCTTTGCAGCTGTAAAAATGCTTCGACGAGGATGTTCTGTTTCTCCCCCATACAAGCTAATGGTTTGAATTCCTCCATAAGAATAAACTACTCCGGAAACACATTTCCAAAAAGCAAGGAAACGACCCAATGAACCTGTGCTATAATATTCATTCCAAGGAGTTTCTTTCCAATATCGAAAACCTAATCTTTCCTTTCCTTTAATACCACCTAAGTCAATAGTCAAGCATGTAAGGAACAAACCAACGATTAATAAAATTTTAAGCATTCCGAGGTAAAACTCAACCTCGCCATAGAATCTTACGCTATATGAATTTGTAGCAATAATTATAATGCCAAATATAGAAATCCAAAGAGCTGAATTAATTTCTGTCCAATAAGTCATAACAACCGCCGTAGCTGCTAACTCAGATGGGACAATGGCGGCATAAATGTTAATCCAACCTAAAGCAAAGCCTAACCCCTCATCAATAAACTGTTCTGATTGTCTGACATAGGATCCAGTAACTGGCATTAAAGTAGATACCTCAGCATTCGCCATTTGATTTAAACCAACAACAAAGGCAACAAAAGTATAAGCTACCAACATACCCACATTTCCTCTAAAAATTGGTCAGTTAGTAATAAGCTTAATTAGAAGTAGTGAAATTTTGTTAATACATACGCAAGTGCTAATGTACTTCCAGAAGATAAAAATAATCCTGTACCAAAAATACCAACTAAAGCTAGCATTTGAATATGTCTTTGTTTCAAGCCTCTAGTCAAGTTGCTCTCCGTTTTAAAAACAATATTGGAATAATCATGGTCCTCAACTGTTTGCTCATGGTACGCATCTTTCTTATCTTGTTTTAAAAACAGATTTTGATAACTATCGTCATTCAGACCGATAAATATAACTTCGCTTGAAGGATTCGTCATTTTGAATTCATAAAATTATATAATTAAATATCAGATTGTCAATTACTTGGATTTAAATATGTTTTATTGAGGCTGATTACATGCTATACAGCCACATTTAAGACATCTGAAAAATACACAGCATGAAAAACAATCATGATTAATTTTGATAGATGAAAATAGAATCAAAACCAGGTGCTATAAGAGAATAGAATGAATGTAAAATATAGTGAATTAATATATCTAAAATGCTAGAAGATAAGGTTTCAAATTAAAATAAGAAATGTTAAACTGTCATGTAATATCTTTCAGATTATGTTTCAATACTTGCTCCAGATTTTGCGCGATTTCGCAGCCACAATGATCTACTTATTTTTTCGTTTGATAATAACTTTTAATTTATATGTTGTTTAATAGTTGTTAAGTTTAATTCAGAAGAATGACACATCCAATAGTTTCAATTAAATTATATCAAAGTATATAATTACCTAATCAATTTAATCCTAAGGCCTCTCTCTGAGATCTAGATCTAGGATCAAAATATGGGACCTCAGCTAAGGATGAAACTCTTGTTCCATGTCTTGCTTCTTTTCCTTCATGGTCCCAAACAGCAAAGTGTTGGGAGACTCTATTGTCCCACAAAGCAGAAGTACCTAAACCATCTTTCGTTGGTTTCCAGTTGAATCTGACCTGAATATCTAAATTTTTTTCGAAGACTTCAAACAAGTACTCTAAGATAACCTTGCTTTCTTCCGTCTCCAATCCAACAATTCTTCTTGTCATAGAACGATTAACGAACAAAGATTTCCAACCAGTGGCAGGATGTGTTCTAATAATTGGATGTTCTCTTTCAATGTTTGCACTTCCTCTTAATGGATTTTCACGATCTACATATTTATTTGCAGAAATATATACAGCATTTTTACCCTCCAAGAATTTCTGAAACGCAGGAGACAATTTATCGTAAGCAGCATAACCAGATGACCAAACAGTATCACCACCAACGTCAGGAATGGCATCATTATGTAAATGCGTAATTCCTGGTGGCTGTAATTCGTGAGTTAAATCTGTGTGCCAGATACTAGTTCCTTGTCCAACAGCATTCTTAAAATTAATATCCAAACCATTTCTCCTAAACAAGTCTTGCCAGATAACAGTAATTCCATGAAGTCCGGGAACATGAACTTGTTGAGCATGCTTTTCAACTGTTCCCCAATAGCTTCCCAACTCAAGCTGTTTCTGGGGAGATAAATCTTGGTCCCTGAAAAAGACTACTACTCTTTCAGCAATCAACAAAGCTAACTCATCTTTTTGTTGGTCATCCAAATCCTTCAATTGTAAGCCAATTATCTCTGTACCAATATGCTTGGTTAAATCTCTAACTTCTTTAGCGGCACCAAATAGCGCCTTTTTCTCAGGATCAGCATTCTTCCCTCTTTCGATATAAGGTGTTTCAGAATTTCTTATAGCTTCTGCTTGATCAAGAAAGATTGGAATATCCTCTGTAGGTGGTCGTTCAGGATATCCCTGTGATAAATCAACATCAGCCTTCTCTAATCTAGTTCTTGTTGTACTTGGCAAGCGTTCAACCCATGAATCAACAAAACCACCTTTATATGATGATCTGAAATCACGGTTTTTGCTATCGCTATTGGTATTCAAGCGAGTAATACTTAGAACAGCTTCTTCTAAATCAAAGTTTATGGAATTGGGTCTTATTACTTCTGCGGTAGGAGCCATTTTTTTATTTTCGGTTTTTAGCGTTAAGATTAAATGGAAACGAATCTCAAACAGTATCTTTATAGTATTGGGAGATTAGTAATAAATAAAATTAAAGTGCTTACTGTGGCTGGATTATTAATACTAACTCATGCATGTAAGATAATATATGGTTTTATATTTGCAATCTTATCGGAGAAATGCAATATAAAAATTATGCCACTTATTTATCCGCCACTTATTTATTTGTGCCATATTAATTCAGTTGAAAAGCTTTAAGCAATATGGAACAGTAATTCTCGTTCGCAAGCATGTCTTCGGACTCTAGAGAAGTGATGCTTAAAAATTTTTATACAAGCTATAATGTAAATCATAGAGGAGTATTGAGGCCATAAATAGGCATACTCCTCATGCATTTACGATCCTAATCCTTAACGTTCTTTGTAATCTAAATAGGAAACTGCTTGAAGTGTGGATCATAATTTATACATATGATATCAACCTTGCGAAATTTGCTTTCGCAGCCATGTTTATAAGACCATAACCACAGTTATGATATGCATACACTCAAAATAACTAATGGTCGTAAGTTCGTTGCATAAATCATCAATGGAGTATGAAATCTAACAAATATGCTGACTTTATTATCTTCATTATTGTAAAAATTACAACTATAATTTGAAAGGTTCAAAATAACATATTCTATAAAATCTATATATATATATATATATAATAGCTGGGTTAAAAATACTAAACATTAAAATGTATCACCTATCCACTTCATTCAACTGAACTTATATAAAACAATCGGGAATCCTTGATGGTTTGGTTTTCAATCAAGAACCATATCAACATCATCAATAGCATATCTTTCCTTGATTTTTTCATCCCTTCGGACAAAATGGACCGCAATTCCAGTCATTACTAGTCCAAAAGCACTTAAACACGCAGTATATGTAAATCCAATAAAATATCTGGGGCTGTCATTGGTATTCCACACAAATATCGGGACAAATGCACCTGTAACATAAGCTAGTGTATTTGTACATACAACAACAAAATTTCTCTTCATATCATCTTCAAATAATAATCGATTAACCCAAGAAAAAATCTGAGGTTGTCCCCAAGATGTGGGCACTCCTACCAAAAAATAACTAAACCAATGAAGTCCTCGTGGAATATACCACCCTGAAAGCAAAGCACATCCAATTAATAAACAAAAAAAATAGGCAAAAATAAAATAGTGATTCTTTTTACCTCCAATGAAATCCGCAAAATATGACATGATAATAGCAACAGCGATACCGACACCCGAAATAACCGCAGGCATCCGATTATATACCTCTTGAGGTTCTTTTAAGGTTAATTTCATCCAGCCTTCAAAAGTAGGCTGATTTATAGCAGCACAACTGTTATTATAAGCAAGAAATACTAATGGAAAGACGTATATGTGCCAAGTATTGAAGAAGCTTTTAATCTTTTTCCAAGTATATTTTCTACGGGTATTGAGCTGTGCCCCGATTCTTCTTCTTCTTTCCAAGGCAACTAATTTATCATCATTTGTCCAATACCATGCATTTGTGGTTGAAGGTGTATTTGGATCGACAAACATTGTATATATTCCAATCGGGAAGGAAATTACTGCATCAAATACGAACATCCATTTGAAAGGAGGCAAGCTACTATCTGAAAAGTTATTCAAAATTGTACTTTGTAAAGGACCAGAAACCAACCCAGATGCAACTCCAGCAACAGCAAAAAAAGTTGAACGTTTACTCAATTCTTCTCTACCGTACCATGAGCCAACTAAGTATTCCAAACCAGGGAAATAACCAGATTCAGTTAGACCCACAAAAAACCTAATTGCATATAATCCATTCAAAGACTTACAAGTAATCATCAAAACAGTTAAAATAGCCCAGATAATTTCTAGACCACCCAAGTAATAACGAGCACTAATGCGATGAAGAATTAAATTCGATGGGATTTGCCCAATAATATAGCCCACTGTCCATAAAGTATTAAGGTAATTATATTGATTCTGGTTCATATTAAAATATTCATCCATACCATTAATGTACGCTGTCTTAACATTAGACGCATTCAACTGCTTGATAAAATAGCCTAACATGGAAGAACTTATCAAAAAGAAATCCAATTTCATCAAGAACTTCTTTTCCGTTGGATGCTTGTCAACAGAATCCCATAAAAATAACTTCAACTTGTACCATTTTGAATTTTTTCTATAAAGTTTCTCTTCTTCGGATAAGTTTAACGTTAAGTCAATGTACGGCGTATCTTCGTCATTTGAATCAGAGGGCGCAATACCCCTTTCATTAACTATTTCAGTGGTTTTCTTAGGTGATGACTCAACCAGATCGTAGTTGTTAATTTCATAACTAACAGTATCATTCGCTTTGATGCTAGAAGATTCTTGCACTGTTTCTGGCATAACTTAGAAGTTGTATATTATCCTCAGGATTTTATGGTCAGATAAGAGGCATTCAACCTCCTTTAATAGAAATCAATTAAGTATACTTCTCCGAACATAGAACTGAATTAAAGTTTGCTTATGCATTAAGAGACACCATATAAGTGCGTCTTATTATGTACCTTTGTCATAGTATTACATGAACTGTGACTGGATTATTGTAGATAGATGTGGATGCAAAAGATGTGGAAGTTGCATTATTGAGCTGTGGATTTTGACACGCTTATTGTTTAGCGCACTATCACTAATCTTTTATCTTGTCATTTAGGGAAAGACTTTTAACCTCTTAGTCAGATTTTGGAACTGTGGTTTCTTGTTTGTGTTTATTTCGCCATCTATCCAGATTCAAACGTAATACAATGGTTTCATAAGATTTGTAATCAATCATGTTGCAATATAACTGTTTTTTTCAAAATGTGTTCGAATGAAGTAAGGAGCTTTAGTTAAAGATCTAAACGCAAGCGCTTGAGCAAAGTCTACCAACGATCCATTGCAACATAAATTGAATATTTGGCATATAGATAAAAGCATATATTGAAAATGTTGTGAAAAGAAAAATAATTTTAAGGATAGATAAACTATAAAAATCCTATTATGAAATGAATTTTCTTGTTTCGAAAGGTTAATATGATATATTCAATTCTTATGGTTCTAGGCAATACAGATTTTGCAATGGAGTGAACTTATAAATGAGATTCGAACCTTTTAATAGCTTCTTCCCAGTTTATAACGTTCCAAATAGCCTTGAAATAATCAGCTTTAACATTTTGATATTGCAAATAATAGGCATGCTCCCATGCATCAATTGCTACCAATGGAACTAGAGGACCGGTGACCGTGTCTTGGTTGTATGTAGTCACAACATCTAAGTTCCCACCGTTTTGTTTGTTTTTGACGATGAATGCCCATCCTGAACCCTGAATACTAGCCAACTTCGCGTTTGTAATGGTTATCAAATTATCGACAGAACCATATTGTTCAATGATTTTTTTGCCAAGCTTAGTGTCCGATCCTGGATGTTTTCCACCATTTTGAGAATTAGGTGCCAAACTTTTCCAAAATAAAACATGATTAGTATGTCCACCTCCATGGAATTTAATATTTTGTTGAATTTCAACAGCTTTTTTAACGTCTCCTTGAGCCTCAGCTTCGATTAATTGTTCAATTGCGCTATTATAACCATTAACATATGTTTGGTGATGCTTCTTGTGGTGAATTTCATTAATCTTACCAGAAATATAAGGCTCTAATGAATCATAGGCCCAATCTAATTGGGGCAATTCAATTTTATTTTTACCAAATGCTGTGTTGTTTGCCATCTTTATGTTATACGGTTTTACTTTAAATTGTATATAATTCAGTGCTTAGTCAATTTATAAGAAAAAGAATATCATTTTTATAATAGGAATTTAAACTCATATTTATACCCTAAAGGTTACGTCGGATCATTTCCGTGTTATACGAGGAACATGAAAATGTACAACTTATTACATAAATTACTCCACAATTGCGTTCTAATTCATACGTTTATAGAAACAATGTACTGCTCTACGAGGCTCATCTCCTATTACTCAAATTGAACCACATGTGAGCTGAAATTTGTGCTGATTAAAAGCAACGACCTGGTCCTTATGGCTGATATAATTTGGAAAATAAGGTGGACAAGACAATACCAGGCTACTTTCGTTAAAATATTTGCTCAATTTATGATGTCCATCCGATTACTGGTTGGGATAAGATAAATGCTCATCTTCGGTGATTTTATAACTGAAATGAAATCTGAACTTTAGTTCATAAATTATTGTCTACATTTTTCAAAATTTTATTGGATAATTAATCTAAATTTAATCGACCTTAATTATAAATTTAGGATCTATAGGAACGAAATTAAAATAAATTCATCTTGTTTTAGTTACAGTATGATATTATTTAAAGCATATGTGGAGCTGGTATTTATGGAGATGCAAGGCCGTGTAGCTACCATAAAAGATAGGACCTAAGTAAGTCAGTACTTGAAAGGTCTTGACTTCACCTTTAGAGAAACTACTTCAAGATATATAGAGAAAGTTATCATTATTGTCACTATTGCAAAAACCATCGATTCCTTCATAGGCATTCCAAAATATTTCACCATGGAACGCGTTGTTCTTGATAGCTTATTTTTAGAACATTCTTTAACTCAAAGGCTGTAGCGCACATACTATCCGCTAGTATTACTACCACATACAACGTGGTTCCCATACTCTGATTTTGAAGTGCAATACATCCAGATAATTATCTACTTGTGAACCTAATTTAATTGAGTGAATGCAGACTAGTTAGATCCGTATTATGTAACATTTAAGGGACTGATCTTATTATGCCTAGTAACTCTAGACCTGCACTACTTGCTGCTTCATTGTGAGATATTTACCGTTTGCGATTAAACTACATTACCATTACCATCTGGCTCACTACCAAGCCAAGATGTTAATATTGCCGAACATGCTACAGCTGCAATTCTAGTCAGAAAATTCTTAGTAGACACAACAGTGCCATATCATATTGCTCCATCCCATGCGACCACCCCATCCTTAACAAATTATCTCAACAAAAGCCATAATATTATTATCAAAATTAATATGATCGTGGCTGATAAGTTGAAACACTTTGAATAAGCTAATTGTTCTCTCACTAAGATTTGATGTTGAAAATAAATGCATACAAGAATTTCTTATCTATAAATTTACTTGGTCTAAGTATTCATCACGCCTATAAAGACCCCTTTTTATAGTAGAATACTAGGATTACATAAACCAGTCTGAACAATAATTAATTAAGCTAGTAATAGCTGAAGTAATCGAGCCATAAATCGAAGCATACTGAGAAAAACGGTTCCGGCAAATTCACACGAATTAAGCAAAAGTTAAGAAATGAATAATGTAAAAGCGGGCCACATGACAACTAAAGTATAAACTAAATATACAATCATGTTGTCTAATATCTTGAATTATTATCTATGCATTATCTTTCTGAAGAAATAGTATTAGAAAGCCACTAATAAGGATTATTCAAATCGACCTCTAACGGATGAATTAGCTTCGTTTTATAAAAAACTTTATACCCTAATATTAGAAAAATGTTGACCGCTATTCCAATATATGAAGTAATGAAGAGTTTATAATGAAATGATGTAATGAATGCACTATAACCATTGAAGATGGTGACAATTGCAATTAGAAAAAGAGCAACATAAGATGTATATGGTTGAAACCACATACGAAATGGAATTTCTTCACGGCTAATGTTTTGCGCTTTTATAGATCTCTGGTATCCAATATATGCAACCAAAATATAGATCCAATTTATGATCCCGAAAACCGAAACAGTGCTAGTGATGTAACCGAAAACTTCAGCTGCCGATTCTTTAGTATTCATATAAGCCAACAATCCAAAAAGGGCAGCAAAGGAGCATCCGATGAACGGTACATCGAAGCGATTCAATTTTAAGAAAATTTTTGGTGCTGCACCATCCTTAGCTAATCCATATATCTGACGCGAACAGATATAAAGATCAGTATTGGCAGAGCTTGAGATGAATATTAATAAACAGGCATTAATAAATGAAGGTAGCACCTTTATACCGGATGACTTGATAGCAATAACATATGGAGATGCATTAGCATTAGTGCCATTAGCATTCACTAATAACGGATTTTTTGGAGAAACTGCCAAACCCAATAAAAAGACACCAAAAATGTAAAAGAAGCAAATCCTGAAAATAACTTGCCTCGATGCTTTAGGAATTGTTTTCTTTGGGTTTGGCGCTTCGCCAAAAATTATACCAACCATCTCAGATCCCACAAATCCAAATATGGACTGGATAACACATGCCCACCAACCAAGAAATTGTCCTTTTTTACCATCCACTAGATAAGGTAAAAACCCGGTTTCTCTCCAGAATCGAAATCCGATTGTTTCATGATTTGGTGTCCCCCCACATGTTATCACAATACAAACAATAAAAATTATAATTAAAACTAGCAACTTACTTGCTGCCAACCAATATTCTATTTCGCCGTAAACACGGACACTGAAATAATTGCTTGCAATAACCAATACATATAGTACAGATATCCAAATTGCAACATTTAAGTCATCTCTCCAGAACTGGATAACTAAACCTGCGGCTGTCAAATTAGCCGATAATACTATAGCATATTTGAAGAAATAGTTCCAACCGGCTGCAAAGCCAATTGCAGGGTCAACATACTTTGTACAATAACCACTAAATCCTTTTTGCATTGGTAAGAAACTAGCCATTTCCGCTAAGGAGAATAGAACTACCAACAATAAGCTGCCGGTAAAGCAATATGCTAGAAAGATGCTAATTGTTCCTCCTCGTTTAAGTGCAGTTCCAGATCCAATTATTAATCCTGTACCTATGGCCAGTGCAAGAGTTAGCATCGAAACATGTCGTTCCTTAAAATTACGAGCGAGGTTGTCATGATTCTTAGAATCGACTGGATCCTTAATTACCTCTAAATCGGTAATAGAAACTTTTTCTGACGAATCGTTGGATTTTGCGAACATTAGATAGATGCTTTCGCAATTATTTTATCTTGTTATATTTGGAATGCTTTATATTCCGATGAAGTAGTCTGCACGTGAGACGTTGATATCAAAGATTAAACGGCTAAAAAAACTGTGGTTCGAATCGATTAAAACTCCGAATATAGGCCACCTGAACGATTCAAACGCCGTTTAACTAAAAAATTGTAATCAAGTACATCTTATCCAATTAATCATTATCCCATGGTATTATCTATATACTGTAGACTAAGAATAGTAATCAAGCTATCGAATGTTTAACGTATACCATATCATCTCAGATTTATATGGAATCCGTAAAAATATCACAATGCAATATGCCGTATTGCCTAAATAACTATCTTGCAACTATAAAACCCTAAGCACCTGGCCTAAGCGATATGGACAGCATCAGGCTTATCAGCATCCGAGTTAATGGAGTTTGAATCTTCGACGTGTTTTACTTCTAGCTTTTCCCGCAAGTCATTATCAGATAAGAATGGAATAGATGGTTCCCATGAAGCTGTTCTCCATGCTGGAATTCCTTCATCCCACATTTGGCCAATTTCTTCTAATCTTTTACCTTTAGTCTCTGGGAAAAAGAAAAATACGTGAAGGAACATACAACCGCAGAACGTAGCAAAAATCATGTATGTTTTCCAAGTAATGTTTTTGAACGCAGATGGGGTAAACATTGCAATCGCAAAGTTAAAAATCCAATTAGCTGAAGTTGTAAAACATGCCCCTCTTTGTCTTGAGGCACTATCACCCCAGACTTCAGCACAATACATCCAGATACAAACACCCCAACTATATGCGAATGATACAACAAACAAGTAGCAACATGCAATTACACCCTTGGCAGCGGTTGAGTTATCAGATGGGATTCTTAATCTGACAGTATCATTACCACCAACATCATTGGTGGGTTCAGCATAAGTGGAAAGCAAACCACCGACTGCGAATTGCCATATCATCATGAATGCTGCACCGCTTAACAAAATGGGCCTTCTACCAAGTTTATCCATTAAATATAATGAAGGGGCAGTCATAACGAAAAAAAGAACGTACTGAATTGAAGATGCAATTAGATTTGCATCGCCCTGATAGCCAGCCATATCAAAAACATAAACAATATAATACATTAACGTATTCATACCTGTCAATTGTTGCCATATTTGAGCAAATGTTGCGGTGACAGTTCTAAGGAGATATTTACGCTTGAATAAATCTGCATAAGTGAAAGCTTTAATATTTTCCTCTGCCAAAATTTGATCTTTGATCTCAGTTATCTCAATCATGACATCGGGATCTTCCCTATTGCCTTTGGCCTGAATCATTGCCACAATGTATTCAGCCTCCTCCCAACAGCCTTGCTTTGCTAACCACCTAGGAGATTCAGGGATGAAAAAACAGCCAATGAATAAAAGAAGACCGGGAACAATTTGCAATCCCCAAGACAATCTAAATGATGCTACACCATTGATAAAATGTAAAGCATAACAAACATAGAACATAATTAAAATTCCCAATGTAACCGAAAGTTGAAATAAACCACCAATTAATCCTCTTATTTTTCTTGGTGCCAATTCTGTTCCATAAACTGGGGCTACTGAGGAACCAAAACCAACACCAAAACCAGAAATAAAACGACCTATAATTAACTGGGCGACGTTCTGTGACGATGATTGAATGGCAGCTCCAACACACCAAAAAAATGCACAGAACATCAACGACATTCTTCTGCCGAAAGGTTCTGAAATAAATGCGGAAAATAGGGCCCCAAAGAAAGACCCTAAAGACATAGATGCTGTAATAAACCCTTGAAGTGTAGAATCTGGTGAATTGAAGTAATCTAAATATTTATCATCTCCAATGAATAAAGACATCGAAGAAATATCAATGCCAAACATCATACCAGATATACACGAAATACCGACAACAATATAGACATTATGAATGTTCGGAAATTTATCCAAGAAGTTTCTAAACTTTAAAGCAGGCCCTAGTAATTTATCTTCGTATCCCATTATGCAAATACTGTTAAAGCAATAATTTCGAAAAATCTATTATTTCTAAAGAGAATTGTTTTATATAGGGATACTTCCCTTTAAATACGTTCGATAATATGTTTGCTTGGAATTCAAGCTACAATTTTCGGTTGTGATGAGAATGGATTATCCAGAATTAGGTTTAATCGAAAATATGCGAGGTTCCAAATTGTGGGGCAATTTCCTGTACGGATATGGTTTAATGTTATTGCGGGTTTCTTATGGAGCCCAATCATACAATGATTCCTTTCCGCGGAAGCTAACAGCTCTATGAATCTACCTAGGTATTCGGCAAAGGTGAGTTTTTCGGAATTAGGTTAATTAACATAGATGTAGTTCATTTATGTGGATTATGGTTATTTTTCGTTTAAACAGCGAAATGCCAATTGTTATTAGTGTGAGCCAGCTGAGACTGCATTGCTATTGGAGTAGCAAAAATACATCTCCGGAATACTTTTTTTAATTCTAAGAATTCTACTTTGATATGTTCATTATGCCTTCCATAAGCGACAAAAGAGTGTTGCTAATTTGATTGGTATTCAAGGTAAGATATGAGAGAGCCTAAGACATAGCTGTGCTATATTTCGGTATAACTAATCTCTAAACGAAATTTAATCCAAATTAAGGGATCATCCGAAATCACGAGCAAGGCTAAAAAGGGTACGCTTTTGGTGGATGGAGGGGAGGATGAGGGGGAGGGGATAAACCGAAATTCGCGTACATGAACAAAACACGTATACATAGCTATAAACTAATTGACTGAAGTCGGAAGAAGTGTTGGAGATGGTGTACTTGTTGTAGCGGTATGAATATCATCAACTACACGCAAACTGATTACTGTTCCTGCGGAACATTTCAAATCGGTTGAGAGGTAATTTTCATACTTGTTTCGAACAAAGAAAGGACAAGCCGAAAACCCGGTATTACCTTGATAAGCCAATCTCCCATCGCTAATTGAGAAGCCTTTGGAAGGATCTTTGTCTTTATCTAAAGACAAACCAAATGGAGCGTAATACTCGTCACCGGGAACAATGCTTACTTTAACACCAACCTCATTTTCAAGCGTGCCATCATCGTTCAATGTAAACCTAACAATATCACCAAGAGGATCAACAGCCGTGTTGTTTCCCGCATACAATTCATTATACTCTTTATGTTTTGTTATTGGGACATAATTAAGATCAGATCCATAGTTCACTATTAGGAGCTCGAATTGTCTGCATGCAAGAGCAGAGCACATAAAAACACAGAAAGCCACAATATTAGATGATTTCATTTTTATCATAAAATAATTACTGTAGAATATAAATTTAAGTTATTATTTAGTAAAAAATATTTGTATTTATACATAATAGATATTCAGAAGGCTTTGAGTCTAAAAATAAACCTAATGATAATCTTCCCCTCTGAATGAATCGTAAGCTTGATTTAAGGTTTGATTAGAAATAAAAAGTCTTGTTTTCTATGAAATAACAAAACAAATTTATGTTTGGTTAAAAGTAATTATTGGTTCTATATTCAGAATATAAAATCTAAAAATAAATGATCAGTTGCGCAAGATTGTATTATCAATCCACAATTCGCACCCATAAAAACCGGGGTCATCATATACACGTTTATGATTATTATTATTATTAATAATTATGTCCATCATAGGGATTTCAATACGAATGATGATCTTAAGCTACTTCGTTATTAGAGCGTTTGAATATTTTCTTGATTGAATTTTCTTTCATATAGTCAACAAAATCATCATCTTTCTCAATTTCTTCAACATTATCGATACTTGAGTGTTTTCTAGTTTATGATCTCTCAAGAAAAATGCCGTTATGAGCATTGGAACACAAAGGCAAATATTGACAATCATTAGAATCTTTGAACTTTTCTGTAAACTTGAACAGCGTCCAGTCTTTCTTGCGTTTCCCAACCGTAGTTTGCTTCAAATTCATATAACCGTGAATAGTCCGCATCACCAAGCTTCTTGTACAAACCTCCATACAAAGTTTGGGTCTAAAATGGCACCAGATACGGCAGCAGCAACAGCCGTACCAACTCTATAGACTGTGTGTAAATAACTGATGTCATTATGGCCATGTTTTTATGTGTGACACAACTTTGGAGAGATACTGTAATTGGATAAGAAAAGAAAGTTGTACCGAATCCCATTAAACACAATCCACCAATAATACCAGAATGATAGTCTAAAACACTTAGAAATGAATTAATATGCCGAAAGCAACAATCCGCATGGAAATCCCAAATATTATAAAGCCCTTTAATCTCTTGAATTTGACCATGAACAAACCAAAGAAAACGCTATCAACAACTGACACAATTGAAGACAAGGAAGTGATTCTAGTTGCAGACTTTTTTGATTCGTTCACCGCAACTATTAATACAGCATACGAATAGCTTGACTCAACACCCGAAACAAAATCTAAAAGAAAACTGATCAATCCTGCAATCCAGTTTTCCCTATCCTTCATTAAAGCAAACCTGGCTACCCAAAAAAAAAAAAATTAACTAAGATAACGACATCAATGACAATTGAAGCAATAATATTTCCCTGTTGCCATTTGCTTTTGGTTCCACCCCAGTTAATGGAATTAAAATGCAACCTATACCTACAACAAAAAATACGGACCCAATTATGTCTAAATTCCAAAATAAATATTTCACGAAACCCCAAACACCCAGTCCTTGGAGCTTTGTTTTCCTTTGTTTGAATGCTTTCCATTCCTCTGTATTACCTGCCAAATAACGCATATGGAGCATGCAACATATCTTTGGGATACAAGCGAGGGGGAATATGAAAGCCCATATGCCAACCCCCATGACCACCTCATACCTAATGCGCTCGTAACGTCACCGGATATCCAAGTGTTGATAATGAAAGGGAAAGTAGGTACAAATGAAAAGAACAATCTCCACTTCAAGCTTGAAAAATCAGATAAGATGAATAATAAGACAAGAATAACTCCGGTATCCGATTTGATACAACACAGCACCTCCAGCGTAACGCTGAGCATCGTAGGCTTGGGATTCAATAATAGTACCCACTAAATAGAATATAATGGAAACAATAAGTAATTCTAATCTACCAAATATGTCGAATCTGGCATAAACTGGTTGAGCGACAGCACCCACAAACGCAGTTATATGAGATGGTAGTCAACAAAGAATGCTCTTCAAATTCTTGACGTAACCGGTAAAGAAATATCTTATTTGACCGTCTAGACCGTAAGCATAACCTACTAAAAATGCTGAGCATAATAGAATAACTTTATAATACCAAGTATCCCATTATGCAGCTGATAATTCAGCTTTTTCGACTCCTATGGACTTTTCTTCTACCAAAGAAGCGGGCTTGCTAGACTTTTCTACTATATCAACCGATTTCTTAGAAGAAGTGTCAAAACCGGCGTTACCACTTGACATTGCTTAATACTCCTGATTATCTAGATAATCTAATTTATGGTATTTATATATCAGATAATGCATTTGAATAAAAAAAGTTACGGCGAGAAGAGAGATAATGTTATGGGCAATGACATATTGTTTTGGCTTTGTATTGGGTAATAATTAGAATTCGGAAAGCAGTCCGATGCATACTCTTGATATTCTGCTATCGTTATGCACGTCATTTGAAGAATGAGGGGAGGTGTCTTTAAATAAGAAGAGCGAATAATATATAAGATGACATACCGGTAACGCATTTCACTTCGCAGTTTATACATGAAAAATTGGAGTTACATAGAATTATAGGTAAATTTCTACACTGAACAATTTATTAGTATTTAGAAAGAAATTCTTAGATATTTGTATATATATCTACATGGATAAGCATTACCCGTTTCATAAGCTTGTTACATTTTGAAAAGAACAACATCTATAATCAACTTCTTAGCCTTTCTAAACTTTTTTTTAGTCAAAAAATTAAAATTTATTTTTCCGTAATTCTATTTGACAAAATCAATTGAATTAACTTCTTTTCCAATGTCTCCCACGGAATCAGTATTTTGAGTATTCCGTAGTTTATAGTCACTTGACAAAAATGAGAAAAATAGCATTGGAACGCAAGATCAAACTCAGATAATTATTAAAAATTTTTGATATTTCTATAGACTTATACAGCATCCTGTCTTTTTTGCTTCTGCCAGTCGTATTCTTCTACAAATTCTTATGGGACAGAATAGTCATGAAGGTCCAGTCTTCATCATCAGCTTTCTATGCAAGTCTCCGAGCTATTGTAGAACCAAAATTGATTTTTTAGAATTAATCTTGAAGTTATATTTGACATATCCGATCCTTTTGATTATCTCCGGTGGAATATTAATTTGAGATGAATCGGAACATCTCAGTTAATATTTTGGAGAAATTACGGATAAGTCAGAAGGCGATTTTAACTGTTCTGTTTCTAATTGTACATTTACTGAACAACTATTCTTTGATAAATGTGATACGCCAACATCGAGGAGCTATATATTAGCGTATTTATTATTTCCTATATTCAAATTTCTTATCTGATGCAATTCATTAGACTTGGCATTCAAATAACTACGTTACTGGTGATATTATCCCATAAAAGAACAGAATTGAGCTGAGACATTACCATAAAAAAAGTATGCGAAATATTCAGAGAATTAATTGAGATATAGACACTAACTAAAACTAAAATCAATGCACAATAGTCGATTGGTATGTTTATAATGAAATTAAGTATCCTATCTATTATATCAGTTCCGATATGTTACGTTAGGATTCCCAAAGGATAGAATACAAGACTCCGTGAAAAAATGACACAAAAACCAAGAATACCGAGGATTTAAAAATTACTTTTTTGTGTTGGTAGTTTCGCTACCTACATAATTGATAGTTTTGACTTTTTTACGCATGAAGAGCGATGAATAGATTAGGAGCCCGGAACATCAAGGATGCGATATAAAGAAATTATTCACACATGCCATCGGCTTGTCTTTCGTGATAAAACTTAACACACACGTATGCGCGACCACCTCAACAGTGTATTTAATGCTAATAGTTCAGGAGTACTTGAAATAAAATTTAAGAGGTATTTCTACGTCGAGGTATTCTAAATCTTCTATAGCAACTAAACTAGAATAATAATTAAAATATTTTACCGCTTAAAAGTCAGCATGTACATATTTTTTCTGGGCTGGTTCTAGATGCCTAACCTCACGCCTAATCAGAAACATAATTATATGCAGTACAACATACGATTACAATTAACGTATCTCCGGAAAATATCCCATGTATTGTTCCAAGCGGTAAAAACAACATTCCTCGCCATGTGAATTAAGTAATGCTTGCAGAGCTAATGACTACCAGACGTTTTTGACTACCTTGATTGACTGGCGCTTTGACAGTGCCACTCTATTATTCTTCACGGATAATCTTTCATTATGCTTTATCGAGCGAGACAAGAAGTATGGCTGACCAAATATAATCGGAATACGTTTCTTCAACAACGTATAGTATATATATCCTCTGATATTTCCATCATCGTATGCAGTATAGAGGCAATTTCCCTACGTTATTTCAGCCTACTTCAAAACCCCAACTTAGTTTAATGTCTATGTAACATCAATTTATGGTAGTCTGACTTGACTGTCGTATGCATTTCTGTGGTAATACATACCGCCTTTCAAACAGCTGGTCTGTGATTTTAAACTTTAATTGGGATCCGACACCAGTAATTTAAGCTTTTTGGTTATGAACCTCTACACATGGAAATGCCCAGTAATTTCGATTTTTAACCAGCGACACATCAGCATGTTTTCTTGTCGAAGCTCATGCAATAATCAATCATTAAAGCTTAATTTTGAGCCGCTATTTTTGGCTTGTTTGCTTCATTATAGCACTATTGCAAGAATAGCCATTAAAAACAATATACTGGGGAAAAACAGAGCATGTAAATCTCGTAAGTGTTGTGAAGGTTTTTTCGTGAACTAAAACTAAACCTCGTATTGTATCTGGTTTATGAGCTCCGTTTAGCTTTGAGGTGGGGGTAAAAATGTGGAGACAAGTCAGCTTTCATACCTAAATTCGTGTTTCGTACATATTCTCTCGAATAAGTATATTTCAAGCATAAATATTATTAAATCCTGCATTGTTAGAGGCAACTATTTTACCCTTATATGCATTATTGACAAACGTTCAAAATATTAATAAGAAACGTCCAATCACATTTCCCTGGAAGACACGGCTTTTGACTAAGCAAGTGGCATGTTACGTCATAATACCTCTGGTACGGTTCGGGTCGTTGCATATTTTTTTTTTCTTCATATGGCTGTTAAATGTTCAGCAGACATAAACAACCAGATTGTACTGGCAAATCCGAAAAAACTATATATTGGGAAAGATTTCCTGAAGTTTTGAATGTGTTTTATTCTCTTCTTTTAGATTAGGTTTATTACTATTATTTGTTAGTTTCGGAAGACAAGACTAATAATATGGGTATAAAGATTTGGAATAGAACTAATACTTTTGGTCTTAGGGGCCGTGCCCTTAGATTGGCCATTACAATTACAGCCGTGACAGGTTTCTCGTTGTTCGGTTATGATCAAGGTTTAATGTCTGGTATTATCACCGGTGTTGATTTTAGTAGGGAGTTTCCTGCTGTCACAAAAGATGGTGCTGGCTCGGAACATTGGGCTACAGTTAACCAGGGTGCGATTACTTCATGTTATGAAATCGGATGTTTCTTTGGTGCATTGTTTGCTTTATTTAGGGGTGATAGATTCGGAAGAAGACCAATGGTGATTATAGGATCCTTACTTATTATTCTTGGTACAGTTATTTCCACTGCAGCGTTTGGCCCACATTGGGGATTGGGTCAATTCGTCATTGGCAGAGTTATCACTGGATTAGGTAACGGTATGGATACTGCTACGATTCCGGTTTGGCAATCTGAAGTTTCTAGAGCGGAAAATAGAGGTTTCTTAGTTAACTTAGAAGGATCAGTTGTTGCACTCGGTACATTCATAGCCTATTGGTTAGATTTTGGTTTATCGTATGTTGAGGGTGAACATGCTTCTGTTCAATGGAGGTTCCCAGTTGCGTTCCAAATTTTTTTCGCTACAATTTTATTTGCAGGTATTATCAATTTACCAGAGTCACCAAGATGGTTGATTGCTCATGGTTACAAAGATGAAGCGCATTATGTTTTGGCATCTTTAAATGATGTTGAAATTGGTGACGATTTGGTTATTGCTGAAAGTACTGTTATAACCGATGGTGTCAACAGATTTGCAAGATCGCAAGTTGGATTTAAAGAATTATTTTCAGGTGGTAAGCTGCAACATTTTTCAAGAATGGTCATTGGAGCTTCAACTCAATTCTTTCAACAATTTACTGGTTGCAATGCTTCTATCTATTACTCCACTGTTTTATTCCAAAACTTAAATATGCAAGAGACTTATGAAAAGTTACCTTTGGTTATGGGAGGTGTATTTTCTACAGTTTACGCATTAATGACTATACCATCTTTCTTTTTGATTGATAGATTGGGTAGAAGAGCCTTATTTTTGATTGGTGCTGCTGGTCAAGGTGTAGCATTCACTATTGCATTTGGGAGTTTGATTAAAGATGATGGTGAAGATAAAGGTGGTCAGAAAGGTGCTGCTGTCGGTATTTTCTTGTTTATTGCCTTCTTTGCATTCACCATTTTGCCATTGCCATGGGTTTACCCACCAGAAATCAATCCTTTGAGAACCAGAACTGTTGCTTCTGCTGTTTCTACTTGTACCAATTGGTTAACAAATTTTGCAGTTGTTATGTTTACTCCACTTTTTATGGCTGAAAGTCAGTTCGGTTGTTACTTATTCTTCGCCCTTTTCAATTACCTTTTCATTCCGGTTATCTTCTTCTTTTATCCTGAAACAGCAGGCCGTACTTTAGAAGAAATTGATATTATTTTTGCGAAGGCACACGTTGATAAGAGACAACCATGGAGAGTTGCTGCTACTATGCCTCACTTAACCTTGAAAGAACAAGAAGAAGAAGGAACTAAATTGGGTCTTTTCGATGATTTCGAAAAGGAAGGATTTGAACAAAGTGAAAACATTTCATCTAATTCATCTAACAAATCACCTGAAGATGATCAACCTTTAGTTAAGACTGCTGAAGTTTAAATTTAGAGAATATTATATAATTATACATATACCCATTAATATATTTCTAATATTATAGTCGCTGAGCAATGTAAGAGAATGTAACTTGATTGTGTGCGGGAGACGTTCATTAAAACGACGTTTCTAAAAAATTATGAGATGGTCATTTCTTACTTTTTTATCATGATTGACAAACGTTCAAAATAATTTTAGATGACCAATCACATTTACCCTGGTATAATAGTTATGTCATTCTGCTGTTGTTACAACCGGGGGATTTTGCATATTTTACACGGCTGTTAAAATGTTCAGCCGCAACTACTATATTATAATACCCAAAATTATACATGTTCGATCGCATTGAGCCTGGTATAGAATAAGCAAGGGTACGTCATGTCACTAACTGTCACGATTCGAGGGATTTTGCATATATGGTTGTTAAAAGTTCAGCAGCAACTTATTGTTCTAGTTCCCAATAACTATATATTAGTGAAGAAATTCCTGTTGGAACAGATCCTCCTGTAAGCTAAATACAGATTATTTATTTGTCGACTACGAACATTATAATATGTATAAAATATGGTCAAAAACTAACACGATGGGACTCAGAGGCAAACCTCTTAGAGTTGCCATCACTGTATGCTGCACTATTGGATTTTCATTATTCGGTTACGACCAAGGATTAATGTCGGGCATTATTACTGGCAAACAATTCAATGAGGAATTTCCGCCCACTCACGGTACAGATCAGCATGCTACTGTTATACAAGGAGCGGTTACGTCGTGCTATGAGTTGGGTTGTTTTTTTGGTGCTTTGTTTGCCTTGTTTCAAGGTGATAAGTATGGTAGAAGGCCAATGATTATTGTCGGATCTCTGCTTATTGTCCTAGGTACTGTTATTGCAGTTGCTGCATTTGGTCCGCAATGGGGATTGGGCCAATTTGTTATTGGTAGAGTAATTACAGGTTTAGGCAACGGTATGGATACTGCTACTATTCCAGTGTGGCAATCGGAAATTTCTAAGGCTGAAAATAGAGGCCTTTTGGTTAACTTGGAAGGTTCCATGGTTGCCGTTGGGACATTTATAGCCTATTGGTTAGATTTTGGATTATCGTATGTCGATACTTCAGTTCAGTGGAGATTCCCAGTTGCATTCCAGATAGTATTTGCTCTTTTCTTGTTTTTTGGTGTTGCTCAATTACCGGAATCACCTAGATGGTTAATTGCTCATGATCTCAAGGATGAAGCTCATTATATATTGGCAATTTTAAATGATGTTGAAATTGATGATGAATACGTAATTGAAGAAAGTGCCATTATAACTGATGGTGTCAACAGATTTGCAAGATCCCAAATTGGATTCAAAGAACTATTTTCAGGCGGCAAGCAACAGAACTTCGCTAGAATGATAATTGGTGCATCTACACAATTCTTTCAACAGTTTACTGGGTGTAATGCTTCTATCTATTACTCAACTGTCTTATTTGAAAACAGTATCGGATTAACAGGTAAATTGCCTTTAATTCTAGGCGGTGTTTTTGCGACCATTTATGCTTTATCGACTATTCCATCTTTCTTCTTGATTGATAGGCTAGGCAGAAGAGCTTTATTCTTGATCGGTGCCACTGGTCAAGGTATATCATTCACCATTACTTTCGCATGTTTGATCCCTGATAATGGACAAAATAAGGAGACAGCCAAAGGTGCTGCCGTTGGTATATTCTTGTTTATCGTATTTTTTGCGTTCACTATCTTACCATTACCATGGATTTACCCCCCAGAAATCAATCCCTTGAGAACAAGGACAATCGCTACTGCAATATCAACATGTACTAATTGGTTAACAAACTTTGCAGTCGTTATGTTTACTCCTATTTTTATTGGTGCAAGTAGTTACGGCTGTTACTTATTCTTTGCTATAATGAATTTCCTTTTCATTCCTGTCATTTTCTGGTTTTACCCCGAGACAGCTGGTCGTGAGTTAGAAGAAATTGATATCATTTTCGCAAAGGCATACGTTGATAAGAGACTACCATGGAGAGTTGCCGCTACTTTACCACACTTGAATTTCAAGGAACAAGAAGAAGAGGGAATCAAATTGGGTCTTTATGATGAATTTGAAAAAGGAGTACCTGAACATGTAAACACTTTGTCTGACGCCTCAGGCTCAGAAGATGGTTCAAACGAAGCCGCTTTAGTTAAGCCCGCGGGAGTTTAATTAGGACTACTATATAATTCCTAGATATAATGTATTTCGAATATTATGTATCAAATGTCATTTGCATAAAAGTGTACTAGAATCTATTTTGATTACATGGAGAAGCCACTTCTTTAAACAGATGTCTTACAACCTCTGAAACACACCTTGATAGGGTATCTGGACTAATGAACTACTTATCATTAACCAATGTATCATTTACAATAATATAAGTACATTTGTCCTAAAACAATTCTAATGAAATTTATATAATAAATTAGTTTATAGGTTAGCAATCTTATCAAACATTTCGATGATGGTGTAATAATGTCCTATAACTCCTAATAAAACACAAATATGCCAGATATTATGACTTGAAAAACAGTAATCAACCCACCATAAGGAAAAAAAATCCTTATTATATGGGGTCTTGATTGGTTCTGAAGGAAAATGCTTGTCAATAATATCTCTATATTTGTTTTCTTCTTCCTCAACAAGATCTTTTTCGTCATCAATGTTTTTACAATCATCCTCATCATAATAATGATTATATTGTTCGGCTTCCTGTCTTATATCATTTTCAATTTGCTCCAATTCTTCATTACCACTGTTTTCAGGGTTTCCTTTTAAAATATCACTTGAATTGTGTGAATGATTACAAGTTTCATCTTCAATAATTACCACATCATATCTCCATCTCTCTGGGAATAAACTACCATAAAATATGACCCCAATTGCGTACCATATAAGACTCTTGTAAACCATTGGGAAAAAGAATTTCATTGACGAGACAAAGCCTTCATAAAATATTTGACATATTACTGTGGTAAAGCCTAAAAATGCTAAACCAACATAAAATCCAATTCTCAAAGATCTGCATTCTGGCTTATCAAAATATGGCGACCAATTGAATGTAAATCCAGTTAACCCACAAATGGACGAAAAAATCATATAGATTCTAAGCAATGCAGGATAGCGGTATAATGAGCAATATTCAGCAGACATAATCGAAGCAGTGATTAATACGGTTATCCCAGTATAATCAACACAGGCACAATTCGATTTGGTAGCTATATTAGCAAATGAATTATACGTATGAAAAATAACCGAACAACCAAGACAACCAACAGCCGCAGCTAAGAAAGTATACATGGCAGCATTGTCTTCAAAGCTATTTCTTCTGAAAGTTTCGGTTCCCGGGTAATGCCAAAAAGAAATATACAAAAACAACAAAAACCCAAGTAAGTGGGTCCAAATATTCATGCTTTCATTGTGATTTAGTTTGAATACTGATTTCAACATATTCAGATGCTTCATGGAGTACCTATAACCGTAGACAATATAACGATTCTCTCTCCAACGTAATGGTAACTGATAATAATGCAAGTAATTATTTTCAGCTGCCTTCAATGCCCTATTGAAGTTGTAGAAACCAAGATGTTTAAAAGTTGGCGCCTTATAATCAGCTGTACCCTGGATGGTACGGTCTTGTATTAAATTATCGACTTGCAATAATTTTTCATCAAAGTACTGTATCGTTGTAATTATCTTCACAGACAACATCTCCTTACTGTTAGAACCGATTTTTTCATCATCTATCGGTGTACTAGAATTAAATAAATAATTATACTGGTCATCTAACGTATTGTATAGGTTTTCTAAATTGGTAAAGGAAGATTTCAACACCGAGTCCTTAATGAATCCTAGTCTTTGATAAATCATGTTTAAATTATTAACAGAAAACGATCTGATCGAACTCAAGCTGGCATTACTGTTTCTTCTTGATTTATCGGACTCTTCGGGTACCCTAAGTCCCTCATCTATCTCCCCTTTACTCACTTTGAAATATTGTTCGAAGCTATCTAATCTTGATTCGATAGACGACAAAAATTTATCTAGCTTCTCAATCAAGAGCTCCTCGGTCGTCTTTTCATTTTCGTCTGGAATAGACTTATCAAACCTATTCCTTAGTAAAGTAGTAGTCGTGGTATCACTAGTAGACATACTTGATATCAAATACTTAACATGCAAGGTAAAACGACGGAAAAGAACTTAAAATCTATACTTCTACTTAAATGAATCCATATAGGAGAACGGTTGTAGTATTTCTTTTGAGTATTTCAAATGCTTACATAATAAATCGACAAAGACATATGATTTAAAGGTTGTCATTACTTTCCATTAGATTCTGCTTATGAAGAGCAAGAGCAACTACAGGCAAGTAAAAAGCATTAAATAAGTATATTATGCAAGCATTAATTAATTAATTTGGAACAAAAATATTCACAGAAATAAAAATTTATAAAATCTCAGAAGCGTTTCTAACGTTAGTCGGTGTCAGCTATATGATGCTTCAATCTCTCTATATTTTCGAAATCGAATAGGGCCTTTCTCAAGGGCTTTTTCATTTTAAATGTTGAGGTTAATTTATTATACTCTTGTTTTAATCGTTTATCGCCCTTTAATGCTGTATTATCTCTTCCTAGATGGTCAAATAAATACTTTCTTTCTCGCGCATGTATATCGGTGTATTTCTTGGTTAAGTAGTATTCAACCAAAATAATATCGTCTTCCAATAATCTCAATACTTGAGCATCTGTCATTTTGGAGATTCTTAGTAATAGTTTGTCCTTATCTATGTTTCCCTCGTTGTTACGGACCTCTGTTTCATCGAAAACATCAGCAATTTGTTCTTTTCTCAACCATAAGTTGATTTTGTGCACAAAATACCAATCATTGAATTCGTACGACGACAAACCCTTCGAATACTCAAAAATTAATCTATCAGTAATGGTCAGTGGTATGTAGACAGGGACACCACCCATCATGGAGTATTTCAAAGGTGACAATTGTTCTAATTTGTAGAAGTGCTTACGACGATCGTTATAGATTTCTACTTGCTCGTCATGAAACCCCTTATCAATATTAACTAACTCGTTATTGACGTACTCCTCTGGTGTATTGGCTTTCGATTTACTCAAACCTGTAATATCAATATAAATTCCAGAATCAATATCAACGAATCTTGCATCTATATGATTTGACTGCTTCGAAATACCTCTGTTATGAATATAGGTACCGACATCAATTAAGTATTTGCCATAACCTTCTTTAGGGTCTTCAAGAACTAAAGTTTGATTATAGTCCTTAGCTAATCTTGCTAATTCCATCATCGGCATCTGTATATCAATATCAACATCGAAGGGAAACATTAAGCCATCCCAATACCAAGAAAGTAAAGGACCATGCATAATCCAGGTAATGATACCTTTTTCTTCGGCAAACCTATTCCAATTTCTCAATAATCTGTCTAAAATAATATTTGTCCTTATAATCAATTCAGATTTAGACCACCCACTTCTTTTATAGTTTAATGCACCATTGAAGAATCTCCAATCATAATGCCATCCCCATTCATGATCACGATTTTTGTCATCATCAATTCTAATAGTGGCCATCTTGAAGTACGTTGGTTCATTATCATCATTATAGTTTGAACAGTCCTTTAAGCCATCGTAGTACATTCTTTCTTGTCTAGTAATTTCAGCCAACGGAATATCACTCTTCTTTTCGTAAAAATCAATCTGCAGTGAAATCATGGCTGGTGGATAGTGAAACATTTCTTTGGTCAAAACCATTTCTCTTGAAGCTTTGGGATTCTTTTGCCTTCTTAAAATTTTGTACATATGATGTTTATCTTCTTCCTCTGGTAAATACTTAGGAGTAACCTTGTCTAATAAACCCTTTAATTCCTCAGTATGGTCAAATTTAACCACAGTATCATCATCAATCTTCTCAGGATTTATATTGTTACTTTTCAAATAATTCGTAACCATGTCTGATGTTGCTAATCTCAGATTATCAGATTGATCAACCATGAATTCAAATGTACCACCTTTCGCATCACCGTTCAACAAAATAACTCTATTAGGCTTTGGTAAATGTGTCAACGCATATGACTTTGATTCCAACACTCTAATATTGTTATAAGGACGATCATCGTGACTCGAATGACCATGAATAAGGAATCCTGGCAACTGCTCTTTATGCTTAAAACCCAATTCTTTAACTTTTTCGTCAGTTAACTTCTCATTTTCCAAGCAAAAGTAAGAAGTATCTGGGTTATTATTAGTGCGATCCTTGATATATTGACAAGTAATTCGCTCATTCATTGGTTTGTTTAATTCATCATTTAGTATTCTCAAATCCATCCAATCTGCCCAGCTAAACGGTAACGTGATAGGATTGACTGTCTTAAAGTCAATTTTGCCATACGAATCCGTAGAGGCCGTATCACTTTGACTCAACGCCTTCTGCTTGATTTCATTGAGGTAAATAGATAACGTAAACCTAGGGTCATAGAATAGTTCGTTTTTGTTCTTCCATGAATTTTCGTCATCGTAAGTAGATAGAAATGGCTTGATAGGGACATCTAGCTCCGTTTCCGTTAACCCAGTCTGTGCCAACCAGAATCTATTCTTATCCTTTTCAATCTGTGCAAATTTCTTCTTAATTTTTCTCTGTAATGTCATACCATTGCTTCCTTCAGCAAGGTTATTTATTGGTTGTTGTGGCTGATTAGAATCATCACCCGATGTATAAGACGAATATACTTTGCTGATATCTTCAATTTTGTATTCCGTAAAATTATATATGGAGAAATACGTTACGTGTATTAAAACTATTGCTGCAATCAAGAATTTCGCCCACTTGACAGTAGTCTTCGAAGTGATTACTCTCGGCAATGAATAGTTCACCATCATATATTATCTGTCGATTTAACTAATATGTTAGATGGCTTAATAATTCAAATTCACTAAGCAATAACTTAGCTGTTAAACTAAATCAACTTAGCCCCGATATGATTAAAATTTTCCGGGAGGGAAAAAAAAAAAAAAGGAACAGGATATGTCCATCACGTGACGATAATCTGTCACACGGGCTCTTGCTGCATTCGGCTGTTATATTATGTAGGGAAGTATAGTGGTGTAATAATATGTATATATTCTCTATGTAATACGACTACTGTATCTTTGCCAATAGATCATCTAAGTTTGTACGTAGTAAATCGTCAAATTTATCTATTTCACTGGTGCCAAAAGCATCTAGTTCTTTTTCTAGCTTACTCAACTTCATATGAAGTTCCTTATCAAGTGCATTATCTGCATTAGCCTCTGTTTCTTTATGTAATAAGTTGAAATCATCAATATCGTCATCGTTGATTCCGAAGTCACCACCACTGATTTCGGGTAACATGCCATCATTCACGTAGTTCCATTGATCGTCTATGGCATCCTGGGTATTGACCACTTCATCTAACTGAGCCTTTTTATTCAAATACTGTTTAAGAATTGCTCTTTTCTGAAGGGTTTTACTAATTTTTTGGTTTAGTTGCTGCAACAATAGATTCTGGTCGACGTCTTGTGGCATGGCTGATTTGAGGTTGATCGTGACCTTCGGAGGGTCAGTGAACTTGATTCTTAGCATGAATAGGAATTTTTCAATCCATTTTATTATGTTCAAGAATAGCTTTTCGTCATCCTTGACGTACAAATTGTGAATGAAACCCCATAATGCGTTTTCGTGTCTGTCAAATACAGCTCTTGATCTTTCAAATATTTCAAACGGGCTCATGTAATACATATCTCCTTCACTTAATTGAGTTAACTCGTTTAATAAATCATCCATAAATCTTTGAAAGTCTTTGAAAACGAGGTGGATATCACATTTGGCAAATACTCGCATTAATGGCTGATAGAAAATGGTCAAGAACTTCTTAATTAATCGAGTTAGCTCTGGTTCTTGCCACAATTGCTTCATAAGGTCTTTATCCTTCTTCCGAAGCAAAATTAGCCAGTACTGTTTTAAATTGAAATATAATTCAGATTCCGACAATTTTTCTTTGTCATTAATCTCTTCGTAAGACTCATACGACCTCGCAATATCATTGTACGTATTTTGATCTTGAGAATTCAAAATAGGCTCAAGACTGTCTGTTGATAATAATGTTAGTAATAAGTCTTTCCCAGAATTCCTCGAGTCTTCTTTTATGCCTTCTACTACGGAATCATCAGCTATAGTAACATAGTTTTCAATTCTCTGTAAAAATGGTTCATACTTCATATTGCCTGATAACTTTTCTTCTTTTAAATTTTTCAATTCTTTCTTGAAATCATTTAAGTCTTCGTCTAAAAGCATTATGAACATCAACGACAATAAATTCCGGGCTTTTGTTGATTTGGATGCATCTGATAATTCTTTCGAGCTTGAAAATCCAAACAGGGGTAACGAGAAGGATGGAAAATTTGCTAATAATAAATCAATAACTCTCGATACTATTTTCATTGGATTGGTGAACTTTAATATGCCGTATACTATATTATATGGAAAAAGTGCATGAAACTTTCTACATTTCAGCAACCACTCACTCGAATTATCTACACTTAAAAACACTTGGTACAATGTTGCCGCAACTTCTAGCTTTGACCATTCCACGAATGTTTTTAATAAAGGTGACAAATTCTCCACCTTTGGTGATTCTCCAATTTCTTCGAATATCTCTGTTAATGCTTCCGGGTTCATTATCAATTTTTTCTTGAATTCGTCAAAGTTCTTTCCTAATTCTAAAATGGCATTAGCTGTTTGTTTCTGGAATTCGAACTGGGTTTCTGCTTTAGCCTTTTCGTGCTGTAACCTATTTTCGTAATCCTGGACTTCAGTAGGAGATAATTTTCCATATTGCAAATGCGGATTAAATACAAAATGATGGAATACATCGGAATGAATAATTTCATTGTGTTTAATAAGGTTATTTAGATAGCTTCTTAACGCTAATCTAAGTCTTTCTCTAGCCAAGCTTTGAGGTTGTTCAGGTGTAGCAGACCTCGAGTTCTGCGTAGATGCCGTCTTAAAAGACAGATCGTCATGACTATTATTTCCAAGCGTATCAAAAGAATCGCCATGGGGCAAAGATTGCGATGATTCAGAATCTCTCTTCTTCAATACTCCATCATCACGTTTTAATTTCTGTGGTAGTTTTGGCACGTCGGTAGACATCAACCCTGGGTACTTCTTCTTAAGGTCATGTTCGAGCTTTTTAAAATCGTGGTATGGTCTCGGTATAAAATATGAAGTATAATGGTAGATACCTTCTTTATCCATTTCTCTTTTAGTAAAGTGAATAATAAATTCATAGTTATGTCTCACAGTATTACTACTATACGGTGACAATCTAGAAACTTCTTTGAATATGTTCCATCTCGATGCGCCAGCGGAATCGGATCCGGAACCACTCTGTTCCTTAATATGCTTGACTGCAACTATATTTAAATTCAAATCGTTCGTAAATTTCATCTTTTCATATTCATCCAAACCCCCAAAGTCTTCCAACGACACGCCATTTTCTAGATAACTTGGTTTCTTTCGTATTTTATCCAACGCTCCCGTTTCCGATGGCTTTAGATGCTCATTATGTAAATATTCCAAGTCCTGTCTGGTAATAAGCATAGAATTGAAAAACAAGAGTAGACTCGACAACATCTTCTTATTAATCTGTCTTCTTTTGGTCGTATTATCCTGTCTCTCTTGTGAATCGGATATATTCTTCAGATTGAAACTCTCGAGAAATTCTTGTACCGTATCTTGCCAAAACGACAACTGGTCCTCAGGCTTATTACTGGCAATAAACGGGAACGTACCAATAAAATTGTTGAAAAAAAATCTTAGCAAAGGAAATTGGTATCCTTCCTGTTGTTCTGGTGTAGACTTAAACGGCGGACCGAATAATTGGCAACAATTCGGTTGTGATAGCAAGTGGAGTTCATGGGTCAACCGGTTCTCTAATAAATACTTCTTCAAGAAATGCTCCTGGGTGGGATTCAATTCATTTATGATATCATTATTGATTTCAATGGATACTTCAGGGGTAGTATTAGCCATTTCAGGAATAGTATTAGCCATTATCTCCTTCTCTATAAAATATATTTGCTTATCGTTTAGGCCCATATATTATAATTAATCTGTAATACTTTCCGTGTCTGCAGGTTAATACTGGAGACATCGCCGACATTTTTTTTTGGTGATGGGTCTAAATTTTTTTTTTCTTCTCAGATGCCTCTTCTTTATCATAGTAAACTTTTTTATAAATTGTTTTTCATTTACTAGAAGGAACAATTTAGTATATAACAAGCATTTATATTTGCAATGGGTACCCAAAAGAAAGAAAAGTCGAGAAGAGTGAGGCAAAATGATGTGAGGGATGGTAACCTTCGTGTTAAAGGTGAAAATTTTTATAGAGATAGTAAGAAGGTTAAACATTTGCAAATGTATAAAACTGGTAGAGCGGTTCGTAATGCTAAGGGAGAAATAATACAGGCTGCCGCTTTACAAAGTACGGATTTGCCTACGGCTCGAGTTGATCCAAATAGAAAGTGGTTTGGTAACACCCGTGTTATTGCACAAGATGCGTTGAGCCATTTCAGAGAAGCTATGGGAGATAAGAAGAACGATTCATACCAAGTTTTATTAAGAAGAAATAAATTGCCTATGTCATTGCTTGACGAAAAAGATCAGACCGAGTCTCCTACTCTGAAAATTTTAGAGACCGAGTCGTACGAACAGGTTTTTGGTCCAAAACAACAGCGTAAGAAGCCAAGATACTTGGCGGCATCTAATTTGGAAGAATTAGCACAGTTAACAGAAGCAGATTCTAAAACTTACGAAGACAAGCAAGAATTAGATTCTACGCTAGGCTTGATGGGTGGTTCGATTTTGGACAAGGATGACTTTACCCAAGAGGCTAAAGAAGCCATTTTCCACAAGGGTCAATCTAAAAGAATCTGGAATGAATTATATAAGGTTATCGACTCTTCGGACGTGGTTATTCATGTATTGGATGCTAGGGATCCATTAGGAACCCGATGCCAATCAGTTGAAAAGTATATCAGGGAAGAATGTTCTCATAAACATTTGGTCTATGTTTTAAACAAGTGTGACTTGGTACCAACATGGGTAGCAGTACGTATAAGATTACTTTCTCATTTATTATGATGTGTGGTGTTTTTTTTTTCATTTTCCCATTAATTTTTTTTTTTGTTTTACACCAAAGCCTTTTGTCAGGGTGATACTTCTATTGATATTTATATCAATGATATCCAGAATATTGCCTGTTACGTCTTTGGAATAATAATACTACCCGCTCATGATCCTAATTCTTGTTTCAAGAGTTGGTACTGGAATCGTTTTGGTTCTGGTTTCGTTCATACTTTGTTGATAGTTTTTATCGACGTCTTTAGGGTAGTATCGGGATCTTCTTGAGTTGAAACTATTCTTGTTAAAGCTTTGCTTTGACTTTTGGTGAATTTTTTCGTAGTATAGAAACCGACATTTTTTCTTAAACTCTTATATTGAGCCCACATTTTCCACACACATTATGAATGAAGATTTATTATCACAAACTCCAAATACTAACATTAATTTAGGCTGCATGGGTTAAGCATTTGTCTAAGTCATATCCAACTTTGGCGTTCCATGCTTCCATTACTAATTCTTTTGGTAAGGGATCATTAATTCAATTATTGCGTCAGTTCTCGTCATTGCATTCAGATCGTAAACAGATTTCGGTTGGTTTCATTGGATATCCAAACACCGGTAAGTCATCGATTATCAACACTTTACGTAGAAAGAAGGTCTGTACTGTCGCACCAATACCCGGTGAAACAAAGGTTTGGCAATATATTACTTTAATGAAGAAGATATTTTTGATTGATTGTCCAGGTATTGTTCCTCCATCGCTGAAAGATACTGAATCTGATATTTTATTTAGAGGTGTTGTCAGAGTTGAGCATGTTTCGAATCCCGAGCAATATATTCCAGACATGTTGACTAAGTGTGAACGTAAGCACTTAGAGAGGACGTATGAAATTAAGGGATGGGCTAATTTTGAAGAAAATCCAGAATTGTTAGAAACTGCTAGTACTCAATTTATAGAATTAATTGCAAGAAAGGGTGGTAGATTATTGAAGGGTGGTGAGCCAGACGAAAGTGGTGTTTCGAAGCAAGTGTTAAATGATTTCAACAGAGGTAAGATTCCGTGGTTTGTACCTCCTCCAAAAGACGAAGAAGAAAAAAGTGGTGAAGATAAAAAAGCATCTTATAAGAGAAAAAGGGCTGAAAGAGAAGAGAAGAAAGAAGCCAAGAAGCATAAAGCTGAAGCAACCGAAGCAGGAACCGAAGCAACCGCGACTGATGATGGTCAATGGGAAGGAATTAAAGATTAACGTGTGAACATTTTATAGAACATAATATGTACAGTAGGATATTTAATTTAATTTAGTTCGATAGTGTATTAGTGCTTCATCTAGCGAGATTAAAGTAAAAAACACAAGAAGTGAAAATAATACAAGGAATTTATTAATTCTACTAAATATAAATGTATCATTAGAGTGGCCTACCGAAGTGAACCACACCACTCTTAGCTGAGGTGCCTGGCGTAGAAGGAGTAGTATTCGAGACTGAACCATTTTGTTGTGTGACTTCACTCGTTGAGCTTCCATAGACACTACCAAGCCCCCAAATTACACCCTTAAATTTCTCTAAGATGCTATTATCATACCCTGCTTGTCTCAATAATTCTTTGAAACATTCCATGGATAAATAAGCATGTAACGTAGATGTCATTTGTTGATGTTGTTGGCCAGGGAAATGTGAATTTGAAGATGCAAAGTATTGACGAATTACCGGAGAAATTGGTAATAAATGTAATTCTTCCGCCAAATATTCGATGGAAGGCTTATTGTTAGATATCATGTTCTTGGAACTGTCACTGTTGGAACCACCAGTTGGCATTTCAACAGAATTACTAGGTCCATTATTAACAGAGTTCCCGTTGGATTTGCTATTATTAGAATTACTATTGTTATTCGAGAAATTATTCACTAATTGGTTTCCAATTAACTTCAAATCATAAAAGTTTGGAAAATATTTGGAACACCACCAATAGAAATCCTTTTCGTCAAGTGGAAGGTTATCATTAATTAACAAACTGATAAGAAAACCTAAGTCATAACCGGCATGATAACTTATCCAATTAATAGACGTATCCAATAACAAACCACTCTCTGTAATTAATTCAGCAAAAGCAAAATGTGGTATACCCTGTGTCATATGTAATTGAAAATTAATTTGAGAAGTTTGGGATAACATTGTTAAGTGTTCTTCATTGTACATTTCCTTCGTCAAGTCGTATAAGAAGTTAAATTGCCAGATTATCGACGAGCGGATTTCATTATTCTTGTTAACCTTTGTCACACATAATGATAATTGAATCAAGTTTAATAAATCAGAATTTGATCTCAATGTTTGGAAATGATAATCTGAAGACGATTTAAACGTACCAACTGGCCTTGCCACAATTCCCGGAATTTCTTGATGAATGGCAATGTACACGGGCGACGTCTTATCATTAACAAACGAACGTAAAGCGTGGAATTCATGCTCCAAGTTATGCGACCATACTTCTTTAATTATTGGAACCTGTTGTTGCTGAACAGGATGATTATGTTGGCCTTGAAGTTGCTGTTGGAATAACTGTTGTTGGTGTTGTTGTAATTGCTGCTGTAATTGTAGCTGCAACGCAGTGTTCACTGTTTGGTTCGATGACGCTCCTGCTCCAGCATTTACACTACCACCAGATTGATTTGACGCATTTATTGCCGATAATAATGGGTTTGTGCTAACTTGACTAGCATTAGGTGTACCTAACTGCTGTTGTGGTTGTTGTTGTAAGTGATGATTTAGTAATTGCTGTCTTTGTTGTTGCAACTGTTGTTGCTGTTGTAATTGTAATTGTGATATTTGTGGTGATTGAACACTAGCGTTCATAGGTTGCTGTGACTGCTGCTGCTGCTGCTGCTGTAAGTATTGAAGATGGGGGTTGATATTCATTTTTTTGATAATTTACTGCTTATTACCAACTGATATATTTATATCTCTATTTTCTGAAATTAATCTTTCGGAATTGACGATAAATAAGTCTCAATTTATCTCCAACTAAATCCAATACACTAGGTTTGTTTCACAATATAATACACGGCTAACAGCTAAATTGATTTACCCTATTTCTAGAATTATTTGAAGGATAAGAACGTTGGAAAAAAACTGAGCTCAGTGGCAATTTTGTGTAACTTTTAAATTTTACTCGAGTCCTACTATAAAGATGTAGGTTCTATTATTACAATTTAACTATATAGACTTATAGCTGCTCTCTGAAATTCGTTGGATTACCCAATCTTGGACCATCCCTAGGGGCTGCAGAATTATTTTGTAAGAAATTGTGATCACCAATTCTTCTTGGTTTGATCAAATGTTGTAACAAAAATGCGATGCCCAATACTAAGCATATAACTGCCACAATAATATAAATTACACCCAAACTCATATTACGGCCACCAAATATAGAATTTGTAGTTATAACCATGGTCTTGGTACCACCAAATATAGACACCGGGTAATTCATTTCAATTGAAATCTCGTAGGTACCAGATGACAATGTTTCAGTTTCATTCTTTCCATATAACTTGTAGAAGGTTGCTAAGCCAGCCGTTCTCATCCAATTTTGGAGATGTTCCCAAGTGGCTAAGTCTGGCAAATTATCCTCGGTGTAGCCATCAGGATACATTTTGTACCAATTTGGAGGCGGTACAATGTCCTTCGGATCGTATTTTGTCTTTTTGTACTTATTATTACGATCCGACGACCACGAGATTTCTTCATCTGTCAATTTATATGTTTCGTTATTACTACCACTTCTAGCGTTTAAAAGCACAGGACTCGAAAACGTATCGTTGAAATAGGAATTCGAAATTAATCCACATGGGTAGACAATCTTATCATCTATGAACCTTAATGGCTTACAGCCATCCGACAAATCACCTCTGGTGACGGCGATTCCTTTCAATTGCTCCAAGTCGTATGATTCCACGTACTTACGGTGATTTTGAAAGAAATTTGTCAACTTGTAATACAAATAAACCGGTGGTTTGATATCTTTGGGTAAATTGAAACGAATGTGGCAAGTTTGTTTTAAATCATAATATTTGTCAGTCGAGTTAACCACCTTCCATTGAAACTCAGGATTTTCGTTCTTCTTCTTGAAGTGATGGGAAGTATACTTTCCTGGCACTGACTTGAAATCGTCTGAATGTAGCGAATTGCAATGACTATAATCAATAGACAACACCTCAACATTGTACACAGTGTTAATAATCGCGATACCTAACGGCGCAAATATAACTGCTAGTATTATTAGCAAGGGTATTACTGATTTTGGGGTAAGTAATGGTTGCCAGGCTTTAAGTCTTTGTTGTCTAAATGCAGTATTTGGTGGTTTACGGGACTTATGTATACTGGATACATTGTTATTATTGAGCTCATCATTATCATCATCTGAATCAGAAGTTCTCCGGTTACGCAAGAAATTCATCACTGTACAATCAGTTGATCTATAGTTTCCCGTCAATCTAATATAAACATCTTAATTAAATCATTTAATCTAAGGCTGTGAATGTGAGTACAGTAACGACGAGTCGTGTAAAGGTCCTAATATGAAATTTTTCCTTTTCTATAAGGTTGGATACAACTCTATATACTAAATATATGCTTTAAAATTAACAATCACTACTTAAATGACTAATATGAGCTAGTCTAAGTTCCTGGAACTTGATCTATTCTTCTTACTGTTTTGCTTTTTATCATTCCTGCCACGCTTTTCATTAGTGGTGCCATTATTGGCTTTATCTTTTGGATTTTTTACATTAGCCTTATTGCCAGTATGAGTCTTAGATTCTCTAACTTCTAACTGGATAACATAGCCATCGACTTCTGTTTCCTTGGCTTCGAGTGCTTTCTTTTGTGCCTCGCCTTCCACGAAGTCACACAACGCTATATTGACAAATACTCTGAAAAATTTAATCTCACCAAACTTCTTAGTCAAATGATTCTTCAATTTATCTTCATCGATATCTTTGACTCCACGGATGTAGATAGGGAACCAATCTTCTTTTTTATATTTACCGTTCGAAGTTGGTTGTGGTTGAGGTTGAGCTGGTGGTTGCGTCTGCTGGGTATGAGCCATAGGCGGGGTCTTCTTGACGGCAAGAGTGGCTGGGGTTTTCGCTGGAGACATAACCGATGGCTTGGCCGATGGTGGGGGTTGTTGGGCAGCTAATGCAGCCCACGATATAGGACGAGAAGTAGAAGATTGAGAAAATTCCTCGTTACTTGGTTCTGGTTTTTGCTCAGCTTCTGACTCTGTTGTAGGTTCGTTGTGTGAGTCGGTTGTGGTGGCCTGAGTCTTTACTTCCGTCTTTTGTTCTGTCTCTTGTTCTGGTTTCTGTTCTGGTTTCTGTTCTGGTTTCTGTTCTGGTTTCTGTTCTGGTTTCTGTTCTGGTTTCTGTTCTGGCTTGGCTTCGGGTTTTTGTTCTGGTTTTGACTCGGTCGTTTGTTCTACCTTTTGTTCTACCTTTGCCTCAACCCTTGGCTCAACTTTAACCTTTTGTTCTGCCTTTGATTCTGCCTTTGGTGCATCCTTATGCTCGGACTTTGGTTCAGGACTAATTTCAGACTTTAATTCAGTATGTGGCTTCTGCTTTTGCTCTGATGCATTGGTTTCTGCTTTCTTAATATCTTTCGATTCCTTTTTTGCATCGTCCACTTTTTCTTTTTCTTGTTTCAATTCTCCATTTGAAGTAGGTGCGGCGGACTTAGGCTCTTGGGGCTTGACCGGTTTGATTGACTCACCCTTCGTTTCCACAACAGTCAGCTTTTCTTTAGTTACTTCCTTTGGTTCAACAATTACTTCTTCCTTTGTAGGCTTCTTGTATTCTTCGAAGTCAACAAACCTCAAATTATCGTTAGCAAGATCAAATGTGTTCTCATTTTTACCAGGACATAAGAGAAACGTTTGAGTAAATTGCCAAAATGGTGAGTTATTCTTCGACCATTCCCCAAATACAACAATTAAAATCTTATCTTGCAAACAAACTTGTATATCGGCACTAGTAACTACGATTCTGTTGTTACCTTCTTTTAAGGCCGCATCACTAAGAAAGCGCTTCTTGATCGCTTCAATACCACTGGCCTTGTGTAGGGTCCTTGAATCATCGTTTTTATTTGGAAAATTAGCATGAGAAACAAACGCATTAGAATGGTATAGCTTGTAGATACTTTCAATACTCTTATTATAGAAATCGTAGTACGACTCAATAAAATACCATCCAATTGAGGCTGCACGGTCGGAAGTCAAAGCCTGTCCTTGGTTTGAAAGCTGAGGGGTACTTGGTGTTGCCGGCGATGTAGTCATGGTGCTGACGTGCCTATTCACTTAATAAAATACAAATTTAATAGACTAATACGCTGTGGTTAATATCCATTACAGAAGAAGATTGAAAAATTAGGTGCTCAATTTTTTCCACTCGGTGTTAACACGACTCTATGATTCACCCTACATAATCTAGTTATATTAAGTATTTATATGAAGATTTTATACACATATATAGCATCCATCTTGTATGTATGACGCCTATTGACATTCTCTTAATAATTCTTCTAAGATCTTGTTTTCTAAGTCACTTTTGTTGCTAACTCCATTGAAACTTTTGACTCCCATTCTTCTTAAAACCTCGATTGTCTTGTCTCTTGGGAAACCCATGTTTTCAAACTGCGTGACTATATCGTCATCGATTCCGTACAAGGCTGAATCACTCAAATCGCTTCTGCCAGCTTTATCACCGTCGGAAGCATAAATTTTAGTCCAGTAAATAGCCGTCTCTTCAAAACCCTTCTTGTTAGTCAAGTAATGCTTGGCAACTTCAGCGTCCTGGGGATCGTTTGGTTCTGGCGATTGCAACAATGATTGTAACGAAATTAACGAGCTCTTCAACGTCAAAATCGGGGTCCATGCGTCCTTCAAAATATCCAAACAAATGGCACCGGTGACCGAAGAAATATTAGGGTGATATATCTTGGTAGCGAACTTCATTTGTGGAGGCTTGAATGGATATTCGTTTGGGATGTTAATATCGACTTGAAATAATCCTCCTTCGTATGGTGTACCTGGTGGCCCTCTGAAGAACCCACTTAAATGTGTCAAATCAGTTTCGTTAACCAACTGCAAAGAAACACCCGATTGTGTATCCTGACCACATTCTTCTAATTCTTTAGCAATTCTTCTAACACGGGACATAATGTAAAGATATATTAGCTTATTACCGAGGTTTGATTACTTGTTGTTACTTGCTCAGATACCTAAATACTCGTAGTTGATTTTGTGGATGTCGCATTTTTTTTCCGTATTGCTACACTATCAATGGAATATCAATGGAATATCAATGGAATTGCAACCACAGTTACTTTGTCGTTGATTGTATAATTCGACATTGACATTCGACTTTGACGACTGCTTCGAAGTTGAATATTTTGTTAACTAGGATTTCGTCGCTCCGTAATATGGGCTAAATTATCTCTGAGTCATGGTTTCTGGTCCGATTCTTTTCCATCACTCTAGCAAGTGGTTTACTACACATCACAGTTAGTCTATTTGTATGTGATTTTTCCTGTTCTACAGCATGGAACTATTAATGATTTTATATATAATGTAGCTCGTGGTGTTTTTGTACTGCAAAATTCTAAAGCTACCAAATTCGTTAGATGTCAGTTACCTGCGCTGAATCCAACGAGAGGGATGTATGAAGGGAGCCATGAAGTCAAAACCGCTTGGAAGTTCCTCCTAGAAAACGGTATTTTCTTGGTATGTTTGCAGATTATTCAGAGAAACGAACAGATTCGATAGTGGAGAATGGGCAATCAAGGAACCAATTATGACGATGGGTAACACTTTATTGGGAATTGCAACATTCTGCATAACTGTAGTCGCTTTGCGTTAGCTAGTAAGAAATATCATACAGTGCGTTGAACTGCAAAATTTTGTAAAGAAATAGGGCGATAGAAAACAACATTCAGTAAAATAATTTATTAATATCAATGTAATTTACAATATAATATACAGTTTATAGATTCAAGAAGCAGGAGCTTCCGATAATGAAGATGGACCTGATTCAGTGGCTGATTGAGCCGGTAATGTTACACCACCTTTGACATTTCTTGCCAAAGCTTCAAAAACTACCTTTAATTCATTAGGCGCGGCCTTAACAAATGGCAAATCAAAGAAGCCATAGTCACCGTTCTTTACCAATTCCGTAAATACGATGGTTAAGCCCCAAGGATGAGGCTTGTTGACAATATGTCTCTCTAATAAGACTCTAGTAATCAATTCTTGTACTGTCGTCTTGGTTGCAGCAGAACCCCAAATGGAGTTCGAGCTAAAGAAATGTAAAATGATTCCAATGAACCAATGTGTATGACTGTTCGGATAACGCAATTGGTTAGCAATGGCATTTATTAAATGAAATTTGAATTCCAGGGAACCATGGTTCATTAAATCCACCAATAACGTTACATTCGATGATTTAGTATTGAATCCCCTGTTATTTGGCAATCTATCCGCAACTGCTGATATACCAACATGTAATACCAATGTGTTAATTAATTTCACATTGTAGTGAACAGTATCGAATCCAAAATCAGCCAGATCTCTAGGGTGATTTAATTTCATACCAGTATATATACTTCTCATTAAAGTAGGTGCTGGAATACGCAAGAAGTTATCGACTGGTTTTTTCAAACCAACTTTGACTAAATCTTCAACTGGCTTGTACGCAATAATGGGCGAATCATGTATTTCAGGTAATCGTTCCACCTTTAAGCCTTGAGTAAAAGGATCGATAACCGGAATATTGGACGGAGTAGCTGACAAAATTATATTTTTCAACTGAATGTAATTATCAGGAATAGCTGTCACTAATTGATAATGACACTCTACCAAGAATTCAGGATAGTCATGAGCCAAACCAGTAAAGATCCGATTTATCGCTTTAAAAATAACATTAATAACATCATGCTGAACAAATTCGTCTTTCGAATAAATGGATTCAAACTTCAAAATACCTGTCAATAACTTGACAACAATGCTGTAGCCACGTCTTTCTGGTAGTTCAAGCAATCTTGGTAAAAACATTCTGTGACTAACCAAGAATATCCAAGCAAAAGTAAACCCAGGGTAGACAATAGGTTGAAGTGAGTTGAAAACTTCGCCGATGAATGGATAAAATTGATCATCTAAATGGATAGTAGCCTTTTCATCTAGCATTGAAGCATCGTTCCAAGTACATAATAAGGACGAGAAAATTCTAAAGTAAGCACGCTCATTCCAACTTCCTTTGAATGTTTCATGATCATTTGTCAATACCAAAATAACTATTCCGATAATATTTTTCAAATATTCAAGTGCTTCATAAGAATTCTCTTTTTCAAAGCTTAATATTACCTTCACAATTAAAATTGCTAATGCATCAACAGCGAGGTAGGTTTCACGTTGCGTTCTGGTTCTTAATTCATGTTCTGTAGCAAAAGATGTAACAGAAATCTCAGTAGCGGCCTTGAAAAAAATCTCGAAGTAATCTGGATCAGTTAAAATCTCGTTATGCAATAAGCTTTCAATGAATTGAGATTGCAATGATTCACTATTGTCACCATGTGCCAATAATTTGATCCATTCAGCGAATATATAACCCATTTGGCCGTAAAGCTCAGGCTGTGTTTCTGTCGCCGTTGATGAGGGAAGCGCTGACTTGTCTAATAATTCAAATAAGTTGTCACGAGCTTGTTTAGCCAATTTATGTTCGTCTGTCGAATCATCACCATCATATTTAGATAATGCATCCAAAGTGAAACCAAATTCTGACCTTAAAGCAATTGGTCTTAATTCCTCTGAACTGAAAACATTCAATAATAAATTAGCGGCAAATTTAGCTACAACTGGACTGTTCGACTCATTAATAAGTCTTCCAATTGAAGCATCTAATTTGATTGGCTGAACTAATTGAACTTTCAATAATGAAAAAATAACAGGCATGTTAAATTTCCTTTGATCTGAAGAATGTACAAGCCACCAAGTAACATCTTTAGCAGTAGAAGGGGAGTACTCACATAACTTATCTAAAACAACAACATAAATTTCATTACTCATTGGGTTTTCGTGTCCTTGCGTGAAAAGACAATTAACAGTATATTGTGCGGCCTTCAATAATAATTCAGGATATTTCAATGCATTACTTTGAGCTATAGTTAAAGCATGTGTCAAAGCGATCATAATTGGGTGCTCGGGTGTAAGTTCTGCCAATTTTGTCTCCGTTGCATCTTTCAATAATTGAATTGCCTTTTCACAATTCTGTGTAATTGCTGTAAAGAGTTGATCAATAGAAACGGTTGTGTCTTCTTGTTGTAAAAGTGCTAATTGCTGTTGAGGAGTTAATTGTCCGACAGGAGCTGCCGCACCCATAACTGCTGGCGATGCTTCAGGAATAGTACTAGCACCAGCTTGAACAGGAGCCTGTCCACTCAAATTCGAATCAGTATTCGCTACCGGGCCATTTGTACCGAAAGTTTCATATATTCTTAATTGATTGGCATTAAGACCATCTTGCTTCAAACCCAATGGTTGTGGTAACTTCAAAGCATAATCGGATGTGCCTTCTTCTATAAAAGGCTCATTTGGATTGCGCTTCTCACGATTCAAAATATATTTCTGCATTTTTTCATCGATCAATTCGCTTATATTACCAGCTGCAATTTTATCCACGATCTCTACGCATAAATCAACATTGCTTTGAACAGCCAATGACAATTCTGCTAATGGTAATTCATTAGGGTTGATTTGATTGCCAAGGAGTTGTAACATAGTTGCTTCGATAGTTTCACTTAATATTTTGCGCCCGCTGCAAACAACCATACTATGAGACAATTGATAGGCTAAGCTTTGATAACCCTTGCGGAATTTAGCAACATCTGGCTCACAAGCAAAATCCTTTCTGATCATAGCTTCTGTCGTAGTTAACACTGCTTCAGAGACCCTACTCAAAATAGGAACTGCACATTCACGAACTGCACGGGATAATGAAGCTTGAAATGCGCGTCTCAAATTAGGATTCTGAGTGAAAATTGTATTACCAATTAATGTACTAAACGAAGTATCCAACTGTGTCGTAGTTGGCGCATTTTGACCTGGAACAGTTCCACCTGCTGAAGATATAACTTCATCAATACTTCCCCTGGCCTGTTGAAGAGCAGGAGGAACATTTTGACCCTGACCTTGTTGTTGTAATTGAAGCTGTTGTAACTGCACATTTGGTCCCTCTGGAGCAAAAGGCTCTGAAGAATCAAGTGCCAACCTTGACATATCACTTGTTAAAGTGACCGTCTCAGGGCGGATACCAAACATAGCCGCTAAAGCAGTAGGATTTGGGTTATGACTTCTAACTATAGTTGATGGTTCAATATCTTTGAGTTTCTTTTTAAATACATTTAATAAAACTTCGATTTCAAATTTTAAATTTAATTTCAAATCCGCACATTCATAAAGTTCTGCTAATACTTTGATTATCCCTAGCAACCATGGGTTAGGAAGATTGAAAATCTTGGAATATTGAGCTTGGTCCAAAATTCTACAAACAAATGGAATAATTAAATGCAAAGACTTGAAATCAAAAGATTCAACTAATAAGAACTTTAATGCAATTTGATCTCTTCTCAAAGGTCTATCATTGGCTAAAGTAATTTTACCAAGCCAAGAACCTAAATTCTTCAACTGAACTCTTTCAATGGATGAATCCTTAAAATTCCTGATTATGTGCTCAGCTTCTTTCAAAGAGAAATTTAACACATATTCGTAGAAAATTGTATTGTCCAAAGTCTCAACAAGGGTAGCATATAGCTTATGATTGTTTGGCTCCGCCTTCGCTCTATCCGCAACTAAGTAATTGGCAAACCATAAAAAGTAATTTTCTGATAACAAATCTTTAATTTCAGGCAATTTAGATGCCAAATTATCATCAGTCATATTATTGACGAAGAATAACAATTTGTCTGAAATACTTTCAGCTGGCTTTTCTTGTTGTATCGAACCTATTTGCTTGTCTGAAACAGTGATAGATTGATACAATGGTGCTGAATTATCTGGCGTCTTTGATGATACACCAGTACCATCCGCAGATTGAGGTTGACTGCCTGATGGAGCAGACGAATCAGGACATGGAATACCATTAGCTGCATCTTTTACTATTTGAAACATCTTGGCATGAGCCGATAAAGATTGACATTCTAATAAATGCTTACAATAAATTGGATATTCATGTAACCTAGACTTGAAGTTGTACAAAGATTGAACTGCAAATTTGAATAAATGCGAATCTTGTGGTTGATTGCATGATTCCCAGATAAAGTTTAGTGCAACAGTTAATGTAGTACCCTGAATCAAATCTTTTTGTAATAAAGCACCAAACAAGAGTGAAGTAGATGCTAATGCAGTTAACGGATACTCTGAGAAAAATCTATATTCATCAAGTAAAGAATGAATCATGCATGCAAATACGTCTTGATCATGTGGATTGTCACTTACTTTCATGCGAACTAGCATGTCAACAATATCTTTAATTTCCATTTCCTTATTGTACATCTTAGAATAATAAGATTTCATTTCCTGTTCTACTTGAGGAGGAAATAAGTTATAGTCTTCACCATTCGCTAAAATAGCTTCATCATGTCCACAACCAAAATTAATAAGTCTCGGATAAGTGGTTAAAAGCAGTAATTGCAAATTTTTCAATCTATCTGCATCAATTAGACCATTACTAGATTTCAATTTTTCCAACAAGTAATATACGACAGGAATCCTCAATACTTTGTAAAGATCATTATTAATCTGTGGTTGTTGGCTTCTTTCGTAATCCTGGGTAGCCCTAGCCTCTAAAATTTCTAATAATGATTGGCAGAGTGGACCCCTTTGTTGCATGTCTTGAAAATTGGCTTGAATAATTCGCTTACAATCATATCCATAATTAGTGGCATCGATCGCAAATGTTAATCCCAACTTAAAATTCAATGGTAAGAGTTTCTCAAGTAATTCATCAATCAAGTCTAACTTTGTAGCCGTTTTAACAATTTTGTTAATAGCTTCAGGCGTTGCCCTTTTGGTGTAATAATCGATCAATTTATTAAGAGCCAACTGAACGTCTAATTCCTTGAATTTAATCAATACTTTATCCAATGCTGGTGTATTACTGTCCATCAATAACGTGAACAATGTATCTATTAAGTCAATGATAAAAGTATTCTTGTCCACAATAGTTAATGCCGCAGCAATTAAGTATTCAGGGAATACACGATAATCATGTTCAAATACCTGACTTAAATAAATATTTAACTTTCTTTCCTTTTCCGGAACCTGATTTTGTGTTTGTTGATTTTGTTGAGAAACCTTAGTCAAAACCAATAATTCTAATTTACCAATATTAACAAAACGTAAAATATTTCTTCTTTGTTGAGGTTGTTTGTTGTCATCATTATCGTTATCATCGTCGTCGTCGTTATCAAAACAAAGTGTTATGTTTTTCAGCGCAGTCACATCATAACCACCTTGCTGCGGATCCAAAGTTTGCAAAATATACAACAACGTTTTACTAAACCACCAATCAAAATTCAAAAAGACATCTATAATACCCACTTTGAAATCTAAGGATGACAAAAGTTGAGTGATATTTGCAACAGATGGTTGAAGATTTCTTTTGGATGAATCAAATAAATTTTCTTGAACATGAGAAAAAACTTTATACCAGTCTATATTAAATTTAGAATCCGAATCAATCGAACGTAAGCATGCCTGTAATTGTGCACCCTTAGCATTGGCTTCTGGTAAATTGTTAGCTAACGTTAATCCGGTGACGCCGCCATTAGTATTTGATAACCCTTGAGATCCGGGAATCAAAATTTCTGCCAATATTAAAGCAACACTTTGATCAATTTCATTCGGCTTCAATTGTAAGAAGGACGGCAATAACTTCTCAGGTAACAAATGTTCTGGGCCAATTTCTAGTAATAATTCCTTGAATGACATATTGAGAATGGTCAGATAAAAACGATTTACTGGTTGTATATCAGACTTAAAAGCTTTTAAAGAACTTAAAGTCAATAATTTGTTAACTAGTGGGAAAAATGGAGTGTTTAAAATGTGATCTAAAACTAAAGTCCAATCAAATTTGGATGGAAACTCTCTTGTCTTGATAACAGATAATAATTTAAGTGAATTTTCTTGAATGTATTGTTTAACAGGTTCTGTGTTTAAACTTTGAAATTTGATAACAATAATAAATGCTAAAATTAAATCTATTTCAAACCTATCAACAAAATGTATAATATTAAAATCTTCAAGTTGGTTAAATTCGTTGATTTGCAGGCAAAGAATTTCTAAATTGTTGAGGTCTTTGGCAATATTATTTAACTCTTCCTTTAATAGTCTTTCAATCAATGATAATTTACTATTCTTAACCCTAGACTGTGATAATAAAACTGAATTGAAAAGTTTTTCTAAATAGATACGGAATATTAATGAATTTTTATTAGAATCTAAAATATAACGTATCTGTTTATAATTTGAGTTCCAGTTTTCTTCTGTTAATGTCGAAATTAAGATAGATAATTGATTCGAGATTACCTTAGTTAATTCTGGATCTTGTTGACTATTATTAAGTGTGCTTGATTGGCCCTTTGGGCTTTTCTGTGGTAATGAAGACACGATTTATTCCTTTAAATTTAGAACTAAATGTAAATAGAGATTTAGTTTCTTCAATATCAATTGTCTAAGTTTACACCGATATTCTAGTGGAATGTTTTTGAACAATTAATTAATAATACTCGATGCAATTGGTATAATAGATCTAATCAGTAGTCTAAAATACTTCTAATCAATTATAATTGTCCTGGCGGTAAATAATTAGGTGAACTAATATAGAATTATAGGTGAATTAAGACGGCGTCAAATAAAAAATGGCCACTTTCTCAGGATTTTGTGTAATTTTTATTTTCAACAATTACCCGGATTGTATTTGAAGAAGTTCTACACTAGCAATAGGTCTATCAAGAATGTAAAGTTGGGCCAGAGGTAGTATTGTAGTTGATGACGTATATCTTGAAGTAAACTGAATTTTGTCCTTCACTTATAAAGATTTTAATTCTATATAAGTAGATATAACAAAATTGTAATTTACTTGCCTACTTGAATTTTGTATCTTGTATCACTTTATACGATAGAAATATCACACAGTATAAACAAAGTAGTCATATATTTGCTATTTAAATAAGTTGGGAAATTTCACATTTTAAAACAGAAGCTTCAGGTTCATTATCATTAATCATATCGTAGGCTCTTTTTAATAAGATCTTCAAACGTATGTTTTCATCAATAAGTCCATTATTGATGTTTGCAGATTCGTTATCTTCAAGCACATGTTCCTGTTTCAAGTATTTAGTATAGTATGGACTCTTCAAATTGTCACTGAATGATTTAGGTGGCAGTGATGATAATTCACTGTTTGCTGTAATATCTGAATATATGGAATCCAATTCACTATTGTTATCTACCCTGTTAACCAGCTTTGAAGAAAACAAAGATACTGAAGAATACCCAGACAGAAGTCTTTCAGACAAAGCATATCTATCAACTTGAGAGCTACTAGAATTGGATCTATTTCTCGATAAATTAATTGATAAGTTCTTAAATTTACTCATCATCGCAGATGGGGTTCTTTTGTGAGATTTAATAGGCTTTGGGAACAACGTTTCTTCATATTTAGGAAGCTCCATGAATGCGGAATCATCCCAAGACAATAATAAGTCGCCAAAAAAAGCATTCAAGTCCTTGACAGCTATACCCCATTTGCTTTCATTCAATAAATGCTGATAAATAACCTCTTCATCACCTGTATCAAGAGTCATTAAAATGGGCTTATTTACTAAGAGTAAGCCTAACGAAATTTTAAACATTCCAATTTTCCAGCCTTGAAGGAGGCAGAAATCCATTACTCTGTTGACTATAGATAAATCTGGCGTATGACTCGATATGAACGATAACCACCATTGGTAAAGGAACACTTGCATGTCCACAAACTTATTTAAATGCTCATATAATTCGTTGTCAATCTCCTGCAATATAGTTGAAAATTCAAACTTCCATTTATTCAACGTATAAGACATGGTAGTCGATGTGAAAATATCGTGGAGCTCGGGTTCCGATTCCATAATAGTCACCAATGCATGAAAAGTTAAAGTACTGTCACTTTTAAAATGGTAGTATAAAACCCCAACTAAAAATAATAACCCCTGGCAATATCCTAATTCCACATCATAGTTCGCGTAAACGTTAAGAATCGTGGATAAGTTATTAATAGTTTCTTCATTCTTGAAAAACTCGACCAAAGGGAACGTACGCGATAAATCCTTACTGATCTGCTTCGAGATTTCTAAGCTATACGAATGCTGGAAATTGTCAAAAACCAACCTCGATGTTTCGGGTATAACATTGTCTTGACTTATCAAAAATAATTTCTTCCATATCGTTGACCTAAGTTGAAATGGTAACCCTTGTCTTAAAAATAGCAACTCTGTGTAATTAGGCAATGTGTTTATTGTGCTGCTGGGATTGTTAATGAATGAGATCCAAAACGATTTTTCAAGACTCGAAGAAATAATCCCTTGGAATGACACAAACTTTTTGCAACAATTCTTATACGCTGAATTATCGTTTAAAGGTTGACCACAGTTAGAACACGTCGTAAACTCGTCAGAACAATAGTCATAGTCCGTCATATCGTTTTCTAATTTTTCAATCCCATAGTCATTTGCAGGCAAGTCATAATTACTGCTTGTCCTATTCAGCTCTATCTTTAACTCTAAATTGTGTAGCAACAAAGCATTAGTCTTAGAGAATGAAGAACTAAGCGATTCTTCGAATTCTAATAATGATTCCCAATCAACACTGAAAGGCATATTCATTTATTGCCAAAATTAAAATTAGCAAAAAACTAGTAGTTAAGGAAAGTAGGCTGAAAATATATCAAAAAGGTTAAGAAAATCTAAAAAAGATTGTGGTAGTTTGTAAATGATAGACAATAGTTGGAAAAACCTTTTAAAAATTTCTATATTAGAATATAGGTAGTAGTATCTCTTTTAGACGTAAAAAAATTCGTAAGGCTGAATCTGGTAAGGAATTGTTACGTTTCGAATCATTTATATACCTTTATACAAACATGGTAATTTTCTTACAGGAGGGTTTGTCATAAGAATGTTTGTTACGCGAATTATTATGTAATCAAATGACATATCGTGTATCAAAATTTTTTTGTTCTAGTAAGGCTGACTATCAAATCAATAGTGATTTATTGGCATGGTTTATTACTTCAAGGCAGAAGTCCAATCTGAAAAGGGATCAAGTGAATACGATGATTTTGCTCTTGGATCTGAAGAAGATAATGCGGAAGCAGTGATATTTATGGGTAAAGATAAATTTGAAAATGAACACTTACTAAAGCATTCACATCCTAAGAATATCTGGTTTCATGTTGACAACTATTCGTCGGCTCATTTATATTTACAATTATCTAATGAAGACCAGTTGTTGACTTTTGATGCATTGAAAATAAATGAGAGCGTTTTAAAACAACTTACACAGTTGACCAAGGCCAACTCTATTAAAGCGAATAAGTTAAATAACATCACGATCATATATACACCGGTGGATAATTTGTACACAGACGGCTCAATGGACGCAGGAACTGTTACATTCCATAATCCTAAGAAAGTGAAGAGAATTCTAGTCGCTAAGAAGGAAAATGCGATAGTGAACAAGTTGAATAGAACAAAGTATGAGATAACGACTGAGGAATTCATCAAGAATCAGCAGACATTGCAAAGACAGTATCTCGCAGACAAGAAGAATAGAGAAAGAGAATTGCAGAATCAGGAACGAGAGTTAGCTAAGCAATATGAGGAGCAAAAGAAGAGAAACATCGATCCGTATGCTGACCTTTTTTCAGAGCAAAACAAAGATTTGAATAGTAATGAATTCCGTAACGAAAACTGGGTTGAGGAAGAATTCTGGTAGAATTCTAATGCGTCATTAAGTCGCCTACAATAAGTTGGCTAATATAATTTGTTTATAGTAAATAATCTAATATAGAAGATACTGATAAGTCTTATATTGATGTAACATAATTCTTTGGGGTATTCACTAACTAGACGGCAAGGCTGCATCGTAGCACGCAGCCAGCCAATGAATTGGTCAGTCAAATACGTATTTTTCATAAATTGAATAATGACTAGGAATTCAATAACCAGGCATAAATTTAATCCAAGTTAATTGGAAATTTACCTGCTTCCCTTTGGTCATTCCACTTATCAACCCAGTCAACTGGACATAACGAGGTGAAGGTTTTCCAGAAAATTTGGCATGGCTCGAATTCTTCTCCTTTGGCATTGACACACTTGTGGTAATCAACGTACGCTTGAGCACAATGCTTGGTTTGATTTTGATTTGGGAATCTTGGATCAAATTGTGGAGTTTCAAACTTAAAGTTTTCTGGGTCGAGAGCCATTATGATTGTATTCTTGCTTCAATATAATCTACTATTTGTTATTTCAACGCTATTCAGCGTCTTACGATTTTCATTAACAGCTTCAAAGGGTTTTGTGTAATTTTTATTGGTAGGTTTTTTTATTGGTTGAAAATTGTGTCACGTGCTCAACACCAAAAACCGTACGACCTGCTACTATACATAAGATATACAATTAGGATCATCCATTTCAGATGACAGTGGGACGACTTTAATTATCTTGGTGGGACCAACCACTCAATTCTAAGCTAGAATCATCCTTTGGTACTAATAAAATATAGAGTATAGGCAATTGATATATTTTATGACCATTTATGCTTGCATCGTTCATGAAGTTATCGACGTTGTTTTTTTGTTTCACCGTTCTATTTGTTTGTTTGTAGTTTGGATTGTTTAGCGAAGATTGCTTCGTTAGTTTATTGTATTGTTTTAATTGTATCGTAGGGTGATCGTTTCGTATGGTAACTTTCAGTAGTTCACTGACAGTAAGCATCTTTGAAATTGCATTTGATTTACCCGCAATTAGAACAGGTTTTGTCTGTGATTGCAAGAGATTTATTATATGAGTAACTCTGGCCTTAATGGAATCGTTTTTATTTATTATCGTTATATTCTTGCAGGTGATGGTTTGAGGATCTTTGGATCCGGTAAGCTTTTGGTATAGGGAATGGGATTCGACTTCAAATAAATTCTTCTCTTCTTCAAAAATGTCCTTCGAGATATTCTCATCGGTTTCTATTACATTAGCAGACATTGTATACGATAACTTCTGTAAAACTAACTATATGATCTAATGTATGCAATATATCTCTGTAAAAAAAAAATTCATATCGGTGCACGTGATTAGGCTAATAAGATACGGCCACTCTAGCAATTCCTTAGTTTAACGATAAGTTCTGCTTCCAATTACTTTCTAGGTTTACCATTATATGTATCTGCATTTCTGATATTGCCGTCATCTATGTTGTTCTTAATATTGACATGGCCGTTAGCCACTGGCTGAATTTGAGGTGATTGCAATTTGGAACTTGTTCTTGATGAGCTAGCTTTACTTCCTCTGCTATTATTGGCGCTATTTAAAACGGTCGATGAGGTGTCTAGCTCAACACCATATCTGCTTGATGTAGTTTTGTCCATTAAATCATCAAACTGGACCATATCCAAAAGGCTTGCGTGAGATTGACGTAATTTTTGAGAACTAGTTTTCCGAGTTATTGGAATCGATGCATGAAAAAACGTTTGTCTTTTCTTGGGAATATTAAAGCTGCCATGTCTGTTAACAAACTCATTGCTTACATTGCCGTTCGGATAGTTTGTTCCTTGAGAAGTATTAGAAAGTGTTGCAAAGCTTGACAATGAGGAATTGTATGGCTGATACATAGGCTTCTGATATTGTTGATGTGGATAACAGTTAGGATTAGCAGATTGATAGTATTGGCTGTTTTGATGCGTGTAATATGCATTACTATTTATTCCAGCTTGATGTTTGGGTGGTAGGTTGTGTATTCCATGCATAGGTAGATCGTGATGCGAATGCGATAACGTATTATTCCGTGGATATGGATAGTTGGCACTTGGTGTTTCGGACATCGTTGTTTCTGTTTGTTGCTTATGGTTTAGTTGGGTTTCTGCATCATAATACTTATCGTAAGGTAACTTTGTATTACTAAGGGGTATGTCACCTAACCCAGAACTTAAAGCATCTGGAATACCATTCTTTCTTAAATCATGTGTGTTTCTGTTGTTATTGCTACTTTTTTTGTTGTTGCCGATATTATTATGCGAGTGTATTTCGCTCATAAAGACTAGCGGGTTTGAGTTGAAAAAACTTTGGGTTGGCGGTTGTGGTAATGGTGGCGGGTTGAATGGTGGAAAATTCATCATATTTTTGTTTGGCGGGATCCCATTGATTTCTCGGATAGTCTTAGAATCATTCAGAATCGTCTTGGCTTGAAACAATTTTGATGGACATAAGTTACCGTTATTATCAATCCCGTCTCGTATTGTTATTAACCTATTCATAAAGCTATACGTGGATTCAAGGAATGGTGTCTCGGTAGAAAATTCATCTGAAACTTTTAATAATTTTAATAGGAGGCTTGTGATATTGATTTCTATTCCCCGACTAAAGTCATAAAACAATTTCGTAGCATCAAGATATTGGGGATATACGTCCGGGTTATTCGTACAAGCAATGGTTCTTTTCATACGTTGATTACTTTCCAATAATATTGATGACTGCAATAATTTTTTGGAACTTTCCGTATACGGCGACGGCAATCCTTTAATCTTCAAGCAATTGCATATTGTCAATATTTCCTGGAAAACGCCTTTCATTAATGGTGCCACATTGATTTGCTTGGCTAGCGACAATATGTCGGGCTCCTCAAAAATTATTGATAAGCTTTCAAAACATATCACCCTAACGATATTCTTCCAAATTATCTTCGAGAGACGTCTATGATAATCTGCCGGCAACATCACTAATTTTCCCTGCAAATGATCGTCACTGAATACATTTCTAAGCCGAATCAATGTCTCGCCTGCTGGACCGTGTCCGTCGACTGCCGCTATTGAAATCCCTTCTGTTATTTCTGACGTGAACCCAACCATAATGGTCGTAAGATCATTCATCAACCGGAAACAGTTCGAATTGTGACTTATACTCCTACAATCGGCGTCTGAATAAACAGATAACACCACATTGTCTGGGAAAAGGTCTCTAAATTTTGCAGCAATCCAAATATCCTCATTAGAGTCCACTAAAAACACCGTACTCTTATCGATCATTCCCTCCAACACCATTACATTGCTTTGTAACTCCTCGTAACATTTGTATGTTACAATAACCACATCAAACTTAATGGTGACCGTATCCTCCAAGACGGTCGCAAGCTGCAGCATGTCCCCAATAATTAAGTGCGGCAAGTATGCAAACGTTTCCGTCTCTACAACTAGATGCCACCACTTATCTTGCATCTCTGCTCTTTGCCCGTTCAATGGGACCACAGTCACCTGCCATTTTGCTTCTGCAAGCGCCCATGTTAAGTACTCCAAACTCGAAGACTCTCCGATAAGTAAGGTCTGGGGATTATCCATTCGATTATGTAAATGACTATCCAAACTCATAAACCTCAGTGTAATTGCCTCTGTTAAGATTGATCTTGTCCAGAAAGCAATACTTCTGCGATATTACGGATATATTGTATAGTCTCTGATATAATCAATGCATCCTAGGAACCACAAATATATTTTTCACAGCCATCTGGGCCCAAGTCACATGACTCGGATATTCAAGTTCAGGTAGTCCGTAAACCAGGTCGGGTAATCCCGTTCGGGTGTTCGGATTGCACCGAGCTTGGTCTGCTTAAACCTGGAGAAGTATCCATATAAAGCAAGGGAATCTCCGTAGTTTAACCTTTTTTTTTCAGAATATTGAAAATATTGAATCAAGCAAGTATCAAATAGCAATTATCACTTTAGGAAGTGATTTATGATTAATTTAAGCTTACAATTGCCATTTAAACGAATTTTTAGCCAGTTAGATAACAAACTTGCTACTTCAGTCTCAACTAGATTCCTAATTACGAATAGATATATATCGAAAATGAGCTCACCATGTCCATATAAACAACCAGAACACAAATTGACCATGATCCCAGGTCCAATTGAGTTTTCAGATCCGGTCCTTTATGCCATGTCGACCCCTTCGCAAGCACACACTTCCCCGGAGTTTATTAAGACCTTTCAAACCACTTTACAAAATTTGAGAAAATTATTCAAGTCCACTGACAGTAAAGCGCAACCATACGTGTTAGCTGGTTCGGGTACCTTGGGTTGGGATGTTGTTGGTGCTAACTTGGTTAACCCAGGCGATAAGGTATTAGTTTTGTCCACCGGATTTTTCTCAGATTCTTTTGCTGAATGTTTAAAGGTATACGATGCTAATGTGGATGTTATCACTGCAGATGTTGGTGATGTGTTGCCATTAGACAAGATTGCTGAGAAATTGAAGTCGGAAAAGTACACTGCGATTACCATTACCCATGTCGATACATCGACTGCTGTTGTCAGTGACATTAAGGCTATTTCGGATGTTGTGAAGAAGGAATCGCCAGAAACTTTAATTGTTGTAGATGGTGTCTGTTCTGTTGGTGTTGAAAATTTGGAATTCGATGCTTGGGGTATTGATTTCACCTTAACTGCCTCGCAAAAGGCCATTGGTGTTCCAGCTGGTTTGTCAATCTTCTACGCTTCTGAAAGAGCTGTCGCTAAAGCTTTGGACAGAAAGAAGGATTCGTCATTCTTCGCCTCAATGAAGAAATGGACCCCAATCATGAAGGCTTATGAAAGTGGTTCGGGTGCTTATTTCGCTACTCCTGCGGTCCAAACCATCACCGCTTTGAAAGTCTCTTTAGATGAAATCTTAGGTGAGTCGTTGGACACCAGATTTGCTAAACATGATGAAATTTCTTCCCAATTCAAGAATCATTTGGCTAAGTCAGGATTAAAGATCTTACCAGTTAATGACAAGGTTGCGGCTCATGGCTTAACTGCTGTATACTTCCCTGAAGGCATTAATGGTGCAGACTTCATTGGTAAGGTTGCTGGAAAGGGCTTCACTATTGCTGGTGGTATCCACAAGGCATTAGTCGGTAAGTACTTTAGAGTTGGCCATATGGGTTTCTCTGTCTACGAAGGACATGTTGAAAAACTTACTAAAGCCATTGATGAGGCATTGGCTGAAGTAGGATACAAGAAGCAATAATTGCACCTCTCCGAATAACTATATATATATTTATCTAGGAACTGAATAAAACTTTTTTGCTAGCGCGGCGAAAACTATAGAACTTTTTTTGATCTATATCAAAATAATCTTTACACTAAATTTCTTTACCACTCATAATCTACATATCATGGCAATCCCGTTTCCAGATATTGAACCTTATGATATATTAGAAGTAACGAAAAGTTCCACGCCTATTGAAATTAAAAAGTCATATAAAAGATTATGTTTGAAGTATCATCCTGATAAAATACAACAAGCATCATCAATAGAAGATCGTGAATTTTTCCCAAAACTCCAATTTTCATACAGCATACTAAGTGATTCTCTTAAAAGACAAAGGTATGATAACACCGGCTCATTAGGTGTAGGGGAAGATGACATAGACGATGAATACTTTAATTGGAAGGATTATTTCGATTCGATGAATGAAAAGATAACCATTGATATGATAGAAGAAGACAAATTAAAGTACCAACATTCGACTGAAGAAAAGGATGACATTTTACATAACTTCGTTTATTACGAAGGAGATTTCATAAAGTTATTTGAAGTTATACCACATTTGGACTTTGATGAAGCCCTGGAAGATAGGGTATTCAGACTCATTGAAGACGCCATAAATAATCAAGAATTTGACACTGAATTGGACCAAGCTACTTTAAAGTCTTGGGAAAAGTACAAAAAATCTAGGAAAACGAAAGTAAAGCAGATGTTGAAAAAACTAGCTAAGGAAGCCAAAGAGGCTGAAGAATTAGAGAAGCAAATAAAGGACAAGGGTAGGAGATCCTTAAAGAATGAAAATGACTTGAAGTCGCTAATCCAAAGCAGACAATCTAATAGAATGGATAGCTTAATTAACAAATTAGAAACAAAGTATGCTGATAAGAAAGGCAAGAAGAGAAAGCCAACCGAGATAAGCGACGATGAGTTCGAAAGAATTCAAAATAGTCTTGGAGGTAATAAAAATAGGAAAAGGAAAGGTTAATGCATGTCGTTCTTATTAACTAACTTATATAAGTCATCGTTCTGACATTTAAAGGGTATCTTGTCAAACCCACTATGCGAAAATATATATAGTAATTCAATAAGCAAATCTAGTTCCCTCTGCTATTATAAGCAAATGCTATTTAGAAAAACTCGATTATTTGCATCATAATTCACTAAACCTTTGGTATGTACGTTCTACGTTAATAATATATAAGAATACTATCATTGATCGACTATAACTCCATCATGTATATATACAGGACCACCATCTCTATGTAATGAAAAACGCGTTGTTTATTTTGGATCTCAATGATCTATAATCAATTAGTTTTATCTAACTATAACTCGATTACGCTATGAGTGACGTTGAATCTGTAAGCTCAGGCTCTGACTATATGTCAGACGGATCAGTCGAATTTGCTCCAACTGCCGCTACTAAAAAAAAGAGTAGCTCAAAAACACCTCTTTCAGACTCCACTAATACCCCCAAAGTTTCAAATGGTAAGATTTCAAATGCTTCAGATCAGTACCAGAAATTATCACAATTGGAACATATATTGAAAAGGCCAGATACATATATTGGGTCTGTTGAAAGGTCACCAATCGAGATGTGGTGCTTTGACCCCATTGCAGAGTCGATGGTGTATAAAGAAGTCAACATTGTTCCCGGTTTATATAAAATCTTTGATGAAATCTTAGTTAATGCCGCCGATAATAAAATCAAAGACCCTAGCATGAAAAACATCAAAGTTAAAATTGATCCTGAAAACAATTTAATTGAAGTCATGAACGATGGTAAAGGTATTCCCGTTGAAATCCATGACAAAGAGAAAATATACATTCCAGAATTAATTTTTGGGAATTTATTGACTTCTTCGAATTATGATGATGATGAAAAGAAAGTTACAGGTGGTCGTAATGGTTTTGGTGCTAAGTTATGTAACATCTTTTCCACGGAGTTTATTTTAGAAACTGCAGATTTAAATACTGGGTTTTTATATAAACAAACTTGGACAAATAATATGTCTAATATTTCTAAACCAAAAATCACTAAATTAAAATCGAAGAAAGAATATACTAAAGTCACGTTCAAACCTGATTTGTCCAAATTCGGCATGAGTTCTTTGGATGAAGAGACGTTGTCCGTTTTAACAAGAAGAGTTTATGATTTATGTGGTACTGTTAGCAATTGCAATATTTACTTGAATGATAAAAAATTGAATATTCGTAATTTCAAGGCATATGTGGAAATGTATGTGAAGGCAATCAAAGAGAGAAACCCTGATCCTGAACCTATGGATGGCACTGTCCAAAATTACACTACCATCGTTCATGAAGTTTTTAATGACAGATGGGAAGTGGCATTTGCTGTCAGTGATGGATCCTTCAACCAAGTAAGTTTTGTAAATTCCATTGCAACAACCGCTGGTGGAACCCATGTAAAGCATGTATCTGATCAAATAATTACTAAATTAATTGCTACTTTAGCTAAGAAAGAAAAAGGCAAAAAAAAATTAATGATTAAAGCACAAGAAGTTAAAAACAATATGTTTTTATTCGTAAACTGTCTTATTGAAAACCCTGCTTTTACTTCACAGACTAAGGAACAATTAACCACAAAGGTTTCACAATTTGGAGGTAAGCCAAGTGAAAAAATTGCTATTACTGAACAGTTCATAAATAAAATATTGAAAACTAGTATCGTGGATAAAATAAGATCGATTGCGAATGCCAATGAAGATAAAGCTTTACAGAAAGTTGATGGTTCCAGAAAGCTGAGAATTAAGGGTCAAGTGAAATTAGTTGATGCCAATAGAGCTGGAACAAAGGAAGGACATAAATGTACGCTTATCTTGACGGAAGGAGATTCGGCATTGTCCTTAGCTGTGGCAGGTTTAGCGGTCGTTGGTAGGAACTATTACGGATGCTTTCCGTTACGAGGTAAATTATTGAACGTTAGAGAAGCTTCAACTGATCAGGTATCTAAAAACGTAGAAATTAATGCTTTAAAGCAAATTATAGGTTTGCAACACAAGAAGCATTATAGTTTAGAGAATATTAATACGTTAAGATATGGTCATATTATGATTATGACAGATCAAGATCAAGATGGTTCACATATCAAAGGTTTGATTATTAACTTTTTAGAGACAAGTTTTCCGGGTTTATTGCAGGTTCCTGGCTTCTTATTAGAGTTTATCACTCCTATTGTTAAGGTGACAATCAATAGGAGAGGAAGCGGTAAGCAAGTTATTCCATTTTATACTATGCCAGAATTTGAAAAATGGAGAGACACGGAAGGCCTCACTTGCCGTTGGACTCAAAAGTATTATAAGGGTTTGGGTACATCAACTGACGCAGAAGGAAGAGAATACTTTTCAGCTCTTGACAAGCATTTGAAAACATTCCATGCATTACAAGGAGATGATCAACAATTAATTGATTTAGCGTTTTCAAAGAAGAAAGCAGATGATAGAAAAGAATGGTTACAAGGATTCGAGCCTGGTACTCATTTGGATCCTGACTTAGAAGAAATCCCGATAAGTGATTTCATCAATAAGGAATTAATCTTATTTTCAATGGCCGATAACGTTAGATCGATTCCATCTGTTTTGGACGGTTTCAAGCCAGGTCAACGTAAAGTACTCTACGGTTGTTTCAAAAGAAACTTAAAGTCTGAAATTAAAGTCAATCAGTTGGCTGGTTACGTTTCAGAAAATACAGGGTATCATCATGGTGAACAATCATTAGTTCAGACTATTATTGGATTAGCACAAGACTTCATTGGTTCAAATAATTTGAATATTCTCAAGCCAAATGGTTCTTTTGGTTCTAGAGCAGCTGGTGGTAAAGACTTCTCAGCTCCGAGATATATTTTCACAGAGATAAATGAGATTACCCGTAAAATATTCAATCCTTTGGATAATGCTTTGTATAAATATGTTCAAGATGATGAACAAACAGTTGAACCAGAGTGGTATTTACCAGTCTTGCCCATGCTTTTGGTTAATGGTTCTGAAGGTATTGGTACTGGTTGGTCTACTAATGTTCCACCTTTTAATCCTACGGACATCGTAAATAACATCAAGAAATTAATGAATGGAGAAGAAATGAATGAAATGTCTCCGTGGTATAGAGGTTGGGAAGGTGAAGTTGTGGCCAACGGAAACGATAGATTTAAAGTCATTGGTAGAATTGAGCAAACTGATGAAACCGAAGTGGAGATTACTGAAATTCCTGTTAAAACATGGACTAATAATATGAAAGAATTTTTATTAAACGGTTTGGGAACTGAAAAAGTTAAGCCTTGGATTAAAGACATGGAAGAACAACACGGGACGAATATAAGATTTGTCGTTAGGCTTAGTGCTGATGAAATGGCTAAGTCATTAAAAGTTGGATTACTAGAAAGATTTAACTTAATTTCCTCCGTTAGTTTAACTAATATGGTTGCGTTTGATCCAATGGGTAAAATCAAGAAATATGAAAGTCCTTTGGAAATTATGAGAGATTTTTACTATGTCAGATTGGAATATTATCAACGTCGTAAAGATTATATCACCGATGAAATCCAACATCAATTAACTAAATTATCCGAACAGGCAAGGTTTATTAAATTAATCATTGATAAAGAGTTATCAATTTCTAATAAGAAAAGGTCCGTTTTGGTCGATATATTACAGAAATTCAAATTTGTTAAATTCGATAAAAATGGTAAACCAGTTAATGATTCAAATGACCCTGCACTTTTTGTCAATGCTGACGAATTAGTGGAAGAAGAAGAAGAAGAAGTAGGAGATATTAGTCAAATTAATGCCGGAGGTATTCCTAATGAAGATAATAATGAGCATAAGCCGGAAACTATCTATTCGCATTACGATTATTTGTTAGGTATGACAATTTGGTCCTTAACAAGAGAAAGATATGAAAAGCTCTTGAAACAAAAAGGCGATAAAGAAAGCGAATTGAATATTTTATTACTGAAGTCTGCTAAAGATCTTTGGAATGAAGACTTGGATGACTTTTTGGAAAGCTGGCAATCTTTCTTGCAAGATGATTTCGAAAGAAGATCAAATATAGTTCCATCTAAGGGAACAAAGAGGAAGGCCAAAAGAACTAAGGCGGTGAAGAAAGAGCCCGGTGAACCACCAAAGAAAAAGACAACTACCACTAAAAAGCAATCGACGTTGCCAGCGCCGGTAAAGAAAGAGACGAGTAGCGAGTTCCCGTCATTTTTCACTGAAAGCAAGTCGCCAACGGTAGAAGAGAAATCGAAGACGGTAGCATCCAAATTCGATGATAGTGATGACGACGAAATCTTAGGACTTATCAATTCTAGATCCTCATCTAGCTCTAAGCCTATAACGAAATCCAGTTCCAAGCCTATAACGATTTCGACTCCGGAGCCCTCCACGAAGTCAAGATCAAGATCCCCAAAACCTTCGAAGAGCAGCGGGTTGCGGGATGAAATTGACGACTTGGCTATTGAAAATAACATACAGTATGCCCAACCTCCAGCCGGTAAAAGAAAAAAGAAATCCGCCGTGTCATACAAATTAGTTTCAAGTGACGATGAAGTCGAAGAAATCAGCGATGAGGAAGAAAGTGATGACGAGTACGAAGAGGATTAGAAACTCAAATCTGTAGCTTCTCTATAATTACTATCTAAATAAAAAATAATTCGATCTTGCGTGCAGACCTGTAGAGCCTCAATATATTACAATCTATCCATTATCTATTCATTACACCTTCTCATCTGAGGCAAATGAATCAATAATTGACAGGTTTTCACTAAGTTTTTGAAATGATATTCTATTCTACAATATACACCAAATTCTATAAATATTGCAAAAAAGCATACAAAATTCTTTTTTCACCTGAAAAATACGAAATAAACCTCCCCAATTCATACAAAAAGCACATAACACTCCCATAAAACAAACGCAACAAACGAAGACAAAATGGGGAGACAAAAAAAAAACAAGCTAAGACGTCAAATTAACCCCAGCTAGTAATATTCGTAAATTCCAACAAAGGTTCACCTGCGTCGAAAATATTTATCATCGACATATAACCTAGATTTACACCGACTATGCTATACCCCTACAAATTTGACATATATGGATCAAATGCACCCCCTATATGCCCAAACCAGAAATTTTATTGCTCCATGATCATCGACTCCATCGAGATCATTAGCGAAGGTATGACCCATGACTCTGAATCTCGCGACCATTATCCAGAAAGGTGACCACTCTCGTAAGAGCAAATTTCATGAACACGTATTCATGACGTTCACTCGCTTAGCATTCTGATTGTCTTACATTGTCTTTGTTCGATGGTCATGGTTTATTGTTGAGTTCTCGCCTCCGTATTTTTTTTTTCACGATCGTAAAATTAATATACGGATGCCGCCTTTATTATTTAATACCTCATTTATGAAAATTACATATATAAAAGAACCAAAAGAATATATTGTGTAGTAAAGCCCTATTGCCCTATTTATGGATTCTATTAGTATTCTATATGCATAAATATGATTTATTTTGAAGCAAACGTTACCACTACTATACCCAATCTGACATATTTCATGAATTCTAATAATAAGTACCCAAAGAATAATAGTATAGCAGGCCTTCCGACAAACAATCCTTCTGGAATGGATTATTCACAACCAGAATATACGCAACCGCAAAGTCAATCACATCAACAACATCAGGCATTACCACATCAGGCATTACCACACCAGCAGTTGCCACATCAACAACCACACCAACAACCACACCAACAACCACACCAACAATACCGTCAACAAGGTGAGTACAATTCGAAATTTACTCCCCAAGATATTCAGGTATTGAAGCAATTGTTGATTACGGGAGAGAAACACAAGTGGAAGCAGATCACCAAGGAAATTAATTACCAGGCAGCGAGCAGAAAAAACATGGTCAGTGACCAAGGTGGATATGGTTGCTCGAGCGACGATAGTAGCACCCCGAACAGCTACGTAGGAGGCACGAGCCCCGGGAAATTGAAGAATGTTTCGCCTACGTTTGTCATCAAGCAATACCAGGCATTGTTAGGCTTGCCCAATAACTCTATGTACTTTGGTCTCGTTGGTTCGTCATTACCGTACGTTGCAGGATCCAACGGTTGGGATGACATACAAAACGTATCCGGCATGTATGATAGCATATCTGACACTCAGAACGACGTTGAATGATAGATGCACATTATATATTGCAATAGACGTATATTTATTAAGCTAGAACTTATTCTTGTACTTTGCATTCCCGACAAGATCCGTCATTAAGGACGTCTTTGTACTTGTCGATATGGCCCAATTGTTCTTGCGGAAAAAGCTTGTCTCTGAGTATTCCTTTCAATAATTTGCTATCGGGGAACCCATCAAAATAATAATCTTCCTCTTGTGCTAGACCCTGTTTCTTGAATTTTCTCTTGTATATGATTTCAGGTTGACTATCGGCGTCTTTTATCACCACTACTTGAAAAAGACCTGGATTATTGTACACTGGCTGAAGTGCTACTTCCGGAATGAAATTCTTTTCAGGATCACTGAATGTTTGCATAACCTCTTGTAGATACCACACTGCTCTATTGTGCCATTTACAAGCAGCACAAAACTCTATAGATACCCTAGGGAATTTGTAAGCTTCCATAATGAATTATCTATCGTATTATACGTTTATAAACTATATGGTTATAAATTATAAATTTATGAATTGGATCAATGCGATAATCTTTTTAGATAAATCTTTTTAGATAGCTTCTTAGCACACAGAGGGAGATTACTAATCTACAGTTCATATTAGACGAATCTACATAATGGAAATCCTGTTGGATGCTTGACACATGAATGAATTTATATATGTTGCATTGAATTAATTGCCTTCTATGCCTAAACAATTTTGATGCTGAAGAGTAAAATACATATAATAAATAGAGGAAGAAAAAACTCAAGTCATTAAGCCATACCTAACCAATCCCAGTCACTTTTTTCTCCTTCAGTTTTAACATGCAGTTGAAAGTTCGGAATTGAAAAGTTGGATGAATGGTTCAAATAATCCATGTTGTAATCCAATTCATTGATAGGATCGAGATTTGTGTCGACATCAAAGTTGTCATCAGGATCTACATTAGATTCTTTAATCGGATTTTCCTTTTCTGCTTTTGAGCTTTTTCTAGCCGGTGGTTTGGGTTTCTTAACAGGGGATGTTTTTGAGTCGGGTGTGACTGCTTCATCGTTCGGAGATTTTTTACCTATTGGGGTAGGGTCTAAGTCATCACCATCGCCGTTTGTAGGCCCTGAGACCAGCTTCTTTGACGAGGTATTTGCGCCTCTTTGTCTTTTCTTAATAACATCAGTTTTTAGGCTTAGTGGTCTTACGACTCCATGCAATTTCAAAAATAGACCACAGGCGTTACATAACGGTTTACCCTTCGGATCACGTCTCCAAAGAGGAGTGGCCGTTGTGTTACAATTCGTACAAGAAATATGACCCTTATCCTCCTTTTTAGACAATGGCCCATTGAAATCGGGAGACACTATTCGAGTTTGTTTCTTTTTGCTCTTTATCATTTTCCCCTTTTTAGCTGAATTTTTTTGTTCATTTGGAAACGTTTCGTGCAAGAAGGTTGGCAAACTCGATGAGAATGTGTCTTCTGTGTTGATTCTCTTATTTTGATTGAATGAGTTTGAATTTAGGAGGAATGAATTTTTATTGAAACTATCAAAGTAGGACGTTGATGTAGCAGATGTTGAATAGTCATAGGAATCAAACGTATTTGATATTGATTGGCCAGTTTGAGATGCTGACTTAGGAAGGGAATTCAAGCCGGGTGATTCTTGTATTATGAATGAGTTCGAATGCACTAGTGGATATGGCGGATTTTGCCCTGTGTTTTCAAAATTTACTATATTCTGGTTATTCAATTGATTTGTAAAAGGTGTGTTACTCTGTGATCGAAAATGTTCGTTGAGACTTACCATGGAGCTGTTTTGTCTTTCCAAGTGTCCATTAGCGAAGCCATTTAGTATGGTGGATGGCCCAATTGTTTGTAATGGAGAACTCGACGAGTAGTGGCTGTCGAAGGACGAGCTCATATGATTATTGTTGTTATTAGGTTTATTTTCCATTTGCATTATTAGCGAACCTTGCGATGCCAATGAAGGAGTATGACTTCTGGTGTCACCACCTATCGTAGGGGTTTGGCTTTGACTATCTGAATGGAACGACTCCGAAAAGTTAAGTGCCGACCCGTCAAACGCCATTTGGTCTAATTGAAATGAAAATGCACTATCTGGTTCGAACTGCGACTCCAATGGTTGCTTCTTCACGGCTGCTAACGACGCGGATAAGTTCGAATGGGGCTTGCTACTAGTGACCAACGGAGAAAAGTCAGCAGGCCTCTTTTTGGTACTATTTGAATTGTTATTATGGCTGCTGTTGATTGTACTATTGCTTGTATTGTCTTGAGCCATTTTCTGGATTTGAGATTTGTAGTCAAATTCATCGAAGTCCGGAGAAACAGAACTTGATGTCACTTCGCTCGACGAAAAGCTGCTCTCTGTCTCACTCTTATGTTCTTTGACCTTTCTGTAATCCTGTTGGTTATTGACATACATCATCCTCCACGTCAAATTCTCCATTCGTTCCTTGTATGGTAGCTGCTCTCTGGCCTTGCTATACATTTTCCACAAATTTTCCGTCATTCCCTTTTCTGGAAGATTTTCAGACTTTCTCTTGTTAGTGTTATCATCATTCAAGTTGAAGTGAAATTTGCTGGTCAACAAACGGTTTCTATCTTGACTATGTCGTGCCCGACTATACGATTGAGAAATATTTGCATCAATATTCATCTCTAGCTTATGGCTCTGTATTTTAACAATTTAATTGACAATAATCTATACTCCAAAATACTTTCTGAGCTATATTCACTTTGCAATAAGTCAATTAACGTTAATAAAGAATGATTTATTTTGTCCTAGCTGAAGGTTCTGGTCTAAGTGAATCCCAAAATGCATCAATATATCCCGATAAAAGGGTAATATAGACACACCTCTCATATCGAAATATCAGACGAATTTTTAATTGGCTCGATAACAACTGATTATCGATATATAGATTATGCTTCAATGATAAACGGCTAGCTCAATTAGGATCTGTTCCGTCCACTCACTGTAGCACACGTCCTGTAGGAACTAAAAATAACACAAACACTAGTGTTAATTGTTTTATGGTAATTGGCTGATGTATAGTGTGCTATCATATATATCAGCCTATTTACTACTATAAACCGCCTGTACTATAGACCGCTAAATTCTTTTAAACAATTATGAAAAGGATTAATCCCATCCTATTATAATCCACATCTACCGCCTAATAAGCTTCACTAATATGCGGTGATGGCATTACAGTAAGGTTTATATCCGGAAAATTGGCTGGCGATAATGCAATGTGTAGACATAAGCGAAAATTGACCATCGCGATTATTTAGTACACATTTTATATATGTTCATTAACTATGCCATATTATGCGGTAGCTAAAGGTATAAAGCCTGGCATCTATACAAGCTGGAATGTTTGCAAACAGAATGTCAGTGGTTATAAAGGAGCAGTTTTCAAGAAATTTGTGTCTGTGAAGCAGGCCCAGCAGTTTATTGAGAGCAATTCATCTTCGACACAGTCATCGCAAACTTCAGGATCCCAATATGGGCCAAAACCATCCGATTTGTCCAATGTTGCCAAAACAGTACAGTCCAGTGGTACCAGGAGCGCAATTCAGAACATAAAGCTCGAATATCACAAATCTGTGCCTAGTTTGAAGGTTACCCTTGGAGCAGAGTTTCACAGTCGGACTGGAAAGTTCACTAGCCAGAGCAATAGATTAGAGAATCCAGATATAAAGATTCAGAGCATTTATGTTGATGGAGCCTCACGAGGTAATGGGAAGATCAAAATGCCCATATCAGGATACGGTGTCTTCTACGGTGCCAGTGATAAGAGGAATGGTGCTATATCGCTCAACCAAATCGATGACGTACATGTCAATAAGCCAACAAATCAAAGAGCAGAGTTATTTGCTATTAAACATGCGTTAATTGATATTGCTAATGAGATTGTCGAGTGTAATGATAAGGTGACCATGAAGTACGAGATTTATTCTGATTCCCAATACGCTCAATCCTGCATTACCAAATGGTGTGACGATTGGATGAAAAACAATTGGAAAACTTCACAGGGAAAGCCTGTGAGTAACAAGGACATTATATCCAGCGTTATACCTATCCTAAACTATATTAACCAGTATTATAACAAGCATCATTTTGGGGACTTGCAGTTTTTCCATGTTAGAGGCCATAGAGGTGATTATGGTAATGAAATGGCAGATAGATTAGCCAATATTGGCGCTGATGATATGGAGAAGGAAATCAATGCCGAATAATGCATTCTTTATCCACAATGGTCGGTTTCTTATTGTATATAGTTTTGCTATCTGTAAATACATTTTATACTTGGTTATTAAGCCTGCATATACACCCCATCGAAATATTTCACTATAATGATTAAGTATAAAGAATAGTCTATATCACTTAGCCATGAGTGCTTACGCAGCGTTGCAAAAGATGTCAGGAGCATCATCGATCCTTTATGGGGCTAGCGGAGAGTCTGATAATGAGGAGAGTGGCACTATAGGATATCTCAGAAATTCTTCCGATGAGGACATAGAAGCGGAAGAAGTAGAGGTTCCAACTACCTCTACTGTTGCGCCAACGCCAAATATAATACGAACCCCTTCCATAGTACCGAAGATTAATAACTTTATATGCGAGTCAAATTTTATCCCAAACGATGATAATTTTATTGTGTTTCATGATCACATAATTATTGGTCTTAAAGCAAATGAATATGTCCTAATAAATGGACAATGCAAGATGACAATACAAAGAGGGGCTATATTAATAAATACTGGCCATTATATGTTTGCACATCCTAATAATTGCATACCGATAATGGCATCTCAGTCTCAGTCGTTGCCTATTATTTCGAGTACTCAGGTAGTTGATCGCAGTGGGATTAAAGATACCAAGACAGACGAGAACATGCATCTATTTTCAAGTAACTATAAGTCAATAATCAAATTGGAAAATTTATATACTGGATTAGAGAAGATTGGAACCTACCATCCACCATTTAAGCGTCTTTTTTACAACCATGATGTAACCGAAGATGAAGAGTTGACCGAATACGAAAGGCTTTTTAAAACTTATTCATTTGAAATAATTTTACGGGATCGTGGTTGTATCGGTATTAGTATAGAGAAGTTATGGCTAAACCAAATTCAATTCTTAATAAGTGATATTCATGAAGATTTAATTCCCAAAACGATCATGATAATAGGGAACAAGAACAGTGGGAAATCAACACTTTCTAAAACGCTATTGAACTCTCTTATATTGACGAACCAAAATACAGTATCGTATTTAGATTTGGATCCAGGCCAGTCTGAATTTTCTATTCCCTACTGTCTTTCGCTAACAAACCACTCTAAGCCAATTATCGGTATGAATGTCCCCAAGGTTTCAGGAGATGAAGATAGTGTATCACATTACTATGGATTTACTACCCCTCAAAGCCAACCCTCACAGTATGTCTCTATTATTAAAGCGTTATTCCGAGAATATGACCAAGTTTATAAACCCAGAGGACATCATCTAATCATCAATACTCCCGGATGGATAAAGGGCTACGGAAAAGAATTATTAAACGAGTTAACAGCGCTTATGAACCCAAACCAATTGATATTATTGTCAAATAATACCGAGTCTGATAATATGGATAATTCAGAAAATTTAAGTGGCTTGACATTTCAAAATTCTCGTTGCTTTCAAGGAATTTACCAAACATCAAAGTATTCACCCTTTCAATTAAGAATGTTCAACAAGTTATCTTACTTTCATCAAATAGATACTTTGAAATTTGACTTTAATAGCCATATTTTATTGCGTTCTCCTTTGAAAATATCATACGAAACAGTCAATTCTTCAAACGGTTTCAAAGGTATAAATATGGTTTCTGTATTAAATTACGATACTGGACTCAACTTTGAATTAAATGATTTATTATCCATGATTGATACTTCAATAATGGGCTTATATTTAATAGACCATGAATATTATTCATCCCTAAAAGCTTCATTGAAAAAACTGGAGGATTGTGATTATTTACCACAATATTTGAACTCAACTGATTACATCAGTCTAATCAATTACAGTTCGTCAAATAATATTTTTATGGGGCTTTGCATGGTTCATAGTATCAATACTAATGATGAATTTTTTAACATTTATTTACCTGGTCACAATCAAAATAGACTCACAGAAATGATAACTAGAAAGGATTACAAAATGTTATTAGTTAAGGGTGATGGTGATATACCTAGTCCAGAGTTACTAATGTTTGATATGCTACTTAAACAACAAGAGGACATGAAGAGATTGAACAAGAAGAGAAAGAAAAACCCCAACGTAGACGACAAAGATGTATTGAAAATTCCGTATGTGACGTTTGAAAATAAAAGCAAAATCGGAGGCATATGGAAAACAAGAAGGAATGTCATGAGAAGAAGCCATCAACGATAATGTTTTATCCTACAACTTTAACGTATAAATGTATATTTCATAGACGTATTATATAGTGAAAAAACCTGCATATTATTATAGAATTTAACAGATCAACATTTCGACAGAAGAAATGATAATGATATAGAATAACGTATACAATCGAAGGTAACTCTAAGAATGATTGGCAAGAGCATATTGATACTCTTCATTTGGTTATCGAGTATTTTCGGTGTGAGTTTCGCCATTATACCTAATGTTGATAACATAGATAAATCCAATTCCAATGATCAACATGACGAGCCAGGCCATTTATCGTTACCAAACTTATTACAAGCCAATAATATCAATGATTTGGATTTGACTTGGGACGTTCTTTCTAATATACAATTAGATACTGGTAGGTTGGTTATTGATAAAAATAATGGAGCAGTTTGGTCGAAAGCGCATTTAGAAAATACTGGAGACGAATGGACAATTGAAATGGTTTTCAGATCTTCAGGTACTGCAAAAAACGACTTGGCTTTTGGAGATACCAATGGGTTGGCTTTATGGTTAATTGATTCTTCGAACTCGTTGCCAATTAATGATAGGAATGTGGACAATTTTGGAGGCCCTTCACAATTTGATGGATTTCAATTCTTGATCAATACAAATGAAAAGAGAGGATTGAAAATATTTAATAATGATGGTACTAAGACGTTAAAAAATACTATTGAACAATCTATTGGGGATTGTGCTTTCAATTACTTAGATTCGCTGGTCCCATTTACTGTCAGAGTTTCGTATTCTAAACTGAGAAAGTGGTTTAAGGTTCAAATTGATAATAACTTATGCTTCAAGACCGATAAAATAATACTCCCAGATGACTTGAATGATTTTACGTTTGGTATTACTGGTAATATTAGTCCATCATCTCAAGAAGTTTACGAAATATTGAAATTAAATGTGTGGTCCCATTTAACTAACGATGCAGTTGATGATCATGCATTGATGTCAGATGGCCATTTGAAGATTGAATATAAGACTGTGACGGCGGATGATCCAAAGGACACATATATACCTCCTTCCAGAATAAGAGAATCTCTTATGGAGAGAAACAGAAAGCATAGAGAAGAAATATTGCGTCAACAAAGAGAGGCACATCAACAAGATAAAGAAGACAATAAGATAGATTTATTATTAAATGATATCTCATTCAAATTAGAAAATCTTGAATTGAGACTTTCGAGTATGGATTCTTCAGTAGGATCAGGTGATACATCTTACGATACTAAGGTATTGGGCGCTCAACTCAAAGATATTACAACTATCCAAACTCAACAACAAGAAGCTTTGTCGAACTTACAACAAAGTTATGACCAATTCAAGACTACTCTCGGTCATCAATACACTGAGTTATTACAATCTGTTTCCAAATTGAATGAAAAAGTGATTGGTGAAGTTAGGGAACACCAATATAGTACTGAAGAATTAGGTAAGAAGGTCGATTTATTGATGTCAAACCATAAAGAAGTAGCGTATCAATATCAAAATGGGAATAATGACTTGAAAAACAACGAGGCTGATTTACTACCATCTATTATTAGATGGGTGTTAATCCCAGTAGTTGTTGGAATTATCCTATTAACTATTGTCGTTTATAGATTGAGACATGATATCAAGCATTCCAAACTACTTTAGAAAGATAACTACTGCTTTATAGGCTATAAATATTTCAATTGTAGTATATAAGTTAGATTGCTTTGCATTAAAAGTACATGATTAAATAGCGCTATAGAAATATACTTCGCTTAATCAACAACTATTACTCCTTCCTCTTTGTTATCCCTGTCGTCCTTCCCATTTTTACCTTGTCTTTTTCTTCTGTCATTATCCTTTTCAGGGAGTTCTGGAGGTGGTGTTGGAGAATCATATTTAGAAGTCATATCTTTCACCGACGTCTTTCTTTCCAAACCTTTCGGTTGGGTTAAATCAGTGTATGAGCCACTTGGAGATCCATTAGTGGAATTATTAGAATCCTTATCGATTATAATATCGTTCTTTGTAGGCTTCGACGGTACGATATTTTTCGAAGCATTAGACGAGCTATTACCACCATTCGAATCTTTCAAGTATGTATTTAACTTCTTTTTATTAGGAGAAGTTGAACGCTTAAGAGACGCCGGAGCCGATTTTTTTGGCGTTGATGGAGGTGGAGTGGAAGGAGGTTCAGGTCTCTCATTGTTATACATAGAAGAACTCACAGCATCAGATTTATCAGATTTAGCAGGAATACTATCATCTTTAGACATGGAAGATTTCGAACTTGCTTCATTAGTAGCATGCTGCTTCTTAGAATTATGAACTGCTTTCTGTAATTTTGATTCCAACCTACTTTTTGTATTATCTCCAGACGACAGGGCGCTTCTTGTTGTCTTAGTAGAGCTTTCTCTCGTAGGATTATTTGATCTAGAAGAATTTCTTCTTCTTAACTCTTTAAAAATGGTATCCTTATACTCGAAGAGATCGTTCATGAAGGTATATTGATGCTTATCATTGATGTAAGTTGACGAGTTGTTAGACCCATCAAAACTTAATAAGTCTAATTTTGGTCTTAATATCAAATTGGCAAATTCTTTCGATAATTTTAATTGAAGAGTTTTCGATAATTCTTCATCCTTGGATCCAATGATGTGAATTAACCTACTCAAATGAGTTAATATTGCGTCCAAAGTAGCTAAACTACATTTTGGCAAATCCACTAAAAGATTCTGTAAACCATTAATTCTGGAATCATTAACGGTAGAATCATCATTACTAACAGGGTAATTCAGGTATAAGGACTTGATTAAATCATAATAGTCATGAGGGATTACAGAATCTGGTAATTCCATAAAATACAACTTCAAAACATTAGTTATTATCATTGGATGTGTTCCAGATAATATTTCATTAATCTTAGATGTATCATTGGTGTCATTTAATTGAAATCTTAATTGATGGACTTGAGTCAAATGAATTGGCATCGTCCACAAATTTATTCTTTCCTGATCATTAACTAAATCAGGGTAAACCTTATCCAAATGAGATAATATGCACTGAATTATCAATGGAACTACTTTGCGATCCAACCTTGACTTAACGGTCAAATCTACACCAAAGGTTTGCTTGATGTTTGAATTATAATAATTGTCATATAATACAACTTGTGGTTTAAACTTACCGGTAGCATAATTCTCAATCAAGAATTTCAAGTCACTCATTGGATGAATGGTTTCTTCTAAAACCAATAACTCATCACAAATTTGTTTCATAGTATTCACTTTATTTGCAAAGCTGGCAATAAAATCAAAAGTAACTTTCTTGATAGCTTTCAATCTATCAAGTTCACATTTCTGCATGAAAGTCAAATGGTCCATAATTATTTCCTCTAATTCACATCTTATTTTATCTAAATTAACAGTGCTTTTGTAATATTGGTCGTCAAGAGAGTTCACATTTACTACCAATTTAGATACTTGTGACTTGTCCTTATAATCTATGCTAGTAACACCCATAGCTTGCTTCATATCTTCAAAATAATCGGCAAATTGAGAGCCTTTAGCAGCAGTGGAAGAAGTTCTGCTTAAAGCACCGTCGGTCTCCGATATCACACTCTCCAATTCTGAAATTTTAGTGATTTCAAACACAATAGGCTTCCATTGGTAGAAAAATTGTGAGGAATTAATGAAATTCTTACCACCACTCATGGATCCGATAAGTCTTATAAAGCCACTATTGACCAAATCCTGACCAAAAATTTCAGCTTTTGCAATATTTCTATTCAATTCATTCATGTTATCTAATAGCCACTGTGTTATAGCACTTCCAGAAGATACATTATTGTAAGTTCCCAATATTGGAACTTTGTGAGAGTTCAATTCGATGTTCTTGAGGATACTAGTAAGGAGTGCTTTCACAGACTTATTATCGTATTTAGTGCCTCCCAAAACATAAACCGTTCCGTCATCCTCGTCTTCTACTTCCGCTGCTTCGATATTATCGGCAAACTCGATATCCTTCAATTCTTCATTAATCTCGTCTTCGGTGTAATGGGATTTGAACTCCTCGAGCATTCTGCATCTGTTGAAATATCTCTTTTGTAATTTCTCTAAATTGGTCTTCGAACTCTTAAACGCCTTATATTTGTCGAAAAGTACCGTCTCAGAATATTCAACTCTCTGTTTATGTTCTTTGCACCACTTGGAAAATGGATCAAGCACAAGTAATTGTATATTGGATCCAATTTGCAAATGGTATTCTGCTTGCTTATTGAAATTCTCATTGATCTTCTGATAAGCATTCTTAATCGATGACACATAGTCATCGTTGTTTTGTCTTTTACTATTGGATTTCAGGCTCTTTTCTATGGATTCCAATTGTGTTCCATAGATTATTTCCAGCTCCATTCGTTTGGTAAATAATTGAATAAAATCATCATTTTCATTCACTCCTTCATGAAGTTGGTCAAATAAGATTCGAAACCCCAGATGATAATCTTGCGTCCAGAAACTATCGGCAAATGACATTATTGGTACGTATTATTCCAAATAACCTACTTTACCTATATTTACCAGCTAATCTTTATGGAAGGAATTTAGTACAATTGTTCGAGACACGCGTTTTATGTTGAAATGGTAAATACACAATATTTTCTTCATATCGGCCATACTATACAATACAATTAGGAATGGAAGCCGGTCGAATGAACTTAAACTCTACATAATGACTGAAATTTAGTAAATAAGACATTGTTTTAAAAGAAAATGTACGGTTGGTGTGAAAGTTGAACGTCGCTTCATAATTTGCAGCGCCGTACCCATGGCGGATGCAAAAAAGTCGAGCTTTCGTCAAAATAGTAATGATAGGAATTCATCTATTATATCATGCTGGAATGTGGGATCGGTTCTCATAGGTGGTGAATAGCGGATAACTTTCTCTTGTTTGGCCCTAGGCATCAAAGAAATCCAAATCCACTAAAGTATTAGAAAATATATAACCTGCAAAACCGGCCAGCGAGTTTTACAGATTTTCATTAAGTTTCTCTTTATGGAATATATTGGTACTATTAAGATATTTTTTTATTTATAAAAGGGAAGATTATAGCCGTTGAAATGATGTACTCGAAGGAAATGGGGAAGCCTCCTCAGACACCGCCACGCAAGGACAGCCTGATAGGAGGGAGTGATACTGGGGTTTGTGGTGTTAACTCGCAACAAGAATTTGTGAATGCTTTAAGTACGCCTGTGACAGAAAGTAGGAAATCAGTAAAGATTCTTAAAACACCATCAGAAACAGTCAATAATACAGAGCAGGAGGATGATGGGTCGATGGAAGTGCCGATGACACCAGATTTCACGCCTCAGAAGAGAAAACGGAATCGGAAATATCAGAAGGGTTCCATTTCGAAGTCTATACATGCCACACCCAGACTGACTCGACCACCAGACGCAGTTCCCCCGAGCCTGCTGGGAACGTGTGGAAGTAAGACGAATAGATATAGTCAATCCAAGAAAATACGACCTATTTCACTAGGATTAAAGTTGTCCCTTGCTCAAGAAGAGCTGAGTTCGGAAGAGACTGGGACGGAGACGAATTACTGCAGCCAGCCTATACCGCATACCGAAAATTTACGAAATGAAGAGCAGATGGCAACACCAAAAGGGAAGATTATAGGCGAAAGCCTTGTGAACGCCTGGTATGGGAAATCGTTGAATAATGACTTCTCATCTGATGAGGAATTGTCAGACTACGAAAATATGATGCTTAAAAACGATATTTTAGAGAATAATGCTAACAGGCCTTCCAAAACTAATAGACAACAAATACATAACCCATTTGGGCCGGCACCATTTAATCTGAATACCAAAACCAACATACCCACAAGCTCAGCCGTCGATTATTCAACACATGCGGAATATTACAATAATAAAACCGGTGAACGGATAATAAGGGAATTAACGGAAGATGAAAAACGAATAAAACCAAAGAAATTAAACTTCAGGTCCACAGCGGGAGATAATGATCACATTATCAACGAACCACGTCAACCCTCAATCGATGATTCTGGTAATCAAGAAACAAGTGTCGGCGATAAATTCCTTTTGAACAATTTAAACAGATTTATGGTCGATTCCAAACCAAAAAATAGCCTAGGCTTCGAAATATTCAAAGATAATGGAAATTAATTATTTTATCAAATTATTCTACTTATTAATACATTAATATATACTTTAATCGCGTTTATACTTTCTCATATTATCCCAACCTATAGCGTTTGCATTCGGTAATTTAACTACTTCAACTTTATTTAATAATTCCGGATTATTAACATCAGGGTACGTTGCAGTGTAATAAAGAGGATTCTTGATTGAACGAGAATCATTGTTATTAGAGTCTTCATCACGCAATTCGACTGGAAGCTTCGATAATATTTCCTTATGAGCTGAGGGATGAACATACTTATCAGCTAGCGTGAAATTCTGCATTGGCGGATTGAATTCTGCACCAGGAACCTGCGCTTCAGACTCGAGTGATTCTTGTTGTGCTTTTTCTTCAACTTTTTGTTTTTTATCCACGGATAGTTGTTCAAAATCGACAAGCTTAAATTTATAATAGTTTGTCCAAGTTTCGTCCGCCATTTCTCTATAAGTATTCAATAAAAGATTAAATTGTAAATTATTGTGTAACATTTCTAAATTGACACAATCATCAATATCTTCTCTTTGCTTATTAAGAATAGATTCAACAAGTGGCTTATTGAATCTATCGTGCATTAATCCCTTCACGTTAGCGTTATACCTTTTATTATTGAGTTTGGCGATATCTTTCGTAACTTTGTGTGGAGTTTTGATAGACTTAGAATTTGAAGCCATTGGAATTTTATTCATTTTACTGATCAAAGCTGCATCCTTGTAGTTTCCACTTCCAGGGCCTCTATAACTTTTGGTATAATAATATTTCGCATGATTGTAATTATCACTTTCATTCGTAAATACCAATTGCTGAACATTCTTTGCTAACTTGACATTGTCACCAAATAATAAGGATGAACCTGAAGATGAACCAATTGGCTTCTTCATGTCTTTCAAAATAGATGATGCCGATGATCCAGCATTTGGAGCATTTGTAGTTACAAAGTAATTTGGAACCTTGCAGAAATGGTTTATATTAAATTCCTGAATGTACCCTTGACCTGGTATTATAGACTCCGTAAGATCTATCGTATTAGGGTCTACATTAGTATTATGTTTCTTCGATCTTCCAATTGGTTTTCCTTTCCGTCTCTTCTCTTTAACTTGATTTTCATTGGTTCTTTCATGTTCGAGAACTTCAATCAACGAATAATCGTATTCTCTGCAAATTAATTCTCTCTCATTCACAAATAATTTGCTGTTCCCTAAAAATTTCTGATAAGCAGGCGTGCTCATGTAGTAATTGAACTTCGTTAGGTTGGTCAACGTGTTAAAGGAAGAGTGATTCAACTGCGAAGAGTAGTCTACCAAGCCGTACTGAGGGAATACCTGGCTTATTGTAATCTTATCATCGCCCGAACCTAAAACCCGCCTATTCATCTCAATGTTGTCCTCATCGTCGTCCACAGGGATATCATCTCCAACAAGGACTTCCTTATTGGACACAACCTGATGTAAAAACTGAGCATCAATGTAGAATAACTTATACTTCAATTCAGACTCATCTATTAGGCTCTTCTCCAATAACCATTCGTTTATGGTACAATCTGTCGTATGTAAAAACTCTCCTTTATTCATCCCCGTACCTTTCACTAGATGTTTTATTAACTGGTACGATGATGGGTAGTTCCATATTTTTGCTACGTCTTTCACAAGCACTCGATACGTTTCGTTCAATAGGAACACCGGCACCTTGAAAGAATTCAACGACTCAGTATAACCGTCGCCCGTAGGAGGACAAATCGCAACCTTCACACGCTTGAACGTCCCCGTTGGCACCTCGACGTTTGACGTGACATATATGACATCAACAGGATCTTGTATTGATACCATATTGGTACTTCTAATCGCTTGTTACTATACTAATCTGGTCTATTCCCATACTGGAACGCTTTGAAAAAACATACCAATGTGAAGTACTGCATATAACCAACTTGACCTTCTGCTAATAATGTCCCCCCGCCCCAAGCTGGTCTCCCATTAAGCTGTTTTTCGTGGTTCACCCTCTTAGGTACCACCCGTGCCAATAGTTAAATCACTGTCAAGGGGGTTCCAGGTCCCCAAGATGTCGTTTGGAGCGAAAATTCTGATAGGAGACACAAACCCCTTCTCGGCGGATGTTTCTTCCGCTTAAGGAAGAATGACAATTTAACACCTCTACGATCGGGACGCGACCCGTAAGTAATTGTGAGCATATTCCCTCATATATTCGTTTAACAGGACTGCCATATACTACAAAGCGAAACGACCTATCCATATAGAAACCACGGGATAAAAAGAGCTATTCACTGAGAAACCCCCCCCCCCCCGTACTATTCCAATCGTCTATCTAAACCCAAAATCCCCTCTCTCACCGTCCTGTTTTCTCTTTGGTAGGAACTGGCCACTGATATAATATCCTGCACATACCCTGTGCTCAAATTTTCAGCAAAAATCGAAAACTTAACGATTGGAATCGATCTCTCATGGGAGAACAAATATTTCAATAAATAAATTAGATTTAACGATTAATACATCTAATTAATACTAGTTAATCGGCAAATATAGTTTACAACGATGGGATTATCTTTTTCTAAATTGTTTTCTGGTCTTTTTGGCCGCAAAGAAATGAGAATTTTAATGGTTGGTTTAGATGCTGCTGGTAAGACCACCATTTTATATAAATTGAAGTTAGGTGAAATTGTCACCACTATTCCGACTATCGGATTCAACGTCGAAACCGTTGACTATAAGAACATTTCTTTCACCGTCTGGGATGTCGGTGGACAAGATAAGATTCGTCCATTATGGAGATATTATTTCCAAAACACACAAGGGATTATTTTCGTTGTTGATTCCAACGATAGAGACCGTATTGCGGAGGCCAGAGAAGAATTACAACAAATGTTGAACGAAGACGAGTTGAGGGATGCGTTATTGTTGGTGTTGGCCAACAAGCAAGATTTACCAAACGCCATGAACGCAGCTGAAATCACTGAAAAATTAGGATTACACTCGATCAGACAACGTCCATGGTACATCCAGGCCACATGTGCCACCTCGGGTGACGGGTTATACGAGGGTTTGGAATGGTTATCCACCAACTTGAAGAATTCTGCTTAATTTTATTATAGGTCATGTAAGTCATTCTATAATAAGATTTAATTTTAATCGTCGAAAATGTGCTAATGTTAATCTTGATCCGTGTCAAAGACCGAATTGATGTTTTCACGTTTATCCATTTATTTTATATCACTAAGAAATCAATTTTTGTTAATCCGCCAACTCTCCGGTGTCTTCGTGTTCTGGATTCGCTGTGGTTGTTGTACCATGATGTAGCTAGCTTACTATCTATATAATTAATCAACCTTTTGAATAATAGATGACTGTTGGTTTATCATTGTTGCGTCCAAACGCAGCATTCATTTGACTACGTAGTATCTATATATTGGCCCTTTGGAATTCATTCAGTAGGATTTTGCTACTTTTTTCACCTTTTTTCGACCACGTATCAACAATCGCACTGCTTTTCTCTGTCTATTTGTTTATCGTGCAATCTTCGTACATGTCTATACGGCAAACATACCATATATACACCCATTCGAATATAGAAATGTAGACACCTTCTATACAATACATCCTTCAAGCTTAGAAGGTATGAAATTCTTCTCTCCGTGTCGATTCGTTAAGTCCGGAACCAAGCAATTGTTCTACGACCTGGTTATTGGAACCCCATTCTTCTACGTTTTAGATACATCCTTTCAGATATTGAAAGCTAGCTATATACATTCATTACTAGGCTTATATAGTCTCATTTGTTTACTTGTAAGTTGGCTCTGCCCCAGGTTAATGAACTTTTAGTACCCCATACTATATACAGTTTATAATCAAGTCCTCGGTTGAAGTTGGCAAATGGCCCCTCCATCATATGCAAAATTAATAACTATATATAAAGGAGAAATGTCTGGAGAAGTCTGGGATCTAGATTTAAATCAATAAGAACTATTATAATTAAAATATGTCCGAAGGAGAAGATATTTTATACGAGGTTAGAGGGAAAGTTACCATCATCACTTTCAATATTCCAAAGAAGTTGAATGCATTGAACGGGGAACAATACTTGTTGTTGGCCAAATTGGTTGAAAGGGCAGACAGGGAAGAAGATACTGTTATGACCTTAATACAATCAACAGGAAGATATTTCAGTGCAGGAGCTAATATTGCTGACAAGGGTTTGGCGAATGTAGATCCGGAGAATCTTTTCAGTCATGAATACTGGTTAGATAAGTTCGTGGCCAGAAACGTGTATTTGACCGATTTATTCCACAATCATACCAAGATTTTAGCTGCTGCAGTCAACGGACCTGTAATTGGGTTATCTGCGGCCATGTTAGCCTTATGTGACTTGGTTTATGTGATGGACGAAACTAAGTTCTTTTTGTTAGCACCATTTTCTAATTTGGGATTGGTTGCTGAAGGTGCTGCCAGTGCAACATTATTTTTGAGATTGGGCTGGTCCAAGTCTGCTGAAGCTTTATTATTGGCAAGACCAATTCCAGGTACCGAATTGAACAAGCTAGGGTTCATCAACAAAAATTACGGTGATGTTAAGTTCGATTCTGTTGAGCAATTCAACCAAAGAGTACACGATGACTTGGTCAGTCAATTTCAAGGTTTATACGAACCTTCCATATTTGCTAACAAGCAATTGTTGAAGGCTAATAGAGACCAGTTAATCAACAGTGCTAACTCTAGAGAAGTCATTAAGGGTTTCAATAGATGGGTAAAGGGTGTTCCTCAAGAAAGATTCATGAAATTGTATCAAAAGGATATCCAACATAAGATGTAAATGCTATATTTTATTATGCTATGTTAATTATCTAGAATTATATAAGTAAATGCTATGATATTCTTAATTTTGCAGACTGTAGTTTTGTATAATTCAAGCTGATCTGAAAATATCGCACAGCTTATCATAAATTGTGTTTTTATCAACTTGAAACGAGAGTGGAGGGGCAACATGAGTCTTAATCTACCCAATCCTAGTATATTGGGGATTCTATTAGTGGTATCGACTCACAGTGGTCCTCAATTGGTATTTCAATATCCACCTGATTTGTCTAACGATTCCAAGAAAAGTTCTAATTTAAAACGAACTAACAAAACTTCCACTTTGAAAAGAAATGATAGTGACTCAGACGAGTTGGATATAGATGACGATGATTACATAGCAGATAACGAAAAGGATGAGGAGTTCATCAATGTGGATAATGCTGAGGAAAGGGAATGGGATTCAAGAAAAATGAACTATTATTTGGGAACAAAAACGGATTTGCTTCTGTTCTTAGATGAACAAGAGAAATTTCGCCAAACGCTACAAGAAAGGAACAGAATTTACGGCCATGGACAATCTGATTTACATATCAATCCAGATGAAAAAAAATCTTTACATCGTAATAGCAAATCAGGCTCCTCCGATAAGCAAATAGACTCACCGAAACTTGAGGCCTCAAATTCAAATAATCTAAAAAAGACGATATCCAGTATATCAGATTCCCAAAAAAGTAGCACTTCGAAGGCTTCAACAAGCGGTATCCCTCCCGCGTCTCCTATTACGAGTAGTACAATTCTTGGATTTGAAGCAGATTATTTATGTGAAATGCTTTGTCCCCCAAAACAGATGTGCAATTCGAGATTTGAAATCATGATTGATGATTTGGTGTTTCTAGGATTGCCGATCCATAGCTATGATAATGGTTCGTGGAGATCAAAACATTCTCATCGTCCAAAATCAGGAAAACTGTCTAAGGGAAGGTCTAGGAATGCTGCCGATAATGCCAGTATTGATGAAAGAATAGATCACGAAACTACTTCCAAAAGTCAATCTAAAAACGCTATGAATATGTTTCATTTAGTTTTTATAATGAATCCACCTATAATTGAGTGCAATTATCGTATTGATGAGATGTTTCACTACGTTATTTCAAGATTATCTCTAGTATTGAGGTACGAGCAACTGAAACATGAATATGTTTGGAATCAGGTTCGCATGATATATAATTTAAAAGAAGAATTCGGAAACCAAGCAACCACAGCGAACCTTACGAAATATTTGACTAACAAATCGTCATTATGTAAATTAATATCAGAATGTTTTACTCAAATTTCGAGGTCTAACATTGCCAATCTTTCAATAAATAATAAACTAAGGTCGTTCCAAATTCCGATCAAGACAGAATTTCATTCATTACCAGATTCTACTGTGCCATATTTACCAGGTTCTCATTTGTCATCTACTGTAAATATGCTAGCTAATACTGGACTTATTAGCGTTGGTGAGACCATAAGATATGATGTAAATAACTTGAACGGTGGAGGCCTTGATGACTTTGATGATATTGATGACAATAAGTCAGATTCAAATGCTGATGATATCATATATTATGCATTATTGTTATTGGATGACCCAGAAACCATAATCAGAGATATAAAAGCTCAACAACAAAGTACTCTTGCAAATTTCATTAGAATGATTAAACCAACAGAATCTTTATTAAATCTAGCTAATAAATTGAAGCAACAGGCAAGCGATAACGGATTTAGTTTAGATGCTGGACAAATTAAATCCTTTGCATTTCATTTAATATATTGGAGAAGAGCACGAGTAATCCTCCCGATAAGTACAAGATCCGTTTATATTGTTTCGCCGATGGCCCCTATAACGCTTAGTTTTCATCATGACATCTTTATTTTCAAAAGGACTTTTCCCGCATTACCATCATTACCTCATTTCTTAAGATTATTGTCAAGTTCATCAAAGCCAAGACAATTAGCTACTATAATTCCATCAAAGGATCATCGCGACGCCTACTTAAACGCCCTAAGCTGGTTGATTAGATATGGCTATGTTACCCAGTTACATACATTTATTTGGCTAAAGATTTCTAGGAAAATAAAAATGAAGGTAGAAGAAGACTTAGAAAATGAAGGCGCTAATAATAAGCGGAAAAAACCAAGTGCCACAGCTGATTCTAATACATCTAATAAAATCAATGCAGGTACAGATAACACGTCGAAGACAGAATCCAACCCGGAGGAAATTCAACGCAAAATGTCCCAGTTGAAAATGATAAATAAAAATACCAATGGTAACCCAACATCTTATGAGCAAGAAATAGATAATATAGAAAAGAAGTTAGTATCACCATCAATAGGTCTTAATCTTGTTTTAGAGGAAGAAGGAGATACGATCATAATTGATCCAGGACGTGCATCTTCGTTGGAACGAAGATGGATAAATAAAGTGATTTCTGAAGAATGCAATCTTTCGCCGGAATTAACATTTAAATTTTATGAGTTATTGAAATATATGAATGGCAAGAATTCGTTGGAGCTTTTACTATTAAAAGAAAATGTTTCCAGACAAGAGTTAAGAACGTTATTGTTTGCAATTGAAGATTACATTATATCTGTAAGGCATTGGTAGAAGTAACTATTACAAAATTTGAATACGTAAATATGTATTAGTACACGTAATATACAGAAGAATTAAGTGGCTGAAATAAATTTCAATGTTTAATTAAGCAAATGCATTTTCCTGATTGGCCTCTAACTCGTTTCCTTCAATTTCATTGAAACTCGAAAAATGAATTGGCCTATGTAATTCGTGATAAAATGGAAGGGGAATGTCAACTTTTAAATCGTATAATCCGTTCGGATCCCAGATCGGACCAATAAACGAATAATTCCATATATCATCATCAGGCACCATAAAGAGCCCAACTATACGATCCGATAATAACAACAGACCCTTTTGACTAAATGATGTCGAATATCCTTGAGGTACTTGAGAAATCAAATCGTTGTTTGTTGAAGCCCAATCATACCCCGCGCCTGATAAGGTATATGCCGCTAGAGAAACTGAACCTGGTGTAAACGAAACAGTTAAAGTAACAGCTTTATCATGCCACAAGGAATTATTATCGTTCTTGAGCTTTGCTTGTGTAGTCATGTCAATTGGTGATAACAAATTAGTGTCCTGAGATTGGGTGTGAATCCACCCTAAAAGTTCTAGACTTGCCAATGGGCCTTCTTGTTGAGGTAGCTTGGATGGAAATTGTATCGAATGGGTATTCGCCAATTGAGGTACTAATGCTATGACTCTGATTTCTTTGATTTGAGGATTGTCAGATGGCGATGATCCGTAAATAAATGCGCCCACTTGAGTCCGTAAATCTGATATTTGAATGAATTTCTTTAATAAATTCTTCGGCATGATATATGTAAACCTGTCATCATCAATGAAATCATCCGACAGGACATATATATTTTTGGAACGCAAGTGCAAATTATTAGATGCAATAGCACGATTTCTCCATTCATTCTTAGATGCAAATGACAGTTGCTCATAGTTAGTAGTAGTAACTGTTACAATCTCTTCACCATGTACATTTTGCGTCTTACTCTTCAATGCTGTTAATTGGTTATTAGTATTTGTTTCGTCCTGGACCAGTTTATTATCACCTTCAACATCAGCAATCTCTTGTCTTTTTGATGATGGTGCCTTAATATCTTGACCTAATATTAAATCACGGATTTCTGATTGAGTCAAAGATTGTATATTTATATCATGTTTCTTTGCGAAATCATTTAGAATCAAATCACGCAATTGAGTTTCGACATCAATCCATTGTTCATCCGTAAATGATGGCCATATATGATGTTCTTGAGTAGTTATACTAGCATCAGGACGTAAAATTAAATTAGTACGTTCTTGGCTAATTCCCAATGCTCTCAATAATAATATTATACGTGAGAAAGCAGTATAGGCAGAAATGCTCTTTAACCAATCGTCATACAAGTTAAATAACACCATTTGCGGCTCGCTTGCTTTTAAGACAATATCAGCCAATTTATCAATTTTCATTGCAGATGCAAAAGGCAAGTGAAGCTCTGAAGGTCTTATAGAGATATTTGGGAAATCCAACATATGAACTTCTAATGGATCTAACATACCCTTCCTAGTAACTATTAATTGCTTTGGTTGCTCTTCCCGTGGTAAAGAACGAACCAATGCTGCTACTTCTTCTGCAGTTTTCCATTTTGCCAATTGCCCCAAACGTTTCTGACCTGCCCAAACCGATGTATGAATAATCTTCAAGAATAATTGTCCAGTCTTAGGATTTAACATGAACACTGAACCATTAATAGGCTTGGTCGTTAAATTACCTTCAAAGGTTTTATGAACAGTTACTCGGTACACATTAGTATCATCAATGAATAATTGAGTATCGTTGTTAAATAGTTCAGCATAATTGTTTGAATTAAGAAAAGCTTCTTGAGGTTGTGCCTGGTACAACTGTAAACCTTTACGTATACGCTCTCTGAGAACATATAACGCCGGATTAGATTTCATAATTTCTTTCATAGCATTTTGCATCAATGGTTTAAATCCAGAAAACCAGTTCCCATAGACGTCGTACATATTGTATGCCAAATCAATACCAATCATGGCACCCGTAGGGGATGGATATGCACTACTACTATCCGTAGTATAATCCAAGAACTTAGCACGAGTATATCTTGAAATATCATGAGAATCATAATCACCATACCTCAATTGTACATCAATCCAATATTTATTGGCAGTTGCTGCATCCATGGAATCATTGCTATCATGTAAAAGAGATGGTCGTGATACATTCCATTTATATGTGCTTGTAAGAACAACATCTGCACAAGATGAGTTCATCTTATAAGACTTACGTGGATGGATTGCTTGTTTTTCAACACTATCAATTTGTAAGACCTCTAATTCCTTATCTAACACTTGGCAAACATCTTGAACTACACTCTCGTGGATCTTCTGCCATAAATGAGCACGGAAGATTTGTATCAAGGAAATTTTTAGAGTTGGGATTTTCCCATGTAAAAATATACCTGTTAAGTCTAATTGTACTAAGAATCCAACATAAACATTCGCACGGTTGATCGTAGGTGACCACCACAAGGTGAAACGACGATTAGGAATTTGACTTAAACCAGACCTTTGGGCATTGGTTAATTTCTTAAATTTCAATGAGTCTTCAAAACCAGATGCTTTCTCCCAAAAAAGACCTTCCCAAGAATCAAAACCAGTACCTTGGAATAAGGTATGTTCTAGGATCGTCTCAATACCACCCAAAGCTTGAATAACATCAGTTCGATAGGCATTAAGATTCCATAATTTTCCGTCGTGATGGTTACTGGTCCATGAAAATGGATTGAATCTTGGTAAACTAAATTGCTTAAAAACCCTACGAATTCTGTGACCCTTATCATACGCCAAAGTGTGTCTATCCTTTTGGAACAACGTACTAATACGAGGCAAACCTCTGTTCCAGTTATTCTCCATGTCCTCAAATGTAAGACGGCGATTCTGTTCGATAGCTTCTTGACGCTTAATAGCATACTCAGCCCAAACTCTCTGCGAGTCCAAAAATTCATTTTCCCAAGTCGTAATGTATCTAAATATGGTTGGTATCATTTTCTCTTCCTGGTGATTCATTCCAGCTCTAAAATGAGTTATACCTGTGTCTGTTTGTTTCGACCATCTTAAATCCGAAGCAGGAATTAATATGTGAGAGGCACTCAACATACCAAGCCCACCTAATTCTTTTGGGGTATAGAAAACTGCTGGTGGAAAACGGGAAGGCATTTTAGAATTCAATCCCATTTTAACCCTATTCTGAATCTTTGTTTCACATTTTACTAATGTGTCAAGTAATGTTTCTGTGGAAACAGCAGCCTCTCTGAAGTATGCAAAAAGAGCAATTAAAGCCGTGTTCCATTTTGCAGCTACCTTTGTAAACGTAGTAGATCCAGAGGACATCAAAATTTGGCGAATCCGATTATTGAATTTGTCCACTTCATCCTGACTAACCTGAAGAAAAGCTTTCGCTGTTCTCTCCTTACTTTCTTGATCAATGAGGTCCCATACACCTTCTTGAGATGAAGATTCTTCACGAATACGACACTTCGGTAATATTCTTACTTCAAATCCACACATAGAGAATAATAAATTAGGGTTCTCTCTTGAATATACAGAAGCAAATGTATCTTCCCATTCAATAGTTGTCAAGGATCTTGGAATACGACCAGAAATTTCCCAAAATACTGCTCTTCCAAGATTAACGTCATGTCTCATTAATCTCATTCTTGAATCTCTAGGCCAGCAACGGCGGTTATTATACCCGACTACATTTTCAAAGTTTGGATCAGGATTTTCTGAAAGATACTCCTGAATCAAGCTGTTTGCATCTTCATTGTCAAACCTGAAGAATATATGAATCTTGTCGATGTAACGAGAATACAACCTAATTGGACTCGATGTCTCAGTTTCGACATCTTTAAACTGAAGGAATCCATTTGGAAGCTGAGGAGACCCTGCTAATTCACTAGCTCTATCCAATCCTAGAATCAAAAGATCAATCACTAACCCATAGTACTGATAAATAAATGAAGAGAATTGAAGGCCACGAATCAATCCGTATTGATTAACATGATTCATATCTTTGTAAGTTAAACTAACATTGTTCTTCGATGTAATATAATCAGCAATGTTAGGATCTACAATCAACCTCAATAATCTATTCAACAATGTAAAATCAATCTTTTCTGCAACTTTGCTTAATGAAGTTTCTAACATAACATTACATTCACCATTTGATGTTTCCCACACATTCTCTAAGTTATTGATTCCTTGACACCACTTGTAAGTAAGTAATGGAGGAATTTCATCATCACTCGGTTTAACCCAATTTGGGAAAAGCTTTCTTTTGTCAGCTTCGTACCATAAATATTGATCAAGGTACGCATCAGTAATCTTCTCAAGCGGATCTATGGCATAAGTTGGGACTAAATGACTGTAATAATCCATCATTTCTAATCCAACTTCTTTGAATACCCTTTGAGTTAGTAAGAATTTTTTTATTCTCGCAAGACATTCATGCGGATTATCATACGCTTGTTCGATCAATGCCAATTCTTCTCTTTGTGCTGAGTTCATACGAGCATTAGCATTGTAGCTTTCTTTCAAATTTTCCAACGCCAACACTAATAATTTAGTATCATGCTTATATGATATAGGCGGGAAAGGAATTGGACTAAATTTTCTACTTTCTAACCAATGAACCATTGTTTGGAATGTTGTAATCGCGTTATCGGGAGATACATATGGCCCATCCTTAGCAAAGTTAGTCTGGCGTTCTTGTTCGTTCTTGATCCATAATCTTGTCAAACGTCCTAAATTCTTTTTAGCGACTGTCTTCTCAACGGTTGCTCCTCTTCTAATACGGTCTCTATTATAATGGGCAACCGAAATCCATCCATCTGCTTTTGCTTTAATATATCGTATGATGATCTTCTCAATAGGCTCAGGTAATCCTGGGACCTTCCAAGGAATGTTAGCCTTCCAACACCTCCAAGCTTCACTCAAATGTTGTAGAACTGTACGAGATTTATTTTGCTTCAATCCTTCAGGAATCATATCCAATATATCATGCATGACTTGCGCCCTTAATTCTAAGTCATAATACGAATCAACACGCTGCTTTGTAATTGTTTTAGCCACATCATTACTTCTTCTTCCTTCGAATTGCCTTGCCAATAAATTTCCAAGCCATCTTTCTAATAAAGGAATTATACCTCTCATAAAGAACAACCAAACTCTCCATGCGGGCTGCCAAAATCCACATCCTGGACCTTTTCCAATGATTGAATTAAATCTCGAATAAACAACATGCTTTAAATCTTTACATGCCCTAATTTGATGCATGACTTTATACTTATATCGATAGATACCCGTTAGTTGTCCCAAGTGATTCAAGATATAATATATACCATCCGCTAATTGAAATGCATCCACATTCCCCAATCTAAATTGAACTTGCGAATCAACTAAAATCTTGACGACCCTCAATATCTCTCTAATTAAATGGAATGCATTACCAAACCTTGACTTTTTACGCTCCTTTGTAGTCAACGTTTTCGTGGGCTTTAGGTTAAAATTATAATCAAGATGTAAATACGTAAGACCTTTCCTATGTATCAATAAATTAAGCATGTTGAAGCCTTGACGGCATACCTGCAATCCCGCTTCCACCCAGTCTATCGTAGTTTGTTGAAAGTATTTAGTCGCTTTCAAGCTTTTCAACAACTTTATTTTCCTTTGATTACTCATTTTGGAGCCAGTTTTGTTTCCTTGAGGATTGTGTAGCTCATTTAAAATGTACCTTTTCAAGAGTTTCTGGTAGGAAACGCGAACCTTAACAGGATATTCTGTAGGTGGATGCTGTTTATACCACGGTTTAACAAGAGCAACATCTTCTGCTCTCACCATTTTTCCGCTTCTACGGTTATATGGGTATGGTGCCCACCATAACTGGATTGCTGACGAGGTACCCTCTGGGTCTAACGGTATACACCCATCTTTGTCATCAGACATGAATGGTTTAAAGCCTACTGGCATATCCAAACCCACATCTTCTCTTTTAGTATTTTTGCGATTTTGTTTCAGTTTATGAGGCGTAATTGGATTTAAAACTGGATCAAAATGAAATGCTGGAAGGTCTGTATCCTCCATGGAATTTTTTATGAAGCAATTTAAAGGTTCATGGTACCAACCAACATAAATCAGTTTTGCGAATGAGTTATATAAAAATGGGAATGCAACTTTGTACTCCGTTTTTATGGGTATTCTAAAGATTATTCTATCAATAGAATTAAATTCCGTAAAATCTTCTATTTCCGGGTTATTAATTTTGTCTTTATAGAGTGGTTCGAATTTTGGACCTCCTGGAAGCGCAATATTTAAACTTTTTGATGTGAAAAAGGAAGTCTTATCAAAAAGATAATAATAATTTGGGTCTGTCACGTCCGGTAACAAAGGAGTGGATAATTTGTATAGATTGGCCATAGTTTGTAAATCAAGATTCCATGTTTTATATGACTCTCCATTGACCACCTTTAAATCATCTATCAATGGTTTTTCGTCATAAAACCAGTCTATCACCGCCCTATCTTTCATTCCATCTAATTCCAATTGAATACCGTCTAACGGCTCTACATCTTCTATGTTCTCCATCCAGTCTAATGGGGGTTCCTCATCATCGAATGGTGGAAATCTCATTCTTTTGAAATGCTTTCTGTCTCTTTTTTCTCTTCGCATCATTAGCCAAGCTGTTGCCCATTGAGCTGTGTAAACAGGTTCGATAACTCTCGGGATTTCGTTCACAAATGTTATGGCACCGGTGATGTGATATAAAACCTTAACATCCTTAGTCTGTTCCCATGGCTGAGGCATATTTTCCAACAATTTTAAGATTGCATGAGGTACGTACTTCAATGAACCCAAATGCGATCTTTTATCTGAGGCAAACGTTTTCGACGACAAATCACCGTGATCGAACATGATCTTTCGTAAGTGTTCAGGTGGCATATCAACTTTGGTAGGATGAACCAACCCTCCAGATTTCTTACTATTGGATTTCCCTGTCGCCGAATACCTATTTTTCTGTATTTGTAACCATCTCTTTTTTCTGGCTTGTAATTCGTCTTTCGTTACAATCTCTGACGATGACCTCATACTACCCTTACCTGATGCTATACCTGGAGGTGGTGGGGGCGGTTGCCTTCTTATCCTTGAATCAGATGTAGCGGGATTTGGAGGAGGTGGAGGCGGTCTCGCTTTTGAATTGTTCATGCCAGGTGGAGGTGGAGGTGGTGGGTTATGTGAAGTCTTTCTATTTACATTATTCTTTGGTTTATTATTACTAATGTTGTTTGGGCGCTTATCCTGACCCCCCGAGGGAGGGGGAGGAGGGGGTAGTTTTGGTCCCATTCTATATATGTATGATGATAGATAGACTCTTGAACTTTTTAACAATCAACTGTACGATAATAGTTCTTACTTATAGGTATATTTTTGAAGAAGATATAACAAAGCTCTGCACATCTCAAAATGTCGTCATCGCAAAATGTCGTATTGGAAACCGCGACATTACTAATCGTTTGTCTCGTTTCTATGGTATATTCCCGATCATAGCTACTACGGAATAACGACAAAAGGTTACAGATTGTTGTTAATTCATAGCATTTTATGACATATAGTATTTGGAAAAGTAATAAATGTCAAATAATACTGTATTGAAGAACGCAACATCCGCATCTGGTGGATCTAATGGGGATCAGGACGATGATTGGTTTCTTGCTAAATTTATTATAGCATTCATTGATGCAATCTGGGAGCAAAGTGAGACGTCATCTCAGAATCGTATACTGTGGGATAGATTTGGTGGAATAACAACATACTGCTGTTCAATATATGGTGTATCATGTTTGGTTATGGCGTTAATCTTGAATCGGACGTTGGTAATGGCCTCCACAAATTCATCACGGAACCAGCAGTCAGCAATCAGTAGACAAAGAGGTATCCTTAACACACCAAAACTGGCGGAGCTTTTAAAGAATATGAGTATGGTGAGTTTTAAGTTGTTTGCAGTAGGATTATTGTTGTACAATTGCTACCATTTGTTGGTCGCGTTGAATCTTTACTACCATACTAGTGCGACGGTGAATGCCTCTATACCATGGTTTCATGTTTTAGTGCCGGATAACCTCTTTGAATACAATCCGGATGTCTTTAATTCAAACAGGTATATGGCAACACCGAAAGACCAGGTAAATATAGGTCCAACTACCGATATGTACTGGCCTATTTTTCTTGGATTCTGTTTCCTGCTGTTCATAGAAACATTTGTTTCTGTAGTACAAGGTAAGCAACCTTATACTGAATCGGGAATTACTATATTTGAGCATTCCTTAGCCTTCCAAGAAGTTAGTTCAACAGGTTTCTTTGGTAGTTCCCGTCTCTACAAAAGACCTACAGAACAAGTCTTGATCGCGTGCATTTTCCTGACATTGAATCATCTTAATATACATATTGGAGGTCTATTAAACAATAATAGATACAGGCTTATCCCGCTGTCGATAATCGGATTGTCCTTTTTGACATATTTCGTATCTTGTTTTACTACTGGAAATATATGGAAATTTCCAACTATCATAATAATGTCTTTCGTACCTCAAGTTCTTATTATGCTGATAATTTTTATATCGGTATTTATATTTTCGATGGCTGTACTTGCAAAAGGTTTTCAATTACAAGATTTGAATTATGCAAGCTTTTTACTTTATGAAAATAATGAAAGCGATTCAGAATTTAGGACAAGAAATTTAAACATTAATTTGCATGATGATTTTTATACGGCATTATTGAATCTTGGTATGCTTGCAATCACACTGGCAGGTAAATCAAGCTATATTACGGAGCTTAGTCTTGTTACAGTTGATGAAGACACATGGATAGAAAGAAGCATTTGGCAAAAGCTCAAATATCAAGCCAAATCAGTTACAAGCTTGCAAGCAAAGTTAAGCACTAATAATGTAATGGACTATTTAAAAGAGAATAAGATCTCAGGTTATGGAAACATGATAATGACACCTTCAAAACGCTTGATTTCAGGAGAGCGTACTGATTTATTCAACGACGATACATCTGATTTAAAAAATTCCAAATCTATCAGTGTTTTACGTAAGAGAATTCTCTTTCTCAAAGAAATTGTATCTGATCTTATACAATTATTATATGGTTTGATTATTGATTCCTTTTTGCTAAATTTCGTACCGAAAATGTTCAGTCACTATGTGTTACGTCGTCAGAACAGAGAAAATAACAATGTCGACGAAACCGATGAGGAGTTCGAAATAAGGAAAAGAAAGACTCCAGCGTTTTTACGCCCATATATCAAGAGAAATGTGAAAAGCAATACGGAAGTTACTTTCGATCAGAAAGAGGTTATACAAAGTAATCAATCAGTAGATTTGAATGACTACAGTGAAGAGCAATTAGCCCAAAATTATATATCTTTATTATTCGAAAAGGAATTATCAGAGATTGATGATTCAGAAGATTATTACCAATCTAACTATTACGAACTGGACCTAGAGGAAGAATCTGATATTGAGTCTATAGACATATCATCATCTACAACCGTAAGTGGTAATCGTTTGATGGATGATGTTTCTCATACGTTGATTGACGAATTATTATCCCCCGAAGAGTTCCAAAATTTATTCAGCTCTGCTAATGTTGATATTTTGCAACGTCACTTGAACCATGACTCTCAAACAAGTGGCATATTAACTAGGTCCAAATTCAACTCTCTCACCTCGGGTATCAACATGCAAGGTAGTACTTTATCCAGTCAAGATGAAATATCAAAACTATTGGAATTGATCTTGAATAAAAGAAAATCCCAAATAGATGATTTATCATCTGATAATTCGAATAGACATACTGATGACTACGATCTTAATTCAAAATTAGATTGTGTTATTTGCCAAACTAATGTCAGGGAAATTATAACATGGCCTTGTAAGTGTTTCGCTATTTGTGAATCCTGTCGTTTAAGTTTAATTTCCAAAGGCATCGAAGGCTGTGTTTGTTGTCGTAGGGATGTTGAAGGTGTGTCTAAAGTATTTATACCGTGATTGTTACGCCATATATATAACGTTCATACCATCTGTATATGCTAATACATATAGTATATTATTACACATGCTCATAACCAACAAAAGTTTTGGTCAAATTAATTAATTCTAAAAAATTGTATTGGTAAGGATAATTCTACAATAACTAATAACTACTATATGCTCTAGCTAATAAGAAAAAGCTTTATGTATTCAATTTTTAATTAATTGACAAATTTTGAATTTAAAGCGGAACTATTTTCACCCAAAATATTTAGTATGAGTCTTCAACCGAATATCGACCATGCTACAATAACAAGTCGACTTCACAGTCAACACCAAAATGCTAACACAATATCACATTTATCACAGGAAACTCCATTACCTTTTAAGAAATATACAAAGAAGAGGTCATGGGTATGGGATTGGTTTGAACAGGATCCTGATAATAAATACAGGGCCGTTTGTTTATACTGCCATCAAGAAATATTCCGATTAGATGGAGACAGGGGATCGCCAAAGAAATTGATTACACATGTAAATTCAAAACATGGAATTAATAAAGATAATTTTGCAGGCGAAGAGTTGTTTAAAATAAGATTAGAGAAATTGAAAACGTATGTCAATACTTTTGGACCCTTGGTTACAAATCGAGGTGATGCAATTGTTTACGGAATAATGAATCTGGGTATTCAGACTATGACAGCAGTTCCAACTACATCATCGTCTATCTCTGGTCCTAGTGCTGCAAGTGCAAGTCCTCCTCGACAGAATAGCTACCCATCAGACTCAATTGGAATGATAGTGGGGGAGACCCGACCCCAGCTCCCAGTAATAACAAACCCTACGAACCAAGATATACCGCCTCAAACAGTATCTACACCACCATTAGCTGAAGCGACCAATTTATCACGATCCGAACCAAAGGAGCCTCCTATGGATATCAATGTAATTGACCCTTCGCTCAGCTCAAGTTTCTATGAGAGACAAATAGATTCAAACTTTAAAAACTTGTACCATAAATCCAAGAAACAGGAAGAACTTGAGAAATATAATAATTTAATCACTAATCACAATAGGCAAGTTGAAGAGTACAACAAAGCTGCAGTTATTGCAAATGACAGAAATATACATCCATGCGAAAGCTTATCGAACGATTCAGAACTGAACCATTCCCCGGAAAACTATATATTTAAGCCACAGAGACTGTTCATGCCATTAGATACTGATCAAGGTACACAAGAAGGAAATAGATGTAAAGATGCCCTTAAAGAGTTTATTATGAAGAATTCTGCGTGTTTCAATAATCTATTATTTATCGAAAGTGACAGCTTCAAACAATTTGTCAATACTTTACGAGACAACCCTAATGATCCTATATAGACGTACTATATAGATGTCCGTGCTTCAAATGTATATATATAACTATACTTTCCATATAATAGGAAACTGATGCAGACTTATTGTGTACATGATTGATATGTAAAATCCAATGTACATTTACAGTAATTGTGAAGAATTCAGGTTCTGCCAATAGGATTAAGATGTGATGGTATGAAAATCCGATAAATTTCCATAATGACGATGAGACTGGCTATTTTAATTTGTTGACCAAACCCTCTAGATAGAATAACGTTAAGAATTACATGATAGAGTAAAGCTGACATTAAATTGATTTACGATTAAACGGAATCATATTTTCCAATTGTTATAAAGTCTGATACGATAAATATTTAATGACATATTAGAGATTGCTGATCAAATTATTTCGTATGTGTCCCATTTGGGTTTGTAAATACCAGCTTTACCAGAGCCACAATTATACCCAATAGAGATATTTTTGTCGAAAGTTATAGGGCATTTAGGAAATTGGATGTTTTCTTCGTAGGTTTCCCATTTTGAAGGTAATTCGTCAAATCTGGATAAGCCTGTAGTAAATTCGGAATCAAAGGCTTCCGAAATTGCGTCTAATGTATTTAAGGCAACTTCAGTCACCGAATGAAATGGTTGAATTTCAAAGCCAGCATTTTTACCTATATTGTACTTTTTATGAAGTTTTGTTTGTTCTAGTTTGGGTAATTCACCTAATGATAAAATAAATTGATTAATTGCATTCAAGGAGATAGATATGTTATAAGAACCACCCTCCTTAGTTCTCAACCACAATGCCAGCAAAATAGAAACAGCCCCGGCAGTCCCTGTCGAATAGTCTGAATTGGGGAAAAGAGGCAACACTGGTTTATTAATACCCATGAATTTACCTTGAGCCATTGTGACTCCAGTAGTACAATCACTTATCTGTTGCCAACCAGAGCGATGATCTAATGGGCCATTATTCCATCCATAACAATTTTCTCTAAGATGGATAATACCTTGACCCCTATTTCTAGCTAAGAACTGAATGTACTCTCTACTGAAACCAAGTCTATCTAGGGTACCTGGTCGATACCCATCAATAAATACGTCTGCATCTTGAATGAGACTTTTTAAGGTCTCTTTGTCTTCCTGATTCTTCAAGTTAAGGTGGACATCCTTTTTTCCCAAATTCCCATCAAACAAAGGTACAGTATAGTCCGGCAAATCATCTGTATTAGATACTCGAATAACATCGGCACCTAGGTAGGCCAATATACGAGACATAACAGGTGCAGCGATTACACGACTAACATCGATAACCTTAATACCGGCTAAAGGTTTTTTTGACTCTGTGTTATTCCAAGGAACTGGTGGTAAATTAGAATTGATTTTTTTGGTATCGTAAAGAGTGGTTGATTTATTTGCTTCACCCTGTGGAGACGATAAGTATTCCTCGTATGTCTGGCAAATTGTACCAGCTTGTCTGAAATGTTCATTTGCTGTAATATCCAACCATTCCGAATCATACTTAACAACTTCATCAATATAAGTCTGTGAAATTTCTTCACTCGTTAACAGATCCATATTCATAGGCAAATTCAACATTTGTAGAGATTTATCAGGATTCATACTACCATGGAGATGGAACCACTTTTTGTCCTTGGTCTCATAAATTGCAGTACAAGCAGACCTATAACTATCTGCAATGTTTCCTTTATCATATATATTTACTCTTTCTGCAAGAGACTCATCCATTACACCTTTGTTGTCAAATTTAATAACTAGGCATGATGCTAAAAAGAGGGTCGCAAAATCCGTTGAAACTTCAACTTTTGACTCAACTTGAAACCTATCTCTCAATATAGCATGAGACATGCCGCCGATTACCGACCAAAGAGCAGTACTTGTTTCTGTTAATTTAAGGCTTGTTGGGATAAATGGCTTTTCCTTGCCTAGAGATGAAATGATTTTCACATTCGAAATTGCATCCACCATATCTGCAGGAAATTTCTTTGCAGCAACAATCTTGTTTAGGATACTTGTTGCTTCATTCACTAATGTGTACTCTGAATCCATTGGTCTTTTTAATATTCGTAATTATCTTGAATTTATGAAAGCTATTTTATGGCAGAAGATAATATATATATATATATATATATGTGTGTAGATTGCAACAATTTGCATCCCGTTATGCAACTACTCCATCCCGCAGGAGACGGTTTGTGCCGATTTTGCCGGTACCCCAATTTCTTAACTTTTTTGTCCGCATAATGGGATATCATACATACTGATTATGCAACTAGAATATCCCATTCATATCTATTGAAAAAAGTTTATATATAAAGATTGAAAAATCCTTTTAATTACTACGTTTATATTATGATTTCATTAAGAAAACAAAGAAAATGGTTAAGCGTGCGATCAGAATTGCAAATTGTTCAGGAGCATATATGGATTCTCCTTTCCAAATGTACAGACAATGTACTTCAGGTCCAATAGATGCTGTCACTGGTGATTGGTTAGCAGAATTGAATATAGCGGCGAGAGCTGAAACTTACAAAACTGGTCAACATCCAGGATGGGAAATTAATTGCGAAAAAGGTATATTGATGTCCCTTGAAGTGCTCAATCAAAGTAGAATCAAATGTGTCGTGAATGGAGGAGCACAAAATCCAAAAGGACTAGCTGAATTAATTTTCAAAGAAGTACAAAAGAACAACTATAACTTGAAGGTCGCTTATATAGCTGGTGATAACCTCGAAGATAGACTTGATGATATTTTTACGGATAATGAAGATAAAATTCATCATTTTGACGGCTCCAATGAACATGTCAAATTAGACAAATTGCTTGATAGTGATTTCACAAAGATGATATCTGAAAACAACGTAGTCAGTGCCAACGCGTACTTAGGTAGCAGAGGTATTCAAAAAGCTTTAAATGCTGGTGCTGACATTATCATTTGTGGCAGAGTTTCGGATGCATCACCGGTCATTGGACTTTGCGCTTGGTGGCACGGATGGGAAGATACTGACTATGATAAGTTAGCCTGTTCTCTTATTGCGGGACATTTGATAGAATGTTCTGGTTATAGTACAGGCGCCAACTTTTCAGATTTTGATAAATACCCCAAAGAAAATCTCATTGATCTCGGATATCCGATCATTGAAGTGGAAGATACTGGTTCAATAGTAATCACCAAGCATGATACTTTAAACGGACTAATCAATTTAGATATTATTAGAAGTCATTTTCTATATGAATTGCAAGGTGAAGCCTATCTTAATAGTGATGTTATTGCTCATACTGGCAAAATTTCCATACATGAAATTGGAAAAAACAGAGTAAAAGTTACAGGAATTAAAGGGTCTCCTCCACCCCCAACAACAAAATTTGCTGTCTTTTACAAAGGTGGCTATGAATTACAATTGCTCATTTTTGCAACTGGTAATAATGCCCATTATAAATTTGATTTACAAAAATCACAAATTTTGCATGCTTTGAAAACCAAAGAAGGAGTCCGTAAACCGTGTGATGAATTCGATGTCCTTGAATTTCAGATACTTGCAACACCAGCAGTTCCAACCATTGAACATCCGTTCAGAAATCAGAATTCTGCAACTAGTTTAATGCGTATATTTGCCCAATCAACAAATAAAGGGTTACTTGAAAAATTAAATAGGGCCATGAATCATTATGCAATGCAACATTTCGCAGGATTCTGTAATATGCCTCCAGGTCCTATAAGCGAATACCTAGCATATTTCCCATGTATTATCCCTCAATCATATATTGAAGAAAGAGCTATTATTCTTAATGATGACTTAGTTCTTGATGCTGGTATAGCGCCAAATTTTAAAGAATTTGGTCCTAGGGTTTCATATGAATCTGAGACACCGCTAACTCAAGTAATATTAGATACGAAATTTGGTCCAGTTATCGAGTCAACATTAGACACATTTGTTCAAACTCGCTCGGGTGATAAGGGTGCCAATGTAAACATTGGTCTTTTTGTTAAGGAGGAAGATGAATACGAATGGCTCAAGTCCTATTTCACAAAGGACCGCCTCAGAGAATTGGTTTACGATGATTGGAAGGATGATTTGTTTACAGAAAGAGTTCAATTCGATGAAATCAAAGCCGTTCATTTTGTAATCTACGGTATTCTTGGCAGAGGTGTTAGTTCTAGCTCTCGTATTGATAATTTAGGAAAAGCATTCGGCGAATTCGTAAGAGCACAAGCTGCTTTTATCCCAAAGAAGTTTGTAGATAGGTATGCAGGAACGCAACACGCAAGTTTTAATATTTCACATTAATTATAGGAATATATATGTTAATAGTGATTTAATATATGCCGTCTGTTAATAAAATCTTTAAAACTAGTAGATATCTTCGTTATGTTCAAATGTACATTCAATGGGTGTGATAAAAAATTTAAAAGAAAGTTCCATCTAACAAGACATTACAAGAACCATGAGATGAAGAATTACCAATGTACCTGGCCAAAATGTAATAGAAAATTCTTCAGAAAGGATTTACTTCGGGTTCATTTCAATAGGCATGATGGTTTATCCTTGTATGAGAAATCTTACTCATATAGCGAAATAGATAACCAGGCCGATATGGTATTATTTGACCGGAGAAGTAATAAGAACTTTACTAACAATTGTCTTATCGTTCCGTTCTTTCCGCATGCACATAGTGCTACTAAGAAGAAGGATACATCGGACGAAGATTTTTATTCTTGGTTATTTAACAATGATATGGAAGATCTTTATGTGCATAAACCTGCTGATGAATATTTAGAATTCGAGGACTTTTTCTATGAACCGGATTCTCTGGTACGAAAGAATGTTTTCTGTGATGAAAATATAAAAAATAGGTTACTTTCAAGTTTTGATAAAACCCAAGTTTTAGAGTCGTTAAGCTGTAAAGATATTGAACTTTCCTTAAGAAACTATTGGAATGATTTTCACGAAGACTACCCCATTCTTCATAAAGCTACATTTGATTCTGAAAAGGCACCAACCCTTTTGTTACTACCTATGGTAGTAACGGGTTTGGAGATTGCATCAAGAAAGGAAGTGAATAATGAGAAAGCAAGTATATTAAGAAAAATATCAGTAGAAATAGCGAGACCCTTGCATTGGCAATTACACTCTAATGAATACGCCCAACCTCCAGCACTTCTATATATCATTCAAGCACTTCTAATTCTTCTGGTTTTTGAGATGCATCATTCGACCAGAGAGTTTCATGAAAGAGCCCATACCTATCATACTGTTACGTACCATTTGATACAAAGAACGCCTTTCAATGTTTCAGGTTTAGTATATCAAAATGAAAAAACAAAAAATGGTAATCTATGGTATAAGAGTGATATTTCTGGGGAAGATCCAATAGTGTTAAATGATTGGTATGCTTGGGTACACTTTGAATCTCTAAAAAGAGCATTCTTTTTTGCTTTTTATTTGGATAGTACTTTTTCTTTATTTGGTCACCAACTCTTGTTTCAAGCCGACAGAATGTTTCTTGATTTACCATGTTCACGAAAAAAATGGGATGCTAATGATGCACGTCTGTCATTAAAATTAAAAGATAACTCAATATCATATCTTTCGGCTTTAAAAAGTGCTATTCAAGGGGAAACTTTTAAAATTGGTGGAGATGAATTCAATCTTAAGTTGATCCTTTCAGGTATTATTAACACAGCAAACCAACTCAATAATTATATTTCTCGTGCCTCGTTTTTATCAAGCCAACTAAAAATTCAAGAAAATTGGAAAGATAAGATCTCGTTAGCTATAGATAAATGGAGATTTGATTTATGCGGAGGATACTCCCAGAAATCCTTGTATCAACTACGTTTTGAACACATATTTCATCATGCTTCTCATTTCACTTTGTCTATTAATATCTATGATCTTCTTTCCTATAGTGGCGCACCATGGTGTATGTCAATTAGCGATCTTTCGATGGGATTTAAAAATTCAGTAAGAACCATTTCGGATTGGGTGAGATCACAACCTGCTAGACAAATTGTTATCCATGCATTATTTTTCTTATGGGAAACTTTATTACCAGTGGACTTTAATGACAAAGATGTTCAGAAACTGAATTTCATTACAGATATTTCTTCTATGGGTAGTTCTACTTTGTTATTATCGACGTTAATAATATGGTCATATGCTTTTGCATTGAAAGGCCCCGAGGCGATCAGAAATGAACCCAGGGAGTGTGATGTCTCAGAAGATGGACTTGAGTATCTATGTCGTATCCGTAAAGAGCTTTTTGAGTTATCAAATATCAAGCTAGATATTAAATACCAAAAGTTGAACGGTAAAGATTATCATAGTTTGGTAGAGAAACTTTCTTCGTCTCTTCTTTTACTCAAAAATATACATCATTCGGCAGGTCTATGCTTAATAGTTTCAAAGTTATTGAGAACTTATCCCTGGGAAATGTGTAAAGAAAATGCAAATTTAGTATATCATTTGTTCAAAAGAGCTTCCGGTTATAAGGACATTTTATGCAGAGAAATGTATAACATTGAAAGGCAATAGACCCTAAAAAGATGCTTAATCAAAGTTGAAGTCTCTATCCTTCACAACTATAATTAGAATAGTAAAAGAATGTTTGAAAGACATTTCATTGTTATTCGAAAATAAAAAGGTATATCCTTTAATACGTTTTCAAGCATATTTGAAATCTATTTTCAGAAATGGATAACAAAACTTAAAATTGGATTCAACCACCTCCAGAAAACAATAATCGGCTTTTGAACACCATCATTCGTTCAATGCAGCCAGCGAAAGACAGATGGATGCAAACTTCAATTTCGTTCACGTATTAGAAAGACTAGAATATCGAATATTTTTATCGAAAGTGATAACAGCATGGCTTTATTAGTATCACGACGGTAACTAATGATCATATATAGAAATCCGTGTTTTAATACGTATATACATATATCTATATCTTATACTCTCCATATAATAGGAGAGTAAGAATACTAAGATTATGTAATCATTCCAAAAAGATACGCGAAACGTCCAATATTCTTTTTAGTTGGTGTTGATGAGAACCAAACTCATATGAGCTTACTATAGTAGTTCATTACATTATACAATCGTTGGGTTAAAAGTAGGTTATCACGAATATTAGTGGAAAAAGATACAAGCATTCATTTTGATTGTTGTTATATTATATTTTCGTTGTTAGGATCATTGCTATTCTCTTACTTTGTACAAGTCATCCAAAATGCCTTCGGCTGAAACTATAGTTACCACTACCACAATAAAAACAGCAACAGCTATTACTACATTAGCTCCATCGCTTGAGGGGTTGACAGCGGCTTTATCACACAATTTTGTCCATTATTTGAACTATTTAGATAGGTTACCAGGTGGTCAGATTATCTTAAGGTATATTAAATCGTCGTATAAGAATGATCCAGTTAGGTCATTATTTGAGTTAGCGCTTTTTATATTTGCCGTTCATTACTTTCTTTCGTCGAAGAAGAAGGAGAATAAATCCGACTTGACGGTATTCAGCGAAAAGGAAATTGACGCTTTATGTAAAGACTGGGAACCTGAACCTTTAGTCGAAGATCTTACACCTTTGGAAAAGTGGGAATTAAAATGCATTCCTGAGATTAAGGGACATAATGGATCGCATGTGCAGTTATTGAACGAGCCAGGCTCTCATTTGGGTAAAGTCGTCAACTTAGCATCATATGATTTTTTGAACTTAAATGAAAGCGATGACATCAAAGAAGCAGCAAAAGGATGTATCTCTGGTGCAGGTGTAGGTGCCTGTGGACCACCAAATTTTTATGGAACACAAGATGTTCACGTCAGATTGGAGGAGGACTTATCTGAGTACTTAGGTACTGAGCAGGCTATATTGTATGGACAAGATTTCGTTACTGCGGGTTCGGTTATTCCAGCTTACTTGAAGAGAGGTGATTTATGTATTGTTGACAGTGGTGTTAATTTAGCTATACAAAAAGCTTTGATTGTTAGTCGTTGTGATCTTGAATGGTATGATCATAATGACATGGACCATTTGGAACAAATTTTAAAAGAAATCAAACCAGTCATAGAGAAGCAGAAGCCTATTCGTAGAAGATTTATTGTTACTGAGGGTTTGTTCGCAACTACTGGTGATTTAGCATTATTACCAAGAGTCGTTGAATTGAAAAACAAATATAAATACCGGTTATTTTTAGATGAATCATTGTCTATCGGTGTTTTAGGTGCTACTGGTAAAGGTCTTGTGGAACATTATAATATTCCAAGGTCAGAAATTTCTATTACCATTGGTTCCATGGCTTTATCTTTTGCATCGTCTGGTGGTTTCTGTGTTGGTGTTACTCCAATGATTCAGCATCAAAGAATTTCTTCTAACGCCTACGTTTTTAGTGCAGCATTGCCTCCGTATTCTGCTAAAGTAACGTCTGAAGCGATTAAAGAAATATCCTCAAATTTGGATTCAGCTGGAAAATCCAAACTTATGCTGATCTTACATGAAAAAATTCTGTACGTTTATCAAGAGTTAGAAAAGCAAATCCCATCGTCATTTTTTACAATAACATCGGCTCCGTTTTCTTCAATTATTCATTTAAGTTTAAGTCTGGAATATAGAAAGAAATTGAATTTGCCTCCATTTTATGGTAATACTGATTTGTTACTCACTGGTAAACAATCAAAGAGATTGAATGAATTCAATCATAAGCTTAACACTGAATCGTTTATACTACAAAAGATTATTGATCAGTGCTTAACTAAGGCTGGTGTTTTGTTGACTAGAACCAAGCATATTTTAGAACATGAGAACTTACCTGTGCCAAGCCCGCATCTACTTTTTATGGTTAATACAGGAGTTTCCATTGAAGAATTTGATAGAGCCATCTACGCTTTGAAACTTGCCATGAGTGAAGTTTGTTCCAAGATCCGTAACGAAAATGATTTGCTTGTCTTAGAAAATGAGATCATAAATTATTGATTCTATGGCTTCGTATTAAAATATATATATCCTTTGTTTTCAATTTTTTGAAAGATGTGTCTTAATAATTTATCTCGTGACACAAAAGTTCAAAATCTTATTTATTGATACACCATTATAATAATTACGTATATTCTGTTTATTTCAACATTCTATTCCTCGCTTCCCTTGCAATAGACCTAGCCTCTTCAACGTCATGTGCATTACTATGATTTAAATCTTTTGCTAGCTCGTATGCTTCTTCAAATCTATGGTTTTCGAGGGCGCTTCTTGCCAACCATAATCTTGCTTTAGATGTTTCATCACTAACTCCCCATTCGTATTCCTGATCGAAACATAATTTCATATACTTATATGTATCCTTCGAACGCCCCAACTTTTGAGAAATAGTCGCCAATCTGAAGCATATATGTGGCTCATAATTAGTGACTTCTTCAACATTATCAAGTCCACCTTTACTATAGTTATCAATCTTTAATGCCTTCTCAAATGATTTAATGGCCTCGTCATATTTCTCAATCTTTTCATAACAATTTCCAATTGCTTGCCACATTCTTTTATCTAATGGTTGTAGACTAGTCGCTTTCTGATAGTAGTATAACGCATATAAATGCATATCTAAAACCTCGTACGCTTGACCCAACCCGTACCAAGCCCTAAAGTCTTTCGGGTTTGTATCTACAGCCCTTCTATACGATTCAATTGCAGCATGAGAATTCTTTAATTCAACAAATTCGTGACCCATTAATGTCCATGCACTAAGACAGTTTTTGTTGAGTGTTAATGCCCGTTTATAGTACATTATAGCCTTCTCATGTTCACATTTCATTGAATGATAATTAGCAATAATGCAACAAGTTTCGGGACGAAACTTATCTACCAGGGATGCAAATTGTGCAAGGAACGATAGTTTAGATCTTTTCTCCATGACATATAACATATTAGAATATGTATCCAAATCATCAAGTCGCAATGGGTCTTCGATCAAGATTTGGTCAAAAATCGATTCGGCTTGAAAGTAATCAAGTCCGTGATACGCAATTAGAAATTGCTGTACCTTTAAGAAATTGAACTTTGGAAACGTATTTATTAAGTTATCTAAGTTTGCTTTCAAGGAAGCCAGTTGTTGATAAAACTCTTGCAATATTACCACTTCAAAAAAATGAAACATAATATTGTTCGTCAATGAGGACTTAGCTGACTTCAATTTATTTATAAAGGCAATTGCTTCATCAAATGTATTCAAGGTGGAAATTAATTCTTGCCAGCAGGACCAATTATAAGGAAATAGCCTAAGTGACTGAAAAAAATTATGTTGAGCCATTGCATACTTCTTCTTTTTGTTATACACTATACCATTTAAGTAGTATAAGAATGCGTTTGGTTTTTTCTCTGGTTTGGAATGATAATTTTCTGACTCTTGTATGATTTTAGAGAGCTTGATATTAAGACTCCCCACAAGTTCGTCTTTACCTCGACTTGCAGCATTATTAAACTCATTATCAGATGGCTCATGATTACCATTTCCCAGCAAAAATAGTGACCCAAGGTTTATAGATCCATCTGTTTCTTCCGTAGCCTTCTTATCAACGCTTATCAATATACAATACAACCGAAAGAATAATGCACTTCCACTCTTGCAATCTTTCAAAACATATGATGCTCTATCAAACTCTTTACAATTGAAATATGCCTTTGCTAACATGAGCTTTTCCTGGTCCATTTTATCTTCGGGATCTTGTTCAATAATTGGATATTCATATGGAACGGATTCCTTTTGATCTGTTTGAGATAATCCATTCAATGCTTCTGCACACCATTTTGCTGCTTGAAACAAATTCAAATTCGTCAATATTTGACATGATTGAAATAGCTTTATTCTTAGTTTATCGATATGTTCTGCCTTTACTGTCTGCATTCTATGAACTAAAATTTGTATTATAGATGATAACCGCCGTGTTTATTTCTGAACTGTAAATAAAAATACGAAAAGTGCGCTAAAACAAATACTTCCATCATCAATTTGACCTCTATTGACATTGATAGCACGGAAAATATGATGACTACAGAAGATCAGACAGAAATAGAGAAACTACAACATTCTCTACTGCAGACGATTGAAACTTTTCAATCTGCTAATAAGTTACTTGAGTTGAATAAAGAATTATTGAATAATGATCAACTGCTGACAGAAAAAGTGAACGATATCAAAAGGTTACAAAGGGAGTTTTTATTGGATTCCTTCCGTGTAAATAGATTCCATAAAGGCTACAAGGAATGGGAGAATAAGTCTAAAGATGTATTTATAGAAAATGAGATTAAAGGTTATAATAACAAATTGGGACAAATGTCAAGGTTGAATTTTGAAACTGAAAAATTAGATAAAGAGTATGAAGGCTTACGTGATACTGTTAAATTACCAACATGTCAGTTATCAATCCAAACTGTGAAGATTTACAATGACGGTTCATTATTACAATACATTGAAAAAAATGCAGATGGAGAATACCCACTAACTGTTGATATAAGTGAACTCTTTTCACTCGATTCTAATTCG